AGAAAATATTTTCTTTTTTCTTTTTTTCTATTGTTTGTTTGTTCTTTATGCGGGGGTTGTGTACATTGTAAATTTGTAAACATTAAAAGTAAAAAAAAAAAAAAATCACCTTATTTATGAGTATTGGTTACCACCTTAGTTTTTATCATTAGCTAAAAGTATATTAAAGTATAAAGGAGAAAAAGTTAAATTTTGCAAAATATCAAACTGAAATATTATATTTAAGACATATGATTGTTTTTAAACCTTTTTTAGAAAAGCTTTTTCAAGTTAGAATATAAAAGTTTTAGATTGTGGTTATGTAAAAACTAAAAGCTTTTCTAAACAAGGTTTAAAATTATAGACAATGATACACAATTTCTCTTGGAAGATGATATCTATGAGTGGCAAAAAAGGAGTAGATCATTACTTATGGAGGAAGATATCCGTAAGTGGAGGGACGAACTTCATTGGAAGCAGTAGATGGTTGCTAGGGAATGAACCTAGATAACAAATCTAGTTTCTTATGTGCATGCGAGTTAGAGTTGTTTTGATTTTGAAATCTTTATTTAGGGTTCACATGGTTCCAATGTTAACGTCGGTGCATTGGTGTTGGCAAAATATGTTGCGTTTATTTTAGATAGATGTACATGTGGTGCACTCTATTGTCTCTTTCTTTATTTCATTATCTCGCATTTATATGAAAACATAATTGCGTTGATGGTGTATTAAACGCTGGTGGTGGCGGAAACGGTGTATTAAACGCTTATGGTAGCGGAGGGATCGTAAATGAGGATATAATTTTTTTTAAAATGAAAGCAAATTAGTTTCTTGATTCTTGTTTTGTTATAAATTAATAATCTGTAAATTAATTCTCTTTATAAATTAATAATTTTCTACTGTCTAAAGTTGGACTAGTGTAATTTTAAACACATTTCAATAAAATAATAAGAAAATATTTGTTTTGAAAACCTTTTGTAAAATATATGGTCTCAATAATACTATGAATTAATAACTATATAAGATTATTAATATATATCTATATACATGTGAAAAAAAAAAGAAATATGATTATAATATTTTTATTTATTCGTAATTGTACATTATATTTAGGATTTAGTCTTAATATATTTCATGTGCAAAATATTTATAGTATTTTATCTAAGACATGTTAATTATTTTTTCTTGTAATTAATTCTGAAAAGGTACTGATTATAATGATTAAATCTTATTTTTAATATTTATATATATTTTAAAAAGATTACCAAATTAGAATAATTCTCTCCATTAATTAATAATTATTAATTTATTGCTAAATTTTCTATAAATGATATAGTTTCATGAATACGTACGCGATTATTTATTTAATTATTTATAGAAGTTTTATTGTACTTGGATCTTGAAACTCTCGTATGCATGCAAATGAGAGACGAAAGAGGTCTTTTTACTTATGTTAATGGGCCTAAGTAGAAATAGAAATGGGCCTTTTAAGAAACGAGGCTGTTTAAGTTGTAAACGTCGCCAAACGCAGTCGAACCAGAGAAGAAGCTGCTTCGATGCTCCTTGTCTAATGTGTTTGTTCCCATTTCCTTTATTAAGTTTAAAACTCTCTTACGCTCAGTTCATAGAATAGGTTTTGGTATTGCTATTGGGAGTTTCAAGTTTGTAACTTTGGTTGCATTTTTCCCAATTCTCTTGTTCCATATAAAAAAATCAAGACTTTAATGTTGTGGTTAAGTGTTAAAAAGACTATTTTTTTTTATCTCATGTTCAAATTTTCTGCACTTGTGTGAATCAATTTCAGTCATTGGATGGGAATAGGGTTTTAAGGAATGTGTAAAATGCATAGAAAGCTGGTCGAGATCAGGAATTTAATGTTGGTTATGTGTCAAAGAGACAATTTTCAGTCTCTTGTCTGAATCATTTTCTTTCATTGGATGGGAATTGGGCTTTAAGGAATGTGGAAAATGCATAGAAAGCTGGTCTAGATCAGGGACAAATGAGGGAGAGGGTGCAGGAGAGACAACTTTTTTGGTTTAGGATTTTCAGAGACAATTGATGGTCACTGTTTCTAGAAAGTTTTGGTTACTCTTATATAAGTTATATTCCAATTCGACTGGATGGTTCTTAAGCTGTAGATTAGTTGCTGGTAAAGTATGGTTTCAGCTTCAAGGTTAGAAATATCAAATAATTATTTCGTAGAAGCACATTTGCAAAAGGTCTTTGAAATTGATGGTATGATGAAGGTGTGTACCATATAAGAAGTTGGCCAATGTTTTTGGTTGACGACGATGCGAACATTCTTGTCTCAGATTGTGGGTTAGCCCTGTGAGTCAGGTATACTGCTAAAACCCAAAGATCTTGGTTCTTATGGTTTAACCTTTTCATTCTCCAAGATCCAAAACAACAAACTCCTTTTTTTCTTATCATCATGATCATTTATCAGGACCAACTACTAGCCTCCTATGTACTATGGAGCACCAGAATTTGACTCAGGAGTCTATTATTCATGGCAGACTGAATTGTGAAGAAGCATTTTAGTTTTCAAGTAAATCGCAGAGACAAGAGATGTTCTGTTCTCAGTGGCACACAACAAGAACAACAAAGGGGAACTGAAGAAAATGCATAAAAAGAGTCATAACCTTAGGATGAGGGCTAAGTTGATTTTGCGGGAAAGACAGGCTTTTTGTGTTCCTGGTTGCTTCTGAATTTGCTGTGGAGGAGAAGAATTTTAATGTTCTTGCTTTCAGTTAGTAGGGGGAGGTTTGGTTTTTTTTTGTGGATCTTGAATAAGATCTCTGTTTGTAACCTTTGTTCGTTGAAAACTTCTACTGTAAATTGGTGTATGTTCTTACTCGAATCTTTGACTTTGTTTGTTTTTATATAAAAAGTTTATAGAACTTGCTCTCTGCGTCTAATTGAAGTAAAATTGAAGTGAGGTCTAATAAACCGGAGTAAACCAAATGAATCCGATTTTGTGTAATTAATAGCTATTTACTTTCTTGAGTATAAAAACAAAACCATGGCATATTTTTAAACTTCTATCACTTTCTCTTCTTCGTTAATTCTTCTTCTCCCTCTGCTCTGCTCTCTCTCTCTCTCTGCTCTGTCTCTTATTTTCTCTTGCGACATGGCTGAAAAATCACCACGAGATGATCCCGATTCTTTGGAAAACCTGGGATTTCTTGATTCTGATGGCACCGATGCACGTTTTCTCGGAGATAACAGAGAATCAAATCTTTGTGGTGATGATGGTGCCGCGAAAGAACCACAAGTGAAAAGCTCTGCGTCTTGTTCCGCCATGAATGAAGCCACCAAGAAAACAGATGCTTCTTCTTCTTCTTCTTCAAGAAACCGTGAAACTGGCGAGACAAGGAGGGCTGATACAGAAAAGGATCGCAATGTAAGTAGTATCCCCAGTTTACTTAATTTGCAAGTAACAAAGATAGATGCCTAGTGTGAGATCTGGGTTCTTAAATCTTGGCAGGAATCTGATCAAGAAAGTGATATAGACGAAGAAGCTTTTCAAAGAGCCGCGAGGTCTGCTGAAGATTTATGTGCGTTCTCAGGCGGTCGTGGAGAAGCTGAGCCTTCACATCAGAACCCAATGAATCAGATTGCAACGAGTGGTCAAATGATGAACCCGCAGCAGCAACACAGAGGTCAAACCAACTACGAACCATGGAGACTTCAGAACACATATCAGCAGCATCCAATGGCTAACCAGATGCCAATGCATGATCCCATGATGTACGGATATCAACATCCACTGCATAACCAGATGCCAATGCATGATCCCATGATGTACGGATATCAATATCCAGTGCCTATCTACCCATATCAACATCCAGTGCCTATGGTTTTTGACCCGAGAATGGCTAACCAGCAGAACTTCTATCAACCTCCGATGGTTTTTGACCCGAGAATGCCGCAGTTCAGGAATGTTGCAAGAGGAGGACAGCCAAGATCATTTGGCAGAGGTCAGAACAATTTCAACCCACGACCGGAGATGATACAACGTGTGCCTCCAACTCAACAGCCAAGGCAGTCTCAAGGATTTAACGCTAGACCATCCTCTGAACAAGGTTAAGATCAGCAGCTGCCTTGGTGAAACGATAGTTTATATGTTTTTCAAGTTTTTTCCTTTTCACTAAAACTCTCTCGAGTTGCTTTTGATAACTGTTAATGAATTGGTGGTGATGAAAGTTTAGTGAAAAATTATTTTCTGAATCTTCAGTATCTACTCCTACTCAATTTTCAATACTTTTTCACCAAAGACTAATTGTTCACTACTTTACTCTAGTCTTAGAGATTGTGTTTTTTAGAATTTCCATTTTGGGTTATATCTTGAAGATGATGGAACTTTGGATAAACAGTTTAGCCAAGAGTCAAGAACTATTCAAATGCAGAAGAGAAGAATGAGTAAAAGTCAATAAATGAAAACTTGTCGCACAAGAAACAATTAGTACAAAAACAGAGTGAGTGTCTCTGAAAAGATCAGAAGCAGAAACGTTTCCGTTTTCAAAACCAGTATGACAGTATCGTCATCCTTATCCAATACAACAACAGATTATTCATCTTTCAGAAGCCTTACTTATAGACTATAGTTGTAGGTCAGAATAAGTTTTCTCAACTTATTAGGTAGCAAGATTCTTCTCCCAATCCACCAAGTCCCCATCTCGATCCCAATCTTCTTGCTTCCCAAGTTTTTTTACATCTCAAGACGTGTATCCACATTTGTAGCGCAGCATCCATTTGGTGGTAGAAGGTCAGTGTGGACGTAGGGGAGGTCTAATTTAAAAGAGCAGTCTTATGCTATGCTTGACATGATTTTGAAGACTGTTCAAAGCTCTTGTTAATAAACTAACGGCGTCGTTTTCTCAATCTCTACGAATAATCCATTTAATTTATGTTAATGGGCCTTTTTCTAATAAACGAGCCCATTTAAGCTGTGAAATAATGTTCGAAAGTCCCACATCGTAGCAGAACAGGAGAAGAAGCTACGTTTATAAAGCGTTAGAGTCGAACAAGTGATTGTCCCTTCGGGGACATCCGATAAAATTGGAACGATACAGAGAAGATTAGCATGGCCCCTGCGCAAGGATGACACGCACAAATCGAGAAATGGTCCAAATTTTTTTTTTTCCTAAAAATTATGATGAACCCTACCTTAGATTCCAAATAATTTTCGTTGTCGCAGAGTTTTGCTGTTCTTTCGTCCGATTAGATTTTGCTTCCATTTCTGATAAGTTTTTTTTTTTAACTCTCTTTTATTCTAACTTGCATTGCTCGTTCTCAAAGGGCTTGTCTATTTATGTTATCTTCAAGCTTAAAAGAGTGAGACTTTAGCATTGTCTTTTGTCCTCAGTTCGATTCTTCAACTCGATTAGGTCATTACATTTGATTAAGTGTAGGACTAAACAAGCTCTTTTCTTTTGCGGCTGGTGCATTGGTTTTTTAATTGATTTGATCAACTTTAAATTTGATCTTCTATTACTTGACAATTGGGAGTTTTGTAATTTCCGTTGAATTTTCCCCAACTATGCAACGAAACCTCTATTGGGTCTATTTCCTTTTCGGATTGTGAAGATACTGAGTTTCTCAAATGTCTTGTATTGTAATCCTTGAATTGGTTTTGGTCAATCATTTCTCTTCAGAGTGTTATGTGTTTATGTGTACAAAAGATCAATACTTTAATGCTGAGTAGGTGTTACAGAGAAAAAATTTCGATCTCTTCTCTGGAAATTTGTGCACCTGTCTGAATCTAATTCACTCATTGGTTGGGAAATTTGGTCTTAGGGAATGAGGAAAGTATATAGGGGTTTAAGTATTGTCAGTTTTCACCCCATTTCTAGCAAATTTTGGTTACTCTTTAATGTAGGTTCTTATGATTGCTGTTAGATTATGTTTCAGCTTTAAACTCTGAAGAAACAAGTGATTACTTAGTAGCGTAACATTTGAAAGATTTTTGAATTGACAGGGAATGTGAGAGCATTTGAAGCTGTGTACCCATCCAAGAAGTTAGCCTAATGTTTTTACTTGATGATAGACTTGCATAACATCTTTAGTGTCTTAAGCCATGTGAGTGCAGAGAGGTCACTGACAGTGTAGTAGTAAACTTGTAGATAAATTCTTGCAAGGTCTTTTCTCAAGTCGAAGTTAGCCAATGTCTTACTTGACGACGATCTGAACATCTTGTCTCAGATTGTGGTTTGGCCCTGTGACTCAGGTAAACTGCTAAAGCCCAAAGAGCTTGGTTCTTATAGTTTCTCCTTTTCAGTCTTCAAGATCCCAATAAAAGTAACTCCATTTATCAGGGCAACTACTAGCCTCTCATAGATATGGAGCAGACTTAGGAATCTACTGAACAGCAGAGAAGGAGAAGTACAGTTCTCAGTCACAACAATCACAAGTCAACAACAACAAAGGGGAACTAAAGAAAAAACATAAAAAGAGTCATAACCTTTGGATGAGCTTAAGTTGATTTTGCAGCTTAAAAAAAAGGTTTAGTGAGTCTTGTGAATTGGCTCTAGAGGAGAAGATATGTGCTTGCTTTCAATTGGTGGGGGATTTCAGTTTTTGAGAAATCTTGAATCAGTCTCTGCTTTGTAATCTTTGTTCTTTAAAAGGTTCCTTCTACTGTAAAATGGTGTGTTTACAAAATTCGTTGAAATTGTTTGTATTTCTAAAGTTTGGACAACTTGCTCTGTGTTTGTAATCTTTTAAGCTGTGTGAAATTTGTTAATTCATCTCATTTGACCAACCGGACTTAACCGAACCAAACGGATCCGGTTTATGCAATTGTACTTTTTACACACGTAGAAACCGCAAGTGGAGAGATAGAGAGAGCGAGGACTCGGGATTTAAATACTAAATGCTTCGTTAAATTTCTTTCATTTTCCTATTTTCGCTAATTCCTCTGCTTCTCTTTCTAGCTTTCGCTCTCGACATGTCTGAGTTTATCGATCAAGATGATCCCAAGATGGAAGATTTGAATATGGAGTTTTGTGATGAAGGTTTCGCTCAAGAACCACAAGTGAACCACTGTGAAGATTCTTCGCCTGTTGGCTCTGACTCTGTTGTGCATGGCTCTTCTTCCGCCATTACTGAAGCAAGCAAGAGAACATTTGCTTCTTCTTCAAGAAACCAAGACGGTAGTGAAACTGGCGAGACAAGGATGGTAGATAAAGAAGACGATCGCAATGATGGTGATGATCCCAAGATGGAAGATACTAATCCTCAAGAAGGCTTGAATACGGGGATATGTGATGATGGTGCCGCTCAGGAACCAAAAGTGAATGACTCAGAAGATGCTACGCCAATTGCCTCTGTTGTGCCTGCTTTTTGTTCCGCCATTAATGAAGCCAACAAGAAAACAGATTCATCTCCTTCTTCAAGAAACGGTGAAAGTAGTGAGACCGGAGAGATAAATAGAGTAGCTGAAGAAGATGATGGCGATGATGAAAATGAGCCTAAGGTAAATGTGAACTGCGTAGATACTCTTTCCAGTTTACTTAATTTGCAAGTACGTAAGATAAATGCTTAAATGTGGAATCTTGGTTACAAATGCAGAGCGATGAAGAAACCAGTAGTAGTCTTGTTACTCAGCTTCCTGAAGAGATTGTTGGATCCAGTAGTCTTGTTATTCAGCCTCATCGTTCTGACTCTGATACGTCTCCATTGTTGATTCCTCCTCGACAAAATGTTACTCAGCCTTCACATCAGAATCCAAGGGTTGATCAGATTGCTAGGATTGGTCAAAGGATGAACCCACAGCAGCAACGCACAAGACCACACCATGGATCAGCATTGCCTGCAGCAAGTTATCAGTACAATTTCATGCGACCTCTTGGTATGCAGCCGCAACTCTTTCCGATGGCTAACCATATTCCCATAGTAGTCCCAATGCAACCTCAGATGTTTAATGGAGGGCCTGCATTATGGAGACCACGTAACACATGTCAGCAGCGTCCGATGGCTAACCAGATTCCCATGTTCGTCCCAATGCAACCTCAGATGTTTCTTGGAGGGCCTGCATTATGGAGACCACGTAACACATATCAACAGCATCCGATGGCTAACCAGATTCCCATGTTCGTCCCAATGCAACCTCAGATGTTCAATAGAGGGCCTGCATCATGGAGACCACATAACACATATCAGCAGCAACCGATGGCTAACCAGATTTCCATGTTCGTCCCAATGCAAAATCAGATGTTTCTTGGAGGGCCTTCATCATGGAGACCACATAACACATATCATCAGAATCCGATGCCTAGCCACATTCCCATTTTCGTCCCAATGCAAAATCAGATGTTTAATCGAGGGCCTGCATCTGCACCATGGAGAGGTCAGAACACATATCAACAACATCCAATGGGGGGTTCGAGGTTTATCCCATGGCATGTACTTTACCAGCTACCAAACTTTCAAATGACGCCAATCCTGGATCCATTTCTGTCTCCGACGGATAGAGAGTGGCCTGTAGCTGAACAAAGAGTGGGAATGAGGCCAATATACTGTGTACCAAATCCAGTGATGTACCCATATCAACGTCCAGAGGCGGCCAACCCTCTAAACCTGAGAATGCCGCAATTCAGAAGTGAAGATGTGTTTACTACAATATCACCAGATGGACTGCCAAGATCAGTTGCTGTACTTGGGAATGGGGACCATTTAAACCTACAACAAGACTTTTTCTTGCTCTTAGATACTGCGTTGGTGGTTTCACCAGGGCCTGTGGTAAATCATCTGGTGCAACTTCATATTCAAACGCAACAGCAAATGCAGGCTGAGGAGGTTCACGGTCCAGCGTCTTCTGAACAAGGTGGAGATCAGCAGCAGCCAACACAATCTCAGGAGGTTGACGGTCCAGCGTCTTCTGAACAAGGTGGAGATCAGCAGCAGCCAACACAATCTCAGGAGGTTGACGGTCCAGCGTCTTCTGAACAAGGTGGAGATCAGCAGCAGCCTAGGTAAAACGATTCTCGACAGTTGACATGTTCTCTAAGTATTTCTTTTCTACCAAAACTCTCTCAGATTTATACTTGTTACCTAGCAAATGTTTGGTATAGAAAAAGTCTGGAACAAGCAAAGAGTTTTACCAAAGTTTTCTTCATTATGATACTAGAAGTTCAGCACTCTACTAGTCTGAAAAGTTGTCTTTTTTTTAATGCCCCATTTAGTGTAATCTCCTAAGGATTCAGAAACGTCTATTAACTGTTGAGCCAAAGTTCTATTCAAAAGTCTGGAAATCAAAATGAAAATAAGCTGTTGGAAGAAGCCTTCATCTTCTCAATCCTGTAGTTAGCAAATCGTTTCTCATCTCCAATTTTTTTTAAAAAAGGGAGTCCATTTCAATCTTTTTAAATGAAAGATCAATCTAGTATTAATAAAGATTCTCTTTTTACAATTGCCCAGTTTTGACTAACATCGAATGAGACTCACAGAGATATCAAATGTTTTGTAAAATTGTGATATTAGAACAACATCAGATTCACTCCTCACTCAGAAGCAGAAGAAGAGAATAAAACAGAGCTGATAAAACGAGACGGAGATCGCGTAATGGGTTTAAAAAATAATCTGTGTTAGAAAGAGAGAGAGGGAGCTGAGAGATGACGGAGAAAGATTATGTTCTAAGCCTGGGTTTGGTCGAAGCAAACAACTATGGAGACTGGGTTTGGTTTGATTTAGGGATTTCAACGATTTCAACGATTTGGTTATTTACGGTTAACGATTTCTTCTCCGTAGATGATGCCACGTGTGTTATGTCGTCATAAAGACTTTTCTGATTCAAAACTGTTAATTTCGCTTTCTAACCGCCAAAATTTGAGTTTTATTCTCTCCTTTGATATTGCTACGTCACAGATCGTGCGACTCAGAAAGCAACATGAATCTTAAATAAATCTTCGTTTTTGTTTAAATATTGGGCCTTTTAAGTATATGGTCAATAATGTTAATGAGCTGAAAAAGAATGAGAAAAGGCCCATTTAAGCTGTGAAACAGTTTTAAAAGTCCCACATCGCAGTAGAACAAGAGAAGAAGCTTTAAAAGTCCCACATCGCAGTAGAACAAGAGAAGAAGCTGTGTTTATATAGCGTTACAGTCGAACAAGTTATTGCCCCTTCGGGGGCATCCGATAAAATTGGAACGATACAGAGAAGATTAGCATGGCCCCTGCGCAAGGATGACACGCACAAATCGAGAAATAGTCCAAATTTTTTTTTTTCAAAAAATTCTGATGAAACCTTAGATCTCTCTGTAGTTGCATGCTTGCAGCTTTGATGTTGGTTGTCTACTGAAACCATCGAAAAATGGTCCAAATCGAGAAATGGTCCAAATTTTTTTTTTTTCAAAAAATTCTGATGAAACCTTAGATCTCTCTGTAGTTGCATGCTTCCAGCTTTGATGTTGGTTGTCTACTGAAACCATCGATCTGTTGTTGCGGGCTTGTTGTTTTGATGTTCGTTGTTTAATGTGTTTTCCATTACAACTCTAATGCATGCTTGCAGCTTTGATGTTGGTTGTCTACTGAAACCATCGATCTGTTGTTGCGGGCTTGCTGTTTTGATGTTCGTTGTTTAATGTGTTTTCCATTACAACTCTAATGTTCTTCTCTGATGGCGACAAAAAGAAAAAAAATGTTCTTCTCTGATGTTTGGTGTACTATTGGGATTTTCAAGTTTGTAAGTTTCGTCAATTCTCTCTATTGTGTCCATTTCCTTTTCTAGTTCTGGAGACTCTTGAGTTTCTGAAGTTTTGGTTTTAGTGAAGCTCTTAGCAATGTCCAGTGTTTATGTGTACAAAATAAGATCAAGATTTCATTGTTGGTTATGTGTTAAAGAGACAATTTCATTCATTGGATGGTAATAGGGTTTTAACTTTTAAGGGATGTGGAAAATGCATAGAAAGCTGGTCTAGATCAGGGAGGGACACAAGAGACATAATAGGATTTTCAGAGAAAATTGTTGTGCACCATTATTAGAGAGTTTTGACAATTTTACTGGATATATGGTTCTTATGTGGAGTGGATCAATTGTCAATAGATAAATGTTAGTTACATGATTACTTTGTAGAATTACATTCCATAAGGTCTTTGAATCATCCAAGAAGTTTGTTTATTACATTCCATAAGGTCTTTGAATCATCCAAAAAGTTTGTTTATGTTCTCGTTGAAGGAGGACCTGAGCGTACTTGTCTCAGACTTTAGTTTACCTTGTTATTTAAGTAGAACTATTCTGTTGGATTCAAATCACTCTTCACAAACTTATGAGTTTTGAGATGTGGTTTAGCCTTGTGAGTCAGGTGAGTTGCAGCAAGTCATGATACCTGAGACCAGTCTGCAGAATCATATTGACATTTTCTTCCTATCTATCCCCAAGTCTAGATCCAATGATGTACCTGCAGGAGCAATTCTTGAGTGTTAGGATGTTATCTATAACACCAAGTTGGCCATGAACATTTGTTGTAAGCTAGTTCAATCTGCAAGCTTCTCCCAATGATTCACCAAACTTCTCTCAATGCAGCAGCTAGCAGCAGAACCATGGCCTTAGCTTAATCAACGAACAAATGATGCAACTTCAGTCTCAAAGGCAACAACCAACACTTGGGGTGTAATGTTGGACCGTCTTCGGACCAAAGTCAAGATTGGCAGAGCAGTTGACATGATTTTCAACTTTGGTTCTAACTTGCATTCTTTCACAAAACGTGATTTTGATTATTTTGATATCCGTAAATAAAATGCTGATTATTGTTTTGCTCAAAGATCTACTAACATTTTGAATATTTCTTTTAAATGACCCATCAGTATTTCCTAATCGAATGAAGAAAATTTTAAGATTTTTAAGTGAAAAGTTTTTTTTTTTTAACGTTGTCGTACGATTCTGTATCGCCAAACAAATTCACCGGTCCGGCCACAAAAAGCAGCGATAGTTTTAAGCGAGTGAACGGTCACGCGCCTTCTGATTCCGTTTAAGTTATTCAGCGCATGTGAACTGTGTCCAGCTTCAACGTTTTACTTTAAAACCAAACTATTCCAACATTAGGGATTTAATCTATAATCAAAGAAAAAGAAAAAGACATGATAATTAATTTTAATCAGATTGATTTTGCCAACATTTTAAGGTATCTCTCTACGGAAAACACTGAATTTAAAAATTAATCACTTTGTCTCTGTTACCAACGCCTTCGGTTTCTCATTTCTCCCTTCAGAGTTCAGACCGCTCCGAATCTATAACCCCAAAATCAGTTTCATTTGCCGAAGAAAATGAAACCTTTCTCTCTCTTTCTGTCTCAGTCATGATCATCTTGTCTTTGTCTGCAAAACCTTTTGAGAACTCTTAATGCTTTTTCCCTAATTTGATCTGCAGCATCTGTCTTAGTCCAAAGGACTTGTCTTGTTATGTTTTTTTTTTTGTTTTTGTTTTAAAGGATACAAGACTTAAACCTTAAGCATAGTTGATTGTTCTGTTCCTGAAACTCCGATTTAAGTTATTAGATCTGACCTCAGCTTAGGACTAAACAAGCTTTTTCTTCGCTGCCATGCTAAAAGCAATAAACAGTAGTAAAAAAAAAGAAAAACCTTTTCTTTTTATTCGGTTGGTGCATTGGTTGTTGGTGTTCTTATCAACTTTCGTCTTCTATTTATTAGCTTTTGGTTGTGGTTTTGTCACTTTCGTTTCAAGTTGCCCAAATTCTGAAACTTTGCTGCAAAAAATCTCTATTGCGTCGGGTTTCTGGTAATTTCTATCAACTCTTTAGTGTCTTTATTTGTACAAAAGATTAAGACTTTGATTTTGATCTCTTTGTCTGAATAAGATAGATAGGCAAAACTTCTGTATCCTTGGGGGGATGAAGAAAGTGTATAGGAAGCTGATTTGGATGAGAGACCCATTAACGAGGGTGAAGAGACACGTTAGTTCACATTCAGGGTTCAGGGTTTTCAGAGATAGAAACTGGATGTTCCCGTTTCTAGCGAGCTTGGTTTTGTCGGTTACTCTCTTAATGTCTGTCCTTTATGTTCAGTTCGACAGTTCTTATGTGGAAGAAGAACCATTGTCTTTTGATAGTGTCTCTGAAGAATTAAAAGATTACTTTGTAGAATCACATTTTAGAAAGTCTTTGAATTCGACGGGTGATTCAAATTCTTCAGAGGTTCCTAAATTAGCTTATCTGATCTCTGGGACGAAAGGTGATAGTCATAGGATGATGAGGACTTTGCAAGCTGTGTATCATCCAAGAAATCAGTATATTCTGCATTTAGACCTTGAAGCTCCACCTAAGGAAAGGCTTGAGCTAGCAATGTCTGTGAGGAGTGATTCGACTTTTCGTGAAGTCGAGAACGTTCGTGTTATGTCTCAGTCTAATCTGGTTACTTATAAAGGCCCTACAATGATTGCTTGTACGCTTCAGGCCGTGGCCATTTTGCTTAAAGAAAGCTTGGATTGGGATTGGTTCCTCAACCTTAGTGCCTCGGATTATCCTCTCGTCACACAAGATGGTTAGTTAACTCAAATCAAATGCCTTTATATTGGATTTAGTGATTTCTGTTTTGGTCTTTGATATATAGTACTGATGTGTTTCTTGCAGATTTGTTGTATGTCTTCTCAAATTTGTCTCGGAGTGTCAATTTCATTGAGCATATGAAGCTTACCGGGTGGAAACTGTAAGTAGAAACTGCTATAGTTTGCAGGGACTGAAAATTCAAAACAGGGATGTATAAGATTTGCTTCTCATGTTGCAGGAACCAGAGGGCCAAATCAATCATTGTTGATCCTGGCTTATACTTGTCAAAGAAAACTGAAATTGCTTGGACTACTCAACACCGTTCACTTCCTACAGCTTTCAAGCTGTTCACAGGTTAGCTACCATCTTCAACTCGACATTACATAAACTGGTCTTATGGATGAAAGAGAGATGGTTTACTTATCTGTCTTGTCTTTAATCTTTCAGGCTCAGCGTGGGTAGTTCTGACCAGGTCTTTTCTTGAATACTCAATCTTGGGATGGGATAATTTCCCGAGGACAATGTTAATGTACTACGCCAACTTTGTATCCTCTCCAGAAGGATATTTCCACACACTCATATGCAACACCGAAGAGTTCAAGAGCACAGCTATTGGTCATGACCTGCACTACATTGCTTGGGACTATCCTCCAAAGCAACACCCAAATTCTCTTTCAATGAAGGATTTCGACAATATGGTTAAAAGCAATGCCTCCTTTGCTCGAAAGTTCCACAAGAACGATCCTGTACTAGACAAGATCGATAGAGAGCTCTTAGGTCGCACTCACCAGTTTTCCTCAGGAGCTTGGTGCATTGGTACCTCGGAAAACGGCGCTGACCCGTGCTCTGTTCGAGGGGATAACTCAGTTTTGAAACCAGGACCTGGTGCTGAGAGATTAATGGAACTTGTTCAGACACTTTTATCTGATGAGTTTAGAAGAAAACAATGTTCATAAGAGGTAATGGTTTCAAGCTAAACAACAAATTGTACATTCATTTTTGTTTTAGTTGTACTCATAGGTCATAGGGTTCCATACAATGTTAAACAAAACGATTTGTGTCAGTAAAAAAGATCGATATAAACGCAATTACAATAGCAAGAGTATGTAGACGGAGCTTCAAAATTAAACTCTTGCTTCAGCTCTGGATTCAATACAAGAAATTGAAAGGGCTCTAACAAAAAAGAGTTTGAAGAAAACAATATGTTTCCTTTTGAAATTCAAGGTTTAAGTACAGTTGTAAAGAGGATCGGGAAAAGAATCACAATAACAAGTATGATAGCGAGAATAATGGCGATACAAGTCCATTTCCTTGAGTTCTTCTGAAGTTCTTTAGCCCCATGCAACTGATCAGTCCCTCTCATGACGAAAGAGCTCGCCTTTGAGACATTTGATTCGATGTCATTGAGCATATTCCCTTGAGCTTCCACAAGAGCAGCCATGTCGAGGAACACTTGGTGCAGCTCTAACAGACTCCGTTCTATCTCCTTAACTGTGTCGTGTCGTTCTTGAATTTCTGATAATGTGTCCATAATCTGTCCACGGCCTTGCTCTTGTATGGCTTTTTGGAGAAATCGTTCGCTCTCTCCGCTCGATATTAGCTTCTCCACCGTCTCTTCATCTGCTTTCTGCCCCGTTACAGTGAAGTATCTTCAAAGATCCAACCAAAACACACAAAACTTTACTATCACTTAGTTCTAAAGATCAAACTTTTTTGTGTGGAAAGTATTTGTTGATTCAGAGTAATGACCAAATGAAAGAAAAAGAAGTAAGAGATCATATAAAATTTACCGTCTCTCGACTGTTTCTTTATACTCAGAAGCCATTTTGGATCGTAGTCTCTGAAAATCATCCATCATGTCTTTGAGCTTCTTCCCCAACCCACTAACCACCGATGTTCTGGTCCGATCAGCAGAAGATCCAGGACCACAGCCAGAGACTTTCCTCTGCGCAGCATTTGATTTCTCCAAAGCCACAAGCTTTGACTTTATCATCTTGACACGTTTCAAGACCTCTGTAACACTCGAATCCATACGAGCACGAAGCTTTTTAACGGCCTTGGAGTCGTGTACGGTCTTGGACTCTTCGTTAGCGTCTTGGAGACGCTTATGAATCTCATCGACAGCTTTCATGTCTTCTTTAACACTCTCAACGTATCCGAAGAACTCATCGAGGTTGCCTGAGTCGAGAGAAGCATTTTGAGATTCGATGTCATCGAGTTGGACTTGATGGTTCAAGTCTGTGTATCTCTTGAATGAGCTTGAGATTAGATCGTTCATGGTGACAATCAAGAAATAGATATAAAAAAAGGATTTTAATTTCCTGAAAATGAACAGAGGAACATTATGGTGGTTCAGATGGTTGACATTAAGCTAGAGAGACCTTTCAGAGATGTCTGAAAACGAATGTGAAAAAATACTAAATAGATAACATTGTATGAGCTGTGTGTTTAGAACCAGTCAAGAGGGTCTAAAGACCAAGGAAGACTTTGTTAAGAAGATGGAATGTAATCACTACGACATTGTGATTTGGTTGGTACCATGTTGCGGAGACGTGGTCTCCATTAACTATAACTTTTTTTAAGTTCTGTGGAAAATTTCAATGCAATTAAAGGAGTGGACCTTGAGGCTTTTATGAGGAATTTACCAATTGTCTAGTAGGCTTTAAAACTATGATTGAAAACAAGTTGTTAAAAGTATTTAAATCTGCAAACCAACCAAACCTGTGAATTCAATTCATTATTGTTGATATCTGCATAATCATGGACAAGTCTGACCAGATTATTCGGCTGTAACGTCATTGATTCAAGCTGCTCTCGTAGAGAGTTCTGTTTTACACATGAATACTACCACTCTAAGCTAAAAGACTTCACATAAGAGTACAGACTGAATCGATATGACATAAAAAGCTCCTGCGGAAGATTAAGAATAAGACTTGTCCCTATTTTCACCTGAGTGGTCTCTGAAAACCTCCCAAGTTAAAAAGGGTGTGAATGGAAGCAGCATCGGTTATGAAAGGAATCTGAGCATAGACTCCAGCAAGGGCGCACCGTATGCATTCAAGAAGCAATAATATGTAGGTGAATCCTATGGCCATCCAATAATACATCCCAAACCGTCCTTTGAAATGAATTAGCGGGAAGAAATTGCTCGTGCACCATATGACCTGAAGAGCTGTTTCAAGAAGCATACCCATCATCATGTGAAACCTCAAGTAATGAGGCAGCCTCTTCTCCTTCACCACAAATGTATAACCCAAGTAGCAGTAGGCCATGAAGAACCACGTAGGCCACCTGTTTATCGCTCCCGGGATGAAATATATCATGTCTCCAATCGCATCATGCTTTTCTAGAAACGGTTGGACATAGTACCCAACATCAGATATTTGGAGGGATATCAAATAAGGAACACAAGCCAATGTCCTCCACCACCATTCAGGTCTCTCTGCAATTCTAGGCAGTTTGATTTTAAAGAAATCATCTTTGGCCACTCTTGCAGGCTCTATTGGTCTCCGGTGTCTTCTCAAACCAGGAGCTAATGATGGCAAGCCATGACCAAACAGCTGGTTGGATGATTTTGCTGCTGCTGCAAAGTCCGTAGATGCAGTTGCTGCAGAATTTAGCAGTTCGGATCAGTTAAATCACAAAGAACAAAGCAATTAGTTGCCAAGTCTCAAAGCCATGATAAAACGGTTAAAAATGTCCTTTTCTGGTAAAGTTGATTATGATGAGCTAATCAATTTTCAACAACTCAAGTAAGGATCATGTCTGATGGGTTTTGTTGCTATTCATACATGGTTAAAAAAAGAACCAACTTGAATCTAAATAATACCTGTAAGAGGAGCAATCTTTTGGGGACACCTCAGTGAAACTGAACTTGCTGAAAATCTTAGTTTTGCAGATGAATCAGCGTTGGGGAAGAAGACCCTTGGATTCACAACATTCTTCAAAATTGGACTATGGTTCCTGCTTTACAAATCATGAAGGTCACGAAAAGGAACCAAAAGCATCAAAACTATGTGAAGCATCGAACATCAAAACACTTAAAAAAAAAAACTGGAGAACGCAAATGACCCAATTCTTGACAATTTAAACCCCAAGTCCAGATTTTGTCACCAGCAAAGTCAAACCGAAATCTCAAGAATTTATACACAAACTGATCTGAAAGTTCATTGAATTTGACGATTCAAACAGGGCAGAGCCAAAATCAAACATATATAAGATCATAGAAATCGAATACTCCTAATTAGAATCATCCTATGCAACAAAAAAAACATCAAAAGAAAGAGCAACTCCGAAATCGGAGAAGGGAGAACCCAGAAAACGCAGAGAGATAGAAGGATCAACGAAAGAATTGAGTTGATCATATCAGAGAGGGGAACCTGGGAGCGAGGAAGGTGAGAGAGCCATGGTTGGTGGTAGTCGCCGCCAAACCCTGCATAATTTTTTCTCCGGCGAGAACCTTCCGAGCTTTAGGGTTTCGATGTTATAAAACAAAAGAAAAATCAAAAATTAAGAGAAAAAAAAAACAAATCAAAACCGGTGAGGAGTAGAGAGTAAACTTCACGTGCAAGAAATATGAAGCCACCTGATTCTGATAAAGGTGGCTATTTTCTTTTTTAGGTCGGTTAAGTGAAGTACTCTACCTTATTGGGCTTTCAATAATAGCCCATATGTCACAAATTAGGCCTGTTAAAATTCGTAGTCCTATGTATTTTGTTTAAAAACCAAACGTAATTTTCAAAAATATATACACATACTAATTTACAGCTGAGAAGATGCAGATCAATGTCAAGCGATTTTTACAAAGAGTTTTTTTGTTCATTATTACCAAAACACATTAAACGACTAGAGAAAGTTCACGCAGCTATAGGTATCTAGCTTAGAACGAATGTAGCAGATTATATAATTAGTTGGATAGCAGGTATGGGTTAGCAACTTGCATTGATATTGTTCTCAGTGTTACAAACTCCTCCTTGTTGATAATTTTCTTCAGGAGATACAATTTTGGCTGACAAGAGCTCGGTTCTAGATGACTGCATGATCCTGCGCACGAGAAAAGGAACACACAGACGCAGTGTCCACAAATGTCAATTACAAATATATCTTATAGAATGGTTTCAATTAAGAACAAAGACTTGGAGACAAGCGAACATACCTACTCTATAACTTTGTCACTAAAGTTGAACATCCTTACCATCTCCACAGGATAAGGACATTTAAACATGAGAGATATATTCAGTGTCTAAAACATATACAAACATTTTTAAAAAATGGTAGATGCTTCATATGGCCATTGTTCCGATAACATTCAAAATTAGATCAAAACATTAATCAGTAGTGCCCTGCAAATCTTCACTAAACCAATTCATATAGCTAAGAAAATGATAAGATCTCAAGCATAATGATTCCAATCACCACATAAAAGTTTCAGAGACTCAATGAAGAACAAAACTATACAAAGCAAAGTTCCCCTAAGCTATAGGAGTAAAACATTTCTTTTCAGAGTAATTAATCTACAATGCAACTTAAAGAACAGAAGCTACTGATGTTTTCATTGGTACCTCTCAAAGCTTTTTGCTTCAGATTTTGTGCGGGCAACAATTTTCCTCCCATCAGCTGCAAGCCCAGCAACAGCCTGAAAACAAACCTGGAATACTTCATTAAATTCAATTCCAAGGTTGGATACTTAACAGTTCCGTATTTTATAAGAGAATCAATAGCTCTTGTGCTAGCATAATTATCAGCTTTGTTGATCACTTTTCCAAAACTTGGTTCTCCTCTGCGTCACAGCCAGTGTGAAAACTATGTATGATCCAACAGAGAGACAAGTAATCAACGCAAATACAGCTCCAAAATTGTAAGACAGTTATATTATGACCACAAAAATACATCGACCTATCATTCTTTATATGTGAAAAAACACTATTAATGCAATAAGGACTGTGATAGCAGGATTAGAATTCTCTAATAGGAACTCTACAAAATTTAACATATATAAAAAAACCCAAAAAGAAACTGGATATAACAAAATCACATGATACAGACTAGCAAAGAGGAATTTCTCAGTCGACACAACTTGACATATAATTAGTGATGTAAGGTTAGAACTTAAAGGCAATCTAGCTAGACCCCATTCTGATGTCATATACTTAGTTCATTCTCTGCATGCATTAGTAAAATTATTCGAAACTACATGGATTTTGTAGCTAATTAATTAATATGCCATGGTTAAATTGAAAGAAAGAAAAAATGAAGGAACCTGAAGGCTAGATAGGTAAGAGAGCAACGGTCAGTGGTCGCCGCCAAACCCTGCATCATTTCATCCTCAATAAGTTTCGTATCTTTATGTGCAAGTAACTTTGACAAGCTATTGCACCATTACTTATACTGCACCTTCTGTTCAATTTTATATATTCTCTATTTTTTCTCTTTCCCCTCCTCATAAAGATATCGATAAAAATAATTAAAAATTTCCTTTCTGTACTTAGGAATCTAAGATTACAAATAGCTTTGGAAGATATTGAAATGACAAAACAAACATTTAGTGAAGCTTGACTTACATGATGTTCTTAGTCTTGGGAGGAGGATATAAGGAGTAAAGCTTGACCGACCTCTCAACAACCACAAGTTGTGCCTTAGCTTCAGCATACGCCTTGGATTGGTCAGTGAGATTCTTGTTCATGCGGAAGCCATCCATGGTCCTTCGCTTAGTGTACTCCCTAAGGTTGTAATGAGGGAATTGACGTCCCGCTCGAAGCAGGGCACGACAGAGGCTGAGAAGTTCACTTCTAGAACCCATTGCAAGATTGGAGGAAACTAACCCTTTATTATAAAGAGACTGCTTAACTGCAATCAGTATAAGAAAACATTAATAGGAATGAAAGAGCAACAACGAGGAAGAACGAGAAGGAGTCAAGATAAGGGCTAAATACATACTTTGACATATAACAAGAAAGATATATAGAAAGTGAAAAGGATTAAGGATGATACATCATTTATAAAGCTAAAGAACCTAACTTTTGAACAGTGAGGAGAAACCAATTTCAACATTTGGGCAGAGAGCTTTATGTTTCGACATCTCACATAGTATAAAGCTTTACCCATATGTTGAACCAAACGATACCATCACAAGACAAATCCAGGAAACGAAAGAGTAGAAATCGAAACATCAATAACCTAATCAAGCCATCCAAAGGATCCCAAAACTGAGGAACTAAACCTTACGCATACTGAATCGAAGAGATGAATGAAACAAACAACAAGCAAAAACAGTTTCACGCATACTGAATCGAAGAGATGGAGACATGAGAGTACCGTGTCACAGCGAAGAGAACCAAGCTCAGAAATACAGATTTATCTTCTCGCCGGAGATCGGAGAATACAGAGGTTTTGAATTTCGTCGAGATAACAGGGATTAGTTTCCGACGTTTGTATTTTGGTAAACGGGCCTTTTCGGGCCGGCCTTTTGAAATTAAAAGCTGGGCTTTTGAACAAAGCCCAAATACAACAATATTAAACCGACGAAGGAAAGGGTAGTTACGACATTGTATATTTAGGGTTATTGGGTTTTTAAATCAACGCATGCTCTCTAGTCTCTCCCTATATAACACAGCCGCGTTGAATCCATAACCAAATCATTCACAGCCTCGCAATAGATTGTAAATTAGGGTTCTTCATTGCTTTTTCTTAGATTTAGGGTTTATTGATGATATTGCAGGAGCCCCCGGGCTACTCTGATTTATTTCAATGATATGAAGAAATAAGCCCCAAAGCTCCTGCTAAATTAACTGACATTCGTGTTGCAGTTCTGTCTCTTTTTGAATCCGGCTTAACTGTGTCAAAGCAATGTCTAGATTTATTTTTGTAAATTGTTATTTTGTTTGATTGATTAGGGTTTTGGATTTGTTTGGGTGGCTATGATTACAAAATTATCCGCGCTTCTGAGATTATTTTGGTCTATGAAGTATATACGGAAAACAATGGTTGAATTTCTTAATATGAGCCATCTAAAGTATCTTCTTTGATTTATGTTTTTGCTTGGTGTTTGTTTGTTATGAGAAGAGAGCACTGATGATTAAATCTAACAGCTTTACGCCAGTTCTGCTTCAGAAAATTCTTGATAGAAGAAGCTGTATATTAATCTGAGCTCTTTTCTTATGTTTTTTTAAAAAAATAACTCTTATGTTGCCTATGATGATACAATCCTTTTTCGAGGTGCAGTGGAGCTGAGACCCTGTTTACAGGGAGAACCCCTTGGCAAAACTGCAATTTCTATGAAGCTATATGGATTCTTACTGAGGCTTTTGTCTGTTATATCTTGTTTTTGTTTTCTTTACGTGAATACGTTTTTCGACCTTGCGATTTGAGTAACTAAAAACACCATATTTTGGACTAAGACACCATATTTATTTTGGACCAAATCAGTAAACGGACAAATATGACTGGTGGTAGGAACAGTATTGAAAATATTGTTACGGTTCAACTAATCTTATGAAAGACTCTGTAAACGTTCAATAGTCGAGACTATATAAGACTCAGTAAACGTTCATAAGTCGAGACTGCATCAGTATATGAATTACAAATTTAGGGATCAGAGAAATTTGGCTTCATCCTCCATGTCTTTCTGGCTTAAAAGAGTAATTGTTTTACTGGTATTGAGAAAGCTCTTGTTTGAAATTCAGGTTAAGTGAATAGAAACAAAAACATCATCACTCATTACATATTAAACAGACGAAACTACAAGTTTTACAATATGCGCTCGCAATTCTAATCGATTTAGTTCGTTTATGAGATTATGTGTTTTTTTTTCTAAACCGCAAGAGAATTGTTGGATGAAGTAAATTAACCAAACTCTTACAAAAATCAACAGTAAGTAAAAACAGTTAAAAAGTAATTATCAGCTCGATGAGCTAAAGAAACGACCCTTTTTCATCATTTGTCTAAACTCCATGTAATTAACCCTACCGTCACCATCAACATCCACTTGCATTATCATCTTCCTACAATCCTCCAACGTCTTACCTTGCTTGAGTCCCAAGGAAGATAGAACCGCTTTCAATTCATCCACCGTTATAAACCCGTCTCCGTTCCGATCAAACACGTTGAACGCTTCCTTCATATCTTCTTCTCCTACCTCGTCCTCATCCCCTACCATTATCGTCTTGTATAGCTCTCCAAACTCTTCAATGTCAACACAACCGTCACCATTGACATCGATCTTTTGGATAATTTGCGTTAGCTCGCTTTCTGGTATTATGATTCCGAGGTTTTTTAATGACTCGTTTAGCTCCTTTGTAGTGATTCTTCCGTCTCCGTCCTTGTCGAACATTTGGAACACACGTTTTAGCTCCGTGGAATCCATTTCTTTTTATAAATCTAGGGCTTTTTTTTTTGAGGTTGCCGTGTGGTGGAAGAAAAAGTGAAAAAGAAGAGAATGATGAGACTCCGAGAAACCGAGAAAGAGGGTCCTTTCTTGGCCTCTTGGAGACCCGATGAGGGTAGGTTTCAGAAACTAAGGAGAATGTATTCAAGAGAATTGGTAAGAAATCTTAGCCAAAAGCTCGAGGTAATAACATATAGATACAGACTAAAATAGAAGAGATAGAGAGAGATTTGTCTTATTTGTTGGTCGAGAGGAAATGTTGCTTCTTTTAAAAAGGTGACTTTTGTGGCATTGTAACACCATCGAAGACTTGAAAAATTTGATCGGTTCTATGAATTTCAACACAAAAAATAATTAACATTTTTCACAGCCGAACGAAACAAAGATCCTAAACATCAATTCGAACCAAGAGACTATTTTATTTTATCATGTAGATCTAAATCTGTATATTTAACTTACCTTAGCCGGCAAAAGAACAAAGACCAAATCCTTTGGAGTGGTGAGCCACTATGTGATACTGTCCCAACTACATGTATGAAGTCGCTGAGTATATTTTTACAATAAGAGTTGAAAAAGAAAACAATGGCAACGACAAATAATTATTTGTTAATACCCTAGTTAAATGATATATATGTTCACAATCTCATTTTAACATCGCATTCGCATGTGCTATGGGACAAAAACAAAAAAGAGAATGATGAGTAAAATTGAGTCTAACACAAAATCTATAGCAAATGATTAAAAAAGTGCCCACACGCAGGATCGAACTACGGACCTTCAGTTTACAAGACTGACGCTCTACCACTGAGCTATACGGGCCTTTGCTTTAATTCACAATAATATATTTATATATCTAAACCCGTATTAAGTTATGTCATTAACTCATTACACTAATCAAACATTAATATAGTTTCACCGGCCAAAATGACTCTTGAAAAATTGAATTTCTATATTATGCTGTTGTAGTTCTCCTCATCTCCTGTATGACTAGATTCATGTATTGATACTCTTTTGTTCCCATTATTTATATATAAATGTAGTATGTTTGAGTGAAATTAAACATGAAACTTGAGAAGTGAATGAACATAATATTGCATGTAAGAGGCAATAATTCACAGAGTAATGCCAGGACAAGTATGATTACAGAAAGCTTTTACATTATAAGAACATCCGAACAAGTCTTACACAAAAAGACCAAATCTTTCTTCTTCTCTTGTTGAAGATTTGTTTTAGAGTCTTTAACTTAAGACCACCATGGGGCATCACCGGTCCTGAAGTCAGTTTCCTTCCATGGAACAAAAAGAACCTTCCCAGCATCATCTATATCAGCGTGAGCCAATGCTAGCGACTGTTCCATGAAATTAAAAGTTTAGTTTACAAGGTTCAGTTTTAGAGAGATATGCAGAAAAAGAGAATGTTATTTATTTCACTTACCAATGGAGCTGGACCTCTAACGACTCTTCCTTGGGCGTTGTATTGGGAACCATGGCAAGGACATAGAAACTTGTTCTCAGCTTTGTTCCATGGCACAACACATCCAAGATGAGTGCACACTGCGTTGATACCGTATGTTGCTAGAGTCTTGTCGTTCTCCACAACTAGGTAAGTAGGATCTCCCTAGAACATACAATCGACACCAGACACCCATTGAGATGCAATAACTTTTACTGAGATCTTGAACCAGTGTTTCAAGGAGGGCTAAATAACTTGTTCATCTTCTTATAGTACTAATGGAACTTTTTTTTACCTTTAATCCTTGGGTGAGGGTTCGATCACCGGGACCATGTGTCTTAAGCCATTCCGTTGCAACTACATCGTTTCCAAGTGCATCCTTGGCTGGAGTACCACCACCTCCACCTCCGGTTCTATATTTTTCAAAGAAACATAGAGATTGTGAATCAAGACCATTGAATTAAAATCTCATTAACCTCACATCTTAGTAACACAAAAGAAGCCATACAGTGATTCATATACATATTGGAACCAGAACCAAAAAGCTAAAGCTAAATAGCATACAAAAGCAAATTCAAACTTCACCACAATCAAAAGAGTCTATAGATTTTTTCAACATAATAATGCGATCAGTGTTCAGTAAAAGAATGCCAAATTCATGAATCTCATTCGAGAACAAAACCGAGGGAGAGATCAATATTCAAAAGATATACTCTTAAGGCTTTACACCAACAGAAAGAGTACAAAATTGTAAACTTTACCAAAACAAAACATAATAATAACATCATAGACTCACCCTGATGCAATAAATGTTATAAAGAAAGAAGAAATTTGGAATCAAAATCGAAGAAGAGAGTAAAAGTGAACTCACCCAGGAGGAACAAAGAAGGTACCGTAAGGGACAAGCATGTAACCAGTAGGGAGAGAAAGAGCCCCAACAAGAAGAAGATTCAAAAGCTTTCTCTTTTCCATGTCTGGAACTCTGTCTGCTGGAATACTCGACGCTTGGCAAGCAATTCTCAATCCAGTCTTCTCCTTTCTTACCATCTGATGATTCGTCCTCGTTGGCTTCACAAACAAGCCACGCGACATCGCCATCAACGCACTTCTGCTCGAACCAAGCTGCAACCAAAAAAAGAACGAAAATTTTCAAAACCCATCACTTTAAAATCTGCCCTTAAACTAGTAAATCAACTCCGATTGTTTCGATTCGAAGGATCAAGAATGAACCTGAGTAGCGGGGGAAAGGGAAGACGACGCCATTGATGTAGTCATCGAAAGCTCTAGCTAAAAAAAATGATAAAAGGGTTTCGGCCCGAAGCTTTTGATGTTGTGGAGGAGGATGACAAGTGGGATCACACAGAGAGATTTAAGACCACTGAAGAGAGAGTAAGCAGATAAGGCACGCGCCACCTCTGCTTCCACATAGCCACACACTTTGATCAGATTTTGGATTTCTTGATAGATGTGATTATTAATGGGCTTTATACGGCCTTAATGGTTTATTAGCTATCAGGATCTTAGTGGGCTTATTAACTTCAGTAAGCCCATATATTTGAAAAGATTAATAAAAAGGAGAGGGAAAAGGTAAAGAAGGAGTCAACGAAGCAAATTAAGGTGAAATGATTATGAATTGTGCATGGCGTGAGACTCTGCGAGACATGCACTCATCACGTGCTTGCATGTGTGTCTCTTTGCTTTCTCTCTTTTCGTGTCGTTTTGTTTATTCTCATTTCATTTCATATAGATAATTATATCCAGTACGTACGTAATAATTTTCTTTTATAAATTGCCTAATCAGTTTCACATTATTAAGTAGGTACGTAAATATGAAAATCTCCTCATATCCAGTGCAATTCTTGCCTTGAATCTGTCACTACTAGTATTAGACTTTTAATACTCCGATCCAAAGATTATAATTCCTAATTTAATCATATATTTATATGATTATAGCTAGCTATTGTCTTCGATGAATGATGATCACAATTTCTCGTACTTAATTACATGCAAATATATCATGTATATTATTTAACTATACACGTATTTTCTCATAGCAAGATATATGCTATATAGAGAAAAACATTCATAAGTTTTCGACCCATTTATTATGTTTAAATTTCTCGTTTTTAGGTCCGATATAATAAAGGGTGTGTTGGTAAACTAGTACGTTTTTGAAACATAATTATAAAAATAGTACATTTACTATTCATAATTAGCAAATAAGTACAATTTTACTATTACAGATATTTGTACAGATAGACAACTGTACAGTAACATATTATTGTACATCAAATATTTGTACAAAGAGAAACAACTACATATAAACATATTTACACATAAACAAATATACATATATAGACCAGAAAATATATGTACACATACAATTATACGTATATATAGACCGATGTACGGATGATTTTCCGTACATCAACACACAACTGTACATAAGGATAGCTGGACGTATCAAAATTTGTTTGAAAAATATTTGAAATTATATTTTAAAAAATGCATATCAAATTATAGAGAAAAAATATAGATTTTTATGTAATTGAAATTTTATAGAAAACAAATATATTTTGATGAATATTTTTAGTTATTAGATTTAAGGAGGTTTTTAATAGTGTCTAAATAGTGTCCAAATAGTAAAAATGTATTAGTTTGCTAATAATGAATAGTAAATGTACTACTTATACAATTATGTTTCAAAAATGTACTAAAAACCCAATTACTTCTATAATAAATGCATCCTATTTACAATAATAGAGAGTCCCGTATAAAATGTGACTAGTGCGTTACAAAGGATGAAAATTTATAGATTTTTAGTTTTTTTTTGTAGTCATATGTTTAAGAATTAAAAAGGTTGTAAACTTGCATATATACAGCTAGTAGTGCGTTGGTGTAAGTGACTAGTGTTTTTCACTGCGGGAGAAGTGCAGTGCGGTTCAAATAATAACAAAAATATATAGATATATATGTATATGCAGATATTTTGACACTGTTACAGCACTATTGCGGTGCGGTTTTGTAGTGCGGTATAGTTAACACTCGGAGCCAAAGAATCAGAAAATCAATTTGTACAGTAATAACATTATATTCAGAATTCGTGTTATACCAATTAAAATGGTTTATAAGTATATTCTTCATGATGTGAATTATATAATGACTTTTTTTTTGTCTGCTCTATTTTGGTAATGGTTAGAAAAAGCATAGCATTCGAATGTTCTTTGTAAATAGCTTTATTTTTCAAGAAAAATGAATACAGTAATGTTACAAAAGAAAATTACTTAAAACTCTAAAAGAAACGAAAATTAAAAATTAAACTGTAGAATGCTTTTTAGGCTTTCCCTTTGTCCAAATGCATCCTATCTCTATTGTTCTCTTTCCAACAATGCATCATATATCTCAGACTCAGATCTTATTTCAAGTAAGTAACCATGTATATCAATATCATTGGTTTATATTTTACTTGGACTTTGTTCACGTATTGACACTAGTTTATGTTAACTACTAACTAGTACCTACTAGGTACATAGGATTTCACTAATTAATAAGTAAAATTTTAAATTTACATTATACTTATATTTAATTTCTGTCATGGTGTCCTAAATTAATATACTTTAATGAAAAAAATCAATTAGAAGAATTATATTTTCGAAATTACTAAGAAACACGCCCTAAGTATCCTTAAAGCACCAAATTTTTAAAACTAATTGTTATTTTGTAGTTTCTTTTTTTTTGGTAAGACTTATTTTGTAGTTTCTTCTCAGTAACATCTTTTTTTTTTTTTTAATGTTCGATGACAAATGCAAAATATAATTGACACACATTGGACCATCAAAAAAATTATAATGAAAACTTCAAGGTATTAGAATCATTTGGATTTGAGATGAGACACTACTCATATTCAGATCCTAGTTACCAATATTTGAAATTTATATATCCTACCCAATTAGTGTATTTCCAAATATTTTACCTATGATATTATGCATTGAAAGATGAGTAATAGTATAAGCATAAATAGCATAAATTACAAAGATGGCGCAATGTTGAAGCAAGGCACCCCAAGGCCAACAAGTGAGCTCATAAAGTCAGTCACTGATGAGGCTTCTTCTAATATTCTTTTGCCTCTCCTTTTTTTTTATCTTTTTGTTTTTCTCATATTATTATTATATGGACGTAAGTTAAAAGAAAAAGCACCTCCCATGCTTTATTTATTCACACTACATACAAATATATATACATTGCAAACCTTGACTAATACAAGAGTTAGAGAAAAATCTACATATATATATATATATGCCATGGATTAATATGTCTAAAATAGATATAATCAAAGTTGTTTAACGACAAAAGTTGTTAATAATCTTGAATTTACCAACCCACTCTCCATTAGTCAATTTCACAAATTTATTAGTATCATCAGTTACTTGCAAGCACCGTTATCAACATTTTAATCTTTTACTAATATGTATGTCGAAGGCTTTGGATTCCACGGGAACTTACAAAAAACTCATCGGATTCAATTTTTCATGTTTACAAATAAACAAAAACCACCTCTCTTCTTTATACATTTGGTAACTATATGTATCTAATAGAGAGAGATTAGAAACTCGTGCAACACATATACATATATATGTCATTAAGGTTTCTTAATTTAAAACTTTTCTTTGTGGTATATATAATTCCGTATGCGTTGATCATGATGAATCCTTGTGGTTATTAGATGACCGGTCAATGCTAATCTAATCTCTCTGATCTATACAAGGGTTTCCAATGATATTCAACTTAATTATTAATCGACACGTATTACTCGAAATGGATATATTAAATGAATAACTATATATAGAGTCGTATGCAATTGAAAACTTTGTAACGTAATGTCATGATGATTTGGTCTTTGAATCTCACTCTATTCCACACACACTCTGCAACTGCAGAAACAAAGTACATTTCAGCAGGGTACTAAAACTGTAAGCTGCATTTGTATTATTGTTTAATGTCATTAATATTGTTTAATGTAAGGAAGAAAGTGAGAAGAAAATATATAAAAAAGACAAAGCAAAGAAGTATCAGTTCCCTTTAAAGTACTTCAAAGTATATATAGGTGGCCCTTGAGGAATTTGGGTGTTATACTCTTTGAATCTTCACTAATCTCATTCAATAATTATTAATTTGCAGTTTCCTAAGCTAAAACTACAAGTGTACCATCATCAACCGGACTTAAAAATTTGTAAATGCATGTTGTTAAAAGAAAGAAAAATTAAAATGTAATCTCTTTTCATGTTAACACTATGTTATTATAATCCAGTCACTTTTTGTTGTTTACTAGTACTAGCTAATACACCCAAACCTAATATATAAGGGTTTTTTCTTTCTTACGTTACCATGCATTTACCAATTACCAACATGTTTTCTTCTATATCCTTACAACTAATGTTTGTTAGGTAAGTCAATGCTTTCTTTTTCATTTCGTTCACATCTACAATTTTCAAAAATTTATATATATACTTAATGTTTTCATAGTTTTCTCGTCTAACAAATTAGACAGTCGGGCTTTGACAGTAAAAGATAAAAAGTAAAAAAAAGAAAAGAAAAAAGAGTTGGTCAAGTGGCGTTTTCACATGGCAGTTTGTTCATTGACTTATCAATTTTATTTCTTTATTGACTTACAAAATTGAAATCGATAAATAATGTATATTGTTGGGAAATTCAAAACCTAACAAAAGGTGAGTGAGTACAAAGACTTGAGGACAAGGAAGAAACCAAGCTGTCACAAACCTAATTTAACAAATGTATGATACTACTATATATATGTACATTATAAACAAAACAAAACAAAACAAAGACTTAAAAGATTTTTCAAAAGTTAATCAATGTTTTTAACTGTTAGGACAAGAGATTCCAAAGTGACGAATCTTTTTAATGTGGTTTTCTTTGAATAAAAACTATACACTACACATAAGCTCTCTACTAATGAGTAATGACCACGTCATGTAATAACACCATTATGGTCTGAGGATAATTGGATAAATGACATTATCATAATTATTTTAACCAATATAAATGTAAACTTACAGTAATTTAATTAGGAAATTAGATTGGGTAAATATAAAGACTACTTTTTATTACTACTACTTAGTGAAGGACTGCAATGTAAATATTTAATGCAAACTGATAAATTTAGTACATAAATTATGGTTATAAATTTATAATGCAAAACAGATAAATTTAATTAATACAAAGAATCTAATAGAGAATGCTTGATAATGTTTTATTTTAAGAACTAAAAAAAGAAGAATCTACTTTAAGTTGAAAAAGATTTAATTTATCAAATGATAGATTCTTCTCATTAATCTAACTCTCTATTAATGATAAAAAATCGAATAATTAATAATTAGAGAGATCATAAATCATGTATCATAAGTTAATTACCCGAAGTGATAATAAATAAATAAATAAAATCCCTCAAAAGACCAAAACCAATTCTCTCTTTCTCTTTCTCTCACACACACACAATAAAGACAACTTCTCTCTTTTGATGTCTCTCTCTCTTCTTCTTCAGAAGACAGGAAGCTAGAGAGTCTCATCATCATCATCATCATCAAATCTAATGGAGTTTCATCTTGAACATCCTCTCTCACATTCTTCTCTACACAACAATAACTCCAACGACGATGAAACTGCACCACACTCCCTCTTCCTCGTCGAGTTTCAACACATGCCTTCTTCTCATTACTTCCATAGCCTTAAGTCCTCTGCTTTTCTTCTCTCTAATCGACACCACGCCATTTCTTCAATCCTTCAGGTCCTTCTCTCTAATCGACACCACGATTCTCTAAATTTTACTCATGAATTTTCTGGGTTTTGTTTACTAAGTATACTGAATCGTTATCGGAGAAAACTTGATTAACTTTATTTTTCGTCACTGGAAAAATCGCAGTATTCAAGAAAATTCGACGACCCATCTCTGACGTATCTTGCTGTGAATTATCTAGACAGGTTCTTGTCTAGTGAAGATATGCCGGTAATAAAAAAAAAAAAAAACAGAATCTTCCGACAGAATCTGTCTTTTGTTTCATCTGAGATATGTCTAAAATGTTTATCTGTTATTGTTTTGTTCAACAGCAACCAAAGCCATGGATTCTCAAGCTTATCTCTCTTTCTTGTGTCTCTTTGTCTGCCAAAATGAGGAAGCCAGAGATGTCTGTTTCTCATCATCTTCCGGTAACGCAAAGACTGAATCTTTTACATTGTGAAACGTGTTTTTTTTTTAAGTGTTGTTAAGTGTCTGAAACATTGAAGAATGTGTGATCTTTCAGGTGGAAGGTGAGTTCTTTGATGCTCAGATGATAGAGAGAATGGAGAATGTGATTTTAGGAGCTCTTAAATGGAGAATGCGCTCTGTTACTCCTTTCTCCTTTTTCTCCTTTTTCATTAGTCTCTTTGAGCTCAAAGAAGATTCTTTCGCACTAAAACATTCCCTCAAATCTCAAGCCATTGATCTTACTTTTCATCTTCAACATGGTAAACAAATTGATGTTTTCTTCATTCATAAATAACAATCACAATCACATTCTCATGCTTTAAACTGAATGCGTCTTAAAAACAATGCAGATATCAGATTCCTCGAGTTTAAACCATCGGTGGTTGCAGGCGCCGCGCTTCTCTTTGCTTCTTTCGAGCTCTGTCCTCTACAGTTTCCATGTTTCAGTAACAGAATCTGCCAATGCACATATGTAAATAAGGTAAAGTTTTTGAACAAGTAAAACTCTAGCTTTTTTTTCTAGCGCGATACTGAGCGAGCATTAAATCGTTATTGCAGGATGAGTTAATGGAGTGTTACAAAGGAATACAAGAGAGAGACACAGTAGTGGAAGAAAACGAAGGAAGCACTGAGACAGCAGTAAATGTGCTTGATCAGCAATTCTCAAGCTGCTGTGAAAGCGATAAGAGCATCACAATCACAGCTTCTTCACCAAAGAGGAGGAAGACTAGTACTCGTCGATGTTAAGCTGAAAGAAAAGGAGGTTTATGGTCAAACATAATCCCCAGATGATTCAATCACTTATTATCTACTTAATAAATTAAAAAAACTACTCCTGGTCCCGTTATGAAAACGACACTTGCTTCTTTCCTCTTTCTGCATCCATCTTCTGCTTCATAATAAGCCATTCTCTTCATGGAAGACAAGAGAGAAGTGATGAATGATCAAAGCCGAAACCTCGTGTTCTGTTCCATTTCTTGTTCCTTTGGACCACAACACAAAACTCAAAATTCAAAAAAAAAAAAATGCTGTAATATTTATCTATCCTTACCTATCCTACCAGTCTATCATGTTCTGTATTATTTACAGTTTTGGGTTGTGGAGTTAAAGTCGTTTCACTTGGGAAGGAGGGAATAATCAATAAATATTGTTCTTGTGTGGAAGTAGTATAATATAACCAACCTATGGCTGTGTAATCTTATATTGAATAATGTGGTCACGAGTAAAAAATGGATTCAATTTACACTGGAATAAGATTTTGTCTTATGAGACTTCGTTATCCGAGTTATATGGATCCAGTTGCCAGAATCTCTGTTGCAGGCAGGCAATATGATACCCCGTCTGGACCACTTTTTCAGTATTCAAAATCATTCAATTGCTTTTTGCTCCTCCTACATGTAATAGTGCAATACTAATCAACCAATCCCTTCTAAGTACTAACCCATATTAGGCCCATTTTCATCATAATGGGCCAACATTATTATGATATACAAAATAACCAGTCAGACCCAAGTTCCATCTGGTTTAAGCAAACCCAACATTGAACCAAAAACCGGATAGAAAATCGGATTGGAATCAGGCAAGGAGATTCAAATCTGTTTGCAATATATTATCTCAGACAGTGCTGAAAAGAATGTATAACATAGTTTCCAATTTCAGACATTATTGAGAAGCTAGTAGAAAGAATCAAAGCTTCTGATGTAAAATTGATAATGCACAACAACAAAACACAAAGATGAAGATGAATAAAGGGAAGAAAGTATGTAGCATCTTCATCATTTACCTCGAAAAGGAAATTACAGCCAACTGAAGAGAGAGATCCAAATAGGTCCAAGTGATCAGATAGGTCCGAGAGTTCCTTCACTTCGACTTCTTCGCATAGAGAGCTCAGACCTCAGACTGGACAATCTATCACCAGTAGCAATAGCAACATGATAATTCTCGTAAGTTTTTGAGCTCTGACCTCAGACCTCGGTCCAACTGATGAGAGCTTGTCCCCAGCCGAGCATCTTTAGTGCCTTGTCTGTTATAGTATACCAAATTTGGCAGGAGCCCCAGAAGGTACTTTCTCAGCTGTTCCTCACCAACATTCTTCTGTGCAGGGTTACTTTCCAAGCTTATAGCCTGAAGAGAACTGTAATTTGCAGCAAGCTGACCAAGACATTTGGTGGTTGAAAACTTATTGAAGCGTAAATCCAAGACCGTCAACTTCAAGAGACGATGAAGACCCTCAATTTCACTGATTTTGTTCCCAGCTAGGTATAGTTCTTTCAGAGAAGAACAAGAAGCCAAACCTAAATCAACCAGAAAAAAAGAAAAGTGAAATACATCAAACATGGTTTTCATATAAAAACAGATAACTAGAGAATGTAGATGAGCAAAGGTCAGGCCATACCATGACCAAGTCTCAGTATTCGGTTGTAACTCAAATCTAATACTCGAAGCCGAGTGAGTTCACGTAGGCCCTCAATAACCGAGATACTGTTCTTCGACAAATTCAAAGCATGTAGTCCTCGAGGAAGAGCTCCAGCGGTTATTCTAACTGGAAAAATGTATTAGGACCAGTAAAATAGAAGAAACAAAAACAATCAGTGTGTGAAGATTAGCAAGAAGGGAAAACATAGCTACCTATTGCATTTCCTGAGAGATTGAGAACTCTCAGACCAACAAATGCACTGAGGAATGGTATCACAACCAGACCATGACTAACCAGCTGGGCTGTGGTTGCAGAAGCACTTAGAGAGGATATATACTTTTTCGCAGCTTCCATTCCAGGAGTTAACTTGATGGCATCTACTTTAGCAGATGTTGTTGCTGACTCATTCAACACGACTGGTTCTCTTGGCAACTCATCATCATACCCTGTTATCTCATCGGCTTCCTCAAACAAGTTTACATGCTGGAGGTCATTGACCCAATCCTCAATACGCTTGAATTTAAAATCCTTTCCTGGAAGTTCTTCTTGCTGTTTTGATGTTTCTCCTTCAAGGAACTTCGTTAATTTTCGCTCATCCGTAGGTGGTACTATCCAATCTTTTGCCAAAGAAGAATAATCATATGCATCATCATATCCATCTTCCCCGAGATTTTCCTTGTTGTTATCTCCAGATTTATGCATATCATAATCCCGATCATTATCTTGCTCTTGCTTACCCTCTTCATCAGTCTCATGAACAGATTTATCTGTTTGGTGCATGTCTAGAGCTCGAAGTTCATCAGAGGACCTAGAGTGGTGAGAAGAATATTTGAAAGGTGAAGATTTCTCTGATGCAGAGTCAGCAATATTAGGCATTGAGTTCGACCTCACCATCAAAGGCGAACCATGAGGTGTATGGTTGTTTGAGTTGTCCATCTGTTCACCATATAAGGAGTTATCATCGAGCTGACGGCTGTCTTTATCAGTATGATGAAGATCTCCAACCGAGAACATAGATCCATTGAGTGCTTGATTTGAACCCTGGTAAGCAGAGACTGAAGCTCGAGGAGCTTTCTCATACAAATTAGGACTTCCTTCTACAAGCTTGCTGCTGCCTGCCTCATGAGACTGTTCAAGAGAATTTGGGGAAGTAATCCGATCTGTTCCATCGTCTGTTCCATTCTCTGTGGCTGCCCTTCCATCCAAGTATAGTTCATTTCCATGGGATTGACTTTTCTTGAGATGCCGCACCTGATCTGTTCCAATATCATGCTCAAGAATGCCACTGGGCTTAATTTCCTCAGATTTCCATACACGCTCAACAGTGGCAGAGCAAGCTGGCTTGCTGATTTCACTAGCAGAAGCAATATTTCTCCCAAATATGATTGAGCTCAATCCTTTCGATTTAGACCCATCTTCTCTGATCAGTTGTTCTGAAAATCCTTCCACAGATTTCTGCATCACCAGAACATAGGAACAGATTAGCAATCTTACGCTGAGAATGTATAACAACCGTTCCAAACAAAAGATGCAATGATTGGTACAACTTACCTTAGGTTTATGGCGGTGGATGTGAGCGTTGAAGCATGAAAACCTAACCATTGTGTCAAACTTAATAACATCGAACTACATCACCAGTTAAAACAACAAAGGAAAACCAAAAAACCAAACCACAAAGAACTGTTCTTTAATTTACAACCACAAACAAGAAGGATCAATTTACGTTTTTGTTTTTTTGTTTTTGCACGAATAGAGAAAGTTGCTATAAGCTTAAGAGGTTCATGTGGGCGTTAGTAACGTTAGCCGTAATCAAGGGTAAGACCCTCAGAAACACGACGGAGCCTCCAAATGATTGAGGCTAGAGAAATCCTTGGAAGAGAGAGTGAAGTCACCACTTCAAGGCCACCCCACACCTGCGCAGAGGTGCGAGAAGCACACGTCTTTGCAGAAGCGGCCAGAGTGAAGAAAAATTGTTTCGAGCTTGAGAAAGCCCAGTCCTTTAATTCCAAATTTAGTTAAGTCACCTGATAAAACAGTTGAATCACCAAGAGAGAATCAACAATTTTTTCAACACCAAGCCCGGAAAATAACAATCTTTGCAATTCAGATTACAAAAGAAGATGTTCGAACGAAACGTTATAGAGCAAACAAAAAACATATATCCATGGAGATCAGCTTGTTAAGACATACCGACAAAATCGAATCAGCAATCGTTGTAAGAAATTACGGATAGATAAAGGTCAACAAGTTCACAGAACAAACAAAAAACCTCGCAATAACGAGAAACACGAACGAGTGATAAAAATAGCATCAGACACGAAACCGTCGTCACGAAAACTCGCAGAAACACACACAGAATCGAAGAACAGTGGAATCGGAATATATATAGAGAGAGAGATAAAAAGAAGAAGAAAGAGATTCTCACCAGATAGGAGAAGGATTGGATTTGAAAATCCAGAGGATTGATTAAGCGAAAAGATTCAAAATCAGTTGCAGAGAAACCAAAAAGATTATCTTTAAAACTTTGAGGCAAAGCTACGCTAACCCTAAAAGAAACCTTTTTTGGCCGAATCAAAATTGTACCACCCACACACTTTTGTTTACGAAATACGAGTCAACGGCTCTGATTTTTTCTCCTGTGACGAAATTTCCTAGTCACTCATTTTTTTTTGTTTTTTTAAATTGCCTTTTACATACACCGGCTTACTAATATAATTTGGGCCTAATTGAGCTTTTGATATTAAATGGGCCTTGCTTTTGTTTATTTTATAATTCACAAACTCAATCCGGTCAAACTCGGAAAAAAGGGCCATTGCAATCATCTGCTCATATCATACTTGGTCACACTGCATCTCTCTCTTTGGGGACAATATATTATAAGTCCCAAAATGAAGAGAGGGACCTCTAACTAGCATTTACCAATTACAACACCATGTAACGTTTTTTCACATCCTAAACCGGTTTCTTCATATATCTATACAAACCGGAATCTCCTAATTTTCCTTTTGTACCTTAACTCAATCCATAGAAGAGCTGGATTCGTCTGTCTCATCGTCCCCACTTAAACTAGAGGCCAATTCCACGCCAGACCTACAAAATATATAGTATGCTTCAATAAGCCAATTTTATCTCTCTTTCGGGACAGCAAATGCATTTACAGTGGTTACTAACCGATTTATCTGGCCTTGCCTTTCCAGAATCTCGCTGTATGCTGATGCTTGCTGAAGATAGCCATGTTTCACTTGTTTGGTTACCTATTAACAAGTGTTAAATGTCAGAACATGAACTTGGAAGAGCCTTCATACTTCGGTAATACTACATCAATGTTTAAATCTTTGAGATACTTTACCATCACACTCACCGGTGGTTCATCAGTCGAATGCAACATCTCTCTATGCATTTTCGTTTGATTCCTCTCGTCGTGATACTTTTCCGCCTTTGAAAGAAAGAGAATATAACCCAAAACACAACTCATATTTCCATAAAAAGAGCATGTAAGGAGCCTATAGACATGGAAGTTTTAGACAAATCTTTTACCATCACAGAAGATGGACCTCCATCTATTGAGTCAGGGGATCGGCTTCTACTTGGAGGCAACAACTTTGATGATTTGCTGAGATATCCGGTCTTGTGTCCACCATTGAATATCTTATTATCGTAATTATGAGTTTGATTGGTTTCAATATTGCTTCCAGGGAGATTACGGAAGTTGGCAATCAGATTGCTTCTCGAACCTTCAGCCCAACTTTTGGAGCTTATTCGACCCTTCTTGCTGATAGTTAGTGGGATTTTTCGTGGTGAGCCTTTGAATGTCTCTTTAAAGGTTTTGTGGTTGGGGGCAGTATTATAGAAACAGGGAGAAGGCGATTTCAATCTTGGTTCCCCAAGATTCTTTCTATCTCTTAGACCAGGCTCCATTCCGATCATCATGTTGTCGTCATCATCATCCTCCTCCTCCTCCTCTGAATCTGGATCTGGATCTGGCGAATGCATCTTCAGTTTACGAGTTAATTCATAGCTCTATAAAGTCATACAGAAAAGGATTAGAGTACAATATAAATACCTCAGAGAATGTGCTAGCAGATTAAGATTCAAGTTTATTATCTCTATGGGTATCTAATATATAGGAAGAAAGCTGTTAAAAGTTCACTTACAGGACCAGGATTAAAACTCTTCCTTATTCCAAGTAAATGTGGAGGGTGAGGCCGTCTTTGATTCCCAACATAGATTGGCTCTGACAAAACAGTTGATAGAAAAAGCAATCAAATTCCACTGGACATGGGTAAAGGCATTCACAATCTGACACACGAAGAAGATGATTTTAGCTTTTTCTGAACCAATTACTCGATACTTGTAACATCATTAACCTGAAGATTTAAGGTAAAGTCAAAAAATTTAATCATGACTCACCTTGAACTATTGCATTAGTTTGAGGCTCAAATGCACCAGGTGGAAGAGGGTCAAATTCAACCCCCAGAGGTGGACCATCCTCTTGGTATTGTCTTCCTAACTGTCTCTTTACGGCTGTGATTGCACCATTCTCACTCTCTCTCTTCACTTTCAAGTATCCCGAAGGCTTATTATACCCATAGCTTCTCATGACCTGAGGATGCGCGATAACGTCATTGTGTGTAAAATATCTAGAACTTTCCACATCCCGGATGCCATCTTTGATGGAGACAAGATTCTTATGTAATGATGAACTACGTTCAGAAGATGTACTATCTTCACCATCAACATTCCCCATGTAAGATCCCCCATAAAGCCTTTGACTTTCAACTTCCCTAGGTTTCGGGTTCCAATAATCTGTTTGCTTAGTGCTACCACATGAATCCTGTCGAAGCCCGCTTCCACGATCCTGAAGAACAACGCTCGACCTATCTTGGCTCCCAATGGTGTTCCCATCTTCTTTTACAGAACGTTTGTCTTTTAACCTTCTATGGCAGAACCAACCTGAAACTTGCTTCTCGGTTAACCCTATTTCCTCTGCTAACTTACCCTTCATTTCTTCGGTCGGATACTTATGCTCTGTAGAAAAAAGAAATCACACCTATAACGCATATACAACCTTAGCATAAAGGAACACATGCAAATAACAAAGTCATAATTACCATTGTAGAAATTCTCCAGCGCCATAACTTGGATAGGAGTCTTAAGCTTCCGTTTTTTGCTGTTTTCTGCTGAGACTTTATCGCCATCTGTGGGTGCCTCGCCTGAATCTATCAAACATAGCACAGAAAAATTAAAATCATAGGAACAAAATTGTGAACCATGGACACCTCTTTTTCTCTATCAAACAATCATGATATGTAAAATATGGACAAGAATAATGCTTTGTGTTTCTAGAAATGTTCCCAGTAATTCAGCAATTTAGGTAACAAATCTACACAAGTTTCACATAAAAGGGTATAATTTCAGCAATTATGATCTTTCTATTATCAGCCAAACACCTCTAAACCCAATCAAAATGAACAAAAACTTAGAAATTTCTTAGCTTGATAATTAGAACATCATCAAAACAAACCAAAAAGGCTCAAAATTTCCAATGCCATGGATCAATTTCACTAATTAAAACTATCAAAAACGGGAGCTGCATTGTAACTCGACGAACTCGAGATCATAGAAAACTATTCTCTCACGTAAACTCGTGGGAAACAAAAATAAACGATTGAAAGAGATGAAGAAATGAATTTTCACCTGAGTGCATAGTCAAATTGAGAATTCCCAGAGATTAAACAAAAACCTAATCAGCCCTCAAAAACCAGATTTTTGTTTTTCTTTCTTCAAATTTCTAATTTTCTCATTCGAGGGGAAGAAGGAAACTTTTCTTCGCAAACAAATCTCTTTGAGAACCGGTTCGGTTATCTTTGAGAACCGGTCTGGTTATAGTAAACCGGAAGATCGGAACGACTTGAAACGGGTAGAGTAGACCTACGTTTGGGCCTACTAATGGGCCTAAAATTGGACCAGGAAGAACACAGAACAAGAAAAGAGAGGGTTCGATTTGTTTTTTTTTTCTTGTGAGACAGAAGCGGCCATGGCTACAGCTTCAAGGTTTCTACGAAAATTGCCGAGGTTTCTCAAGCTTTCTCCAACCCTTCTCCGTAGCAATGGCGTAAGATACTCAAGCAATTTGATTCAGGATTCCTTAGAACCGTTGGATTCCTTCCGGCGAATAGGATCTCGAATCCGCCATGAAACTTTAACTACCAGAAGCTTCTCTTCTCAAGGTCCTGCTTCCGTCGATTACAGGTACTTTACTCATCAGTTGATCTCATTTGTTGTATCTGATTTCGTTTAATTTTTCATGAAATTTTTTGAACAAACGGGAAGAAGAAACAGTTCGGTTTTGCAGGAGGATGAGTTTCACAAATTAGCCAACTTCACTATAAATGACCTTCTTGGGAAAATTGAGGTACTTAAAGCTGCAGCCTTTTTTTTTCTCTATCTAGGGATCTTCGTTTTCCTACTTTCGAATTTACAATGTCTTACTAAAACAACATACTTGATATCTTCAGGACTATGGTGATACTGTCCAGATTGATGGTTTCGACATAGATTACGGGGTAAAGATTAACTCTTTTTAGTATTTGAAAATCTTGTTCCTCTGTTTCGAAATCCGTGTTTGCTTATTTAAGTCAGTTCTTTTGATGTTTTCCAACAGAATGAAGTTCTCACCCTTAAGCTTGGATCGTTAGGCACATATGTGCTGAATAAGCAAACTCCAAATCGTCAAATCTGGATGTCTTCACCCGTGAGGTAAAGATTCTTGCTTTCCTCTTGAAAGTTGCTAATTTTAGATGCCTAAATCGACTACTTGTATCTGGATCATCTTGTTGTATCTTCTGGTTATTGTATTCATAATCTGTGGGAGATCAGAGATGAAACCGTTTATACGACTTTATATTGTTGCTCTTGGCTTTGTGCTTCCACATCTTATATTCACATTGATGTTAATCTTCATTCTTCCTTGTTTTTGTATTGTTTCTGTGCAGTGGCCCGTCTAGATTCGACTGGGACCGTGATGCTAATGCGTGGATTTACCGGCGAACTGAAGCAAAGTTGCATAAACTCTTGGAAGAGGAGTTAGAGAATCTATGTGGTGAACCAATCCAGCTCTCGTAAAGGAGAAGGTTATACACAATATCTGTGAACGAATGGATTTCATGAAACATCCAAAGGAATAAACAAACAAGGCACTAGAGAAACTTGTTTCAGTGTTGATACCCGATTGATGTTTGTGAATCTACTTTGAACAGTAGTGTTTCATAGTGACATTGTTACAAACTTACAACTCTCTTTGTTTAATCAGAGCTGAAGCTACCTTTTACGCTTTTTAGATCAATACAGTTTTTTTCGAAGACAAGAGCCTGTGTTTGTCAAACTCCTCGAATCTTACAAAAAGTTCCGGAAGAAAGTTGGCAGGGTCACAATCTCCACTCTTTCAAAAGTGCCAATAAAGACAAAAGATTGACTTCTTCAACACCATTGTCCTCTTTTTACAATAATTCACGTTTGGGTGCCCACTTTATCCTTCTCACTCAATGTAAAACAATACTTAGCATACGTATATTTCGAAAAAAAGCTGGATCCTTTTGAATTGCTGTTATTCTGCATATTCGACCAGCAGAGATTGAGTGACTCGCGGCAATAATATTATAAGGTATCCTTTGAGCACGGCATCTGGTTGTGGCGACAGTAACTACCTTAGTTTCAACTGGAATATGTCGACTGGTCAAGTCATTTTCATAGGATCTAACAGCTCATACAATCTTACAAGTATCAATCCGGATACTCATACATTCTTAGTGAAAATAAAAAAATTGTCAGAAAACTCCACAGCCGAAAATCAGATGAGCAGAATTCCAGATTTAAAGCTAACTTGACCTTTTCATCTCACGGGGAAGTACAACATTTGGACGCTAATACTTCGATTTGCCTTAGCATTCCATTTGTATCGCAGTGGATGCATGTCTCCAGAGTATGCTCTCTAGAAGGTCTTTTTCATTCAAATCAGATGTATTTAGTTTCGGCGTCGTTATGATTGAAACTATCAGCGGGAAGCGTAACACCGGATTTTATGAACCTGAGAAATCCTTAAGCCTTCTTGGCCATGTGAGGGATCTTAGGCTTATCTAATTTGTTTATGTACATTACTTATTTGTAAACTTCACCGAGAAACACATATATAAATGTGCAGGCGTGGGATCTCTAGAAAGGGGGAAGATGGATTGAGTTATTGGATCAGGCTTTACAAGAAACGTGCGAAACCGTGAAATGCTTGAACGTAGGACTCCTTTGTGTACAAGAAGATCCTAGTGATTCGTCCTACAATGTCAAATGTTGTTTTCAATGCTTGGAAGCAGCGAAGCTGCTCCTCTTCCAAATCCAAGACAACCGGCTTTTGTCCTTAGACGTTGCCCTTCATCAAGCAAAGCTTCTTCATCTACCAAACCAGAAACTTTCTCTGAAACTGAACTGACCACAACTCTTGAAGATGGAAGATAATAATAGCTCTGAACATTTATTTGAGCCAGTAGCTACCTTTTTTGTATTTATAGTCAATAAGCATAAGATTTCAATAGAAAAAAAAAACTGTAATAGCTAATGACCTGAGTCCTGAAACAGAGATTATGCTGAAACTTTCAATGGAATGAGATTTTGGCTTTAGAAGAAGCCTTGGAAAATCCTGTCAGCTGTGACCTTATCATTTGTCTCCGGAGAGAGTCTCTACAGAGGAAACTAGATCGAAGAGTCATCTTGATCAAAGCCTTTCCATGTCTCAGCAGAAAGATTGCGAGGCTCATTTCGTTCTCGCACTCTAAGAATCCGTGAATCTCCACAAATTCCAAGTGGTTCAAGAAAGATTCCAATTCATAGGTTTGTGACTCCCAGTACTGAATCTTTGAGTTACATATATCCCACAAATCTTTGTTCCATTGCTGAAGACATAAGCAACATCAGAGACAATTCAGTTTAAAACCGAGAAAGACTAAAATAAGCTTTCTTTCTTTCAAAACTTACCATTCTTTCACTTGTTTGATCGTTAATGATTTTGAGAATAAGTATGTTTAACAACGGACAGCTCTTGAACAGATATGACAGTGTTTGAACATTGTGTCTGTTGAAATGGGTTTGCAGTTCCAAACATCTCATGTTTTGAAACGGTTGAAGATGATTCTTTAATAGTCCCTTCTTGCTTGACAAAATCTGTCACAACAGTAGTAAAACTGTGAAACAAAGAGAAAAGTGCAGAAGAAGAAGGTGTAAGTATGTGCTAGTGTGTATTTATATATACCTCCACGGATTGGTTTCCAAGTTGTAGTTTATAGGAATTACAAAGGCCTGACAAGAGAGTGAACAAGCTCTGTGTCTGTGAATTGAGATGTTGATGAAGCCAAAACACTTTAACGAAAGCTTTTCTTAGACACACTAACTTATCCAAGAAATAAACACTAGTAGTGACTGCGTTTAAATTCCAGAGGAAAGTTTTGAGATTCGGTGTGTTAAGCTTCACAAAGCTCTTTTCTGAATATGAATGGAAGCAATTCACAACCTTTAGTATTTGAAGCTGACTACCAGAAACCTCTAAGCCCTCAAGCTGTAAAGAGTTCTTTAGAGAAAACTCTTGGAGAAGACGGCAACTTACCTTAAGTTCCTTGAGTCCAACGCAACTTTCTAGGGTTAGTTTTTCTAGAAGAGGAAAGCTTGGATCAGAGAAGAATTCTGAGAGACAAGGTTGGTTGTCTAGAATCACAAGAGATAAAGAGAGTGAAGTAAGTCTTTGAAACCCTCCAAGGATTGATGATGATGTAGGCAATCTAAAACCAGGGTAAGATGATTTAAGCTTCAAAGCTCTTAGATTTTGAGAGGTCACAATCCAACGAGGGAAGTTAAAGTAGTCTTTTGTAGTGACTTCAATGTCAAGATCTTGAACCTGATGCGTAACAGCTAAACGAATCAAGGAATTGAGACTTGTGAATGTGATGGTAGCGCGAAACCGAAGTGATCTAAGATTGTTGGAGTCACGGTGATTACGAAGAGAAAGCACTTTGTAAATGGAGTCTGAAGAGAAAGATTTTGGTTTGTGAAGGTCATCAATGGAGGTGAAATCAAGATCAGGCAATGAGAGAAAGAGAGATCTCCATCTTTTCGAAAGTGAGCTTGTCCTGGCTGCGGATTTAAGAGGAAGTAAAAGCAGAATCTGATGTAGAAGAGAGTCAGGAAGGTCACTGATTCTATCTACATTGATAATCTCTTGTACAAAAAACCCATTTGCTTCTTCTCTCTTCTTCTTCTTCTTCCGTTTCACAGATCTTGTCTCCATTGTTAAAAGAGTGATCCTTAATCAAAGCTTATGCCTTTTTTTTGTTTCATATGGTTCGAAATTAGGGTTTGAAACATTCATAACAAACCCTTAAAGTCATGATAACGATAAGTGCGTTCGAGTTTGTTTCCACAAATATCGCATGTGCTGTTAAAAAGACCAAAATTAAAAATCCTTCGAAATCAATAGAAAATTGATTATTTATACATAAAACAGAATCATCAAAGAGCCACATAGTTCTCTTGATCCAATTTTCTTGACTACAACTACAAATGACGATGGTGTTGGCACTCAAGAGGAGTAACAGGGAACCTAGTAGCATCAAAGCAGTAATCATAAATCATATGATTAGCTCGAACCCAAATAAGCTGATGATTCTGATGAAGGCTTAGCTCAGACACAGTTGGCTCATCCCACCAAAACTTCTGGTCTCCGTTGCACTTGCTTAGATCAGAAGTTGTCGGAATCTCACAAGCATCGATTTGGAATTCCTTGTAAGAAGCAACGAATGGAGCGTGACTCCAGTCAGTTTTAACAAGACCTCCTTGAGTAGCCCAATCGTCTGCATTCCAAATCGAGCTGTACACTCCCATTGCTTGATCTTTAGCAAAGGGGATACCTTTATCTTCAAGATTCTTGTGGACTCTGATTGGAGTTTCATCTACCATGAATCTGTTTTTGCAATTAAAAAAGAATCGTTAGAACGGGTGCATAGTCTCATCATTGATTAGAAAGGTAGAGACTTTGGTTTAAAAGAGCTTACACAACACTGCGTTTGCTCCAGAGGATTGAGTATGTGTGAAACTCGGTGGTGGGATCGAACCAAAGACCGAGTCTTTGTTCCCTGTTTCCTACTCCATTCACATAGACATTGGTCTGGACTATATAAGGCTCACCGGTGGTGTTTCCCAAGAACTCAAAGTCGAATTCGTTGTGGTTCGGACCATCGGAAGACATCTGAAAACAATGTAACAGTACAAGATTTGAGACACAGTAATCAATCTAAGACCAAATACAGAGCAATAGAGCAATAGAAGGGTTTGTTCCGTACGTAGAAAGCAGTGACGGTTCCAGCAGAGTCACCTTCGACGAGCTTAATCTGGATAGAGACTTTACCAAACAAGTATTTGCTTCTAGATTCAAACCCAGCTCCTGCAAAAAATCAACCAAACCTCATCAATCTCTATGAACCCACAAAAACAGAGCAAAAGCAAAACATAGATGGGCTTGTTTATTATATATGTTACCAGAGTAATTGTCAAGCTTGAGTTTGGTGACTTCGCCTTCGTTGACACAATGATCCATAGCCCAGCTTGAGCGGTAAAGCTCCTCGAACTTAGCTCCAGAAACAGCTTCATCACAAGAGAGAACCCACACCATCATCATTATCATCATACACTTGAACCAATCCATACCAACCATTGTTTTTTTTTTTAATTCTCTCTCTTTCTCAATCAAATCTTCGCTCTTGTACAGTCTCACACACAAACACAAGACGCAATGAAGGAGACGAGAGAGAGAGGTAAAGGCTTTATAGAGGCGGGAGGAGAGTGAGTGAGTGTGAGTGAGCTGGCATACAATGGACAGAGATGCCACGTTGGATTCGACGTGTGATCGAGGACAGTAATAAGTGGACAAAAAAGCCCATCTTCTTCGTAAAGATGAAAAAATAAAAATAAAAATCACTCAAAACAAGAGATAGAGAGATAAAAGGAGTTGGGAAATGTAGCCGTTGCTGTGTGAGAGGCATCACTCTTACTCAGTGGGGCTCCACTTTAGTACTACACAGAGGACAAGAATTTATGCTTCTCTGTCTAAAAAAAACCTCTCTTTGAGCACAAAAATAGAGACTTTATTGCTTTTCTTGAGAGATAAGTGAATAAAAATTGATTCTTTGGTGTAATAATGAAGGAGAAAAGAGAAGAGAGAGAGAGAGAGAGATGGACCATTTTTACAGCTAAGATGTTTTCATTGCGTTCGATTGGATCCAGCTAATGCATTTGGCTCCTTTGTGTCAGAGAGAGAGAGAGAGTCTCACATTTTAAAAATCTTTACTGCCTCTCAAAAGAAATTGATTGGTACACAGTCTTTATCTCTCTCTCTCTCCTCACTTTTTGGGAGAATTCAATTTTTGTTTTTGTTTTTGTGTTGCAGACATGGATTAGATATGGCAGATGTGACGTCAATTGTGTAATACTACAATAAAAATATCTTCTTTGGCTTTGGTTTGAGCAATTCAGAAAAAATATCTTGTAAGTTGTGTCTAGTGTATGCAGTACAGTGCACTATGTGTTCGTTGTATCACTTGTATGTGTGTGTATATCCGGGGACTAAGTTGTTTCTTTGTCGCCATCGGGGACATAGAAAACGACGGCGTTTTCTTGGGAGGGTTTGAAAATCACGGGCGTTTCTTGGATTAGGACAAATGAGAGACAGTGACGTTTACTTAATCCAACACCTAACACAAGACCCCATTGGTTGAAACTTGAGAATCGTTTTCTTACTAAAATAAAACCAAATCATCAGATTCAATGTTATCACACAAGACCCCATAAGTTGTTTTTGTTCCTCCTCGTTAACATGTAACCGAGCAAGTAGGTAGCTTCACGTATAATCACGCGCGTGCGTGCGTGCATCGAGAGGCTCGGCTCTTTGAGCCAACGGCTCTTATTTCAGACTCATGCGTTTTTTAACTCTTGTCAGTAATTTTTTTTTGTTAAAGGTTACTAGTACTAGTGCTTTTTATCATGATCATCACGATTGGTACTATATACTCCAACTCCATCATCACCATCATTACCTTCGTTTGTCAGTAAAACTCATGATGAGATGACGCCAAATTACTCATTCTCTTTCGCACTAACGCTTCATCAGACTCTTACCCTTTCAAGGCTCTAAAGACAAAATTAATAAAAGAGCTAATGGGGAATTAACCACACTTTAATCAGCTAAAGCCACTCTTTTGGATTGATGCAAGCATCCAATAGCTTCCATTCCTCGGTTCCTTCTTCTGGTTTCTGCATCCACAACAAACCATCAGTACTTGGTTTCTTGACTTGGATAACATGATAACATTATAAGGAACTTTACATGGTCATATTCCCATCTTGCAGATAGCGGAAGAGAGACAAGAATACTCTCTATTCGCCCTCCTGTCTTCAGACCAAATGTTGTTCCGCGATCATAAACCTTTATTTTTACCATCAGTAACAAAAATGAGACAAGGCTTCAACAATCGACCGAAGAGATTTATAAACAGAAAGAAAAACAAGCCAGTAGTAGCCAGTTACCAAGTTGAATTCAACATATCTCCCCCTTCGTAACTGTTGCCACGCCTTATGCTGCTCGTTGAATGGTGTGTCTTTACGCTTCTCTATTATGGGTATATATGCTGGTATCACTGAGCTTGCACATTCTGCAAAAATTACCTCAATATTCAAATTAGCCAACTAGGAAGTTTCTAAGAACAAGATGTCACAAGCTTTATCTTGGTCACTACCAGTGGCAAATGACAGAAGCATCTCCTGATCATAGTCATTCAAATCATCAAAAAATATCCCTCCAAGTCCTCTCCTCTCATCCCGGTGCTGCAGGCAAGACCATTAAGTTTTTAGTGTTTTGAAACAATAGGCAACAACTTATCACTGCAATATCAACCTCACCAAACCAAGAGGCTCTAAAGCTATCCCTACCAGTACATAACTTTACAGCTAAGGTCTTAATTTTCACCAAGTGCTAAGATCTCACATGACAATTTTGGAATGACATTAAAACAACTTCAAACCTTAATGTAAAAGTAGTCATCACACCATTTCTTGAACCGAGGGTAGAAGGACGGATCGAATTTATCACATGCTTGTTTTTGAACCTACACAAAGAAAGATACTTTAATTAGCAACTCCATAATCAAACACCTTCGAACTTATAGAAAAGGGGATAAGGTTTATAGACCGAATGAAAGTGCTTGACGTCCTCTTCAAAGATGTACGCAGGTGTGAGATCAGTCCCACCACCAAACCACCATTGCCTCGGAGCTCCAGGAACATCTACGCGTGACAATAAGGCAATCAACTGCTTCATCCAACCAAAAAAACTGAAACTTTGCAACTCTCAAAGAGAAATGAAGCTTTACCCTTTGGAGCATCGGTCTCGAAATACCGGTAATTGAAATGCAGAGTCGGAGCAAAAGGGTTCTTAGGATGCAAAACCTGGAATATGACATGAATGTGCGATCAAGCTCCATCGAAGAATTCAAAGACCAGTTCAACAACAATGTCAACAAATGTGAGACAGAGGGAGAAGGTACCGAGCTGATTCCGGCAGCAAAGAACGGAATGGGACCTGGTTTTTGCTCAGACGTGGCGGCTTTAGCAGCTCTATAAGCTTCAGGAGGCATAACACCATAAACCACAGAGACATTAACTCCAGCTTTCTCCCATACATTTCCATCTTGCAAAACACGGCTGATTCCGCCGCCTCCACCGGGTCGAGACCAAACATCTTCCTTGAATTTAGGACCTCCTTCAACTGTTTCAATGGCTTCACAGACTTTATCTTGTGCAGTTCTTATCATTGTCTCGAAACGAGCCCTAACCGAAGAAGAAGAAGATTGAGTACCACCATCAGAGTCTCTAAGGAAAGTGAAAGGCCTTTCGGTTTCGGGAACTTCTTTCTCAATTGCGACAGAACATCGTAAATCGAAATGTAGTCTCTTTATGGGACGAGGAAAGTGGAGATTGACGTATTTCGTAGAAGGATTGAGACGATGAGAGGATGAGAGATTGAAGGAAGAAGGAGAAGCGAAAAGAGTCGAAGAGTGAGACGCCATTTTTTGGCGATCTAGCGAATCCAAGTTTTCACCTTTGCTGAAGAGTGAAGATAGATGATGATGATGATAAGGAATTATCCAACTCTAATTTTTTTATACCAAAACCGGTTATTTCGGGTTTAGTTTAAACCAACAATTTAGTCTTCGTCTTTGTTCTATCTTTTATTTATGAACTCAGAAAACGTTGAACTTGTTTCTTACAGCACAAGCAACAATTAAACATGGAACCTCTTGTTATTACTTGGAGAGTAAACGAGTGAGAGCAGAAGAGTCAAAGACAGGAGGACTACAGGTAAAGTGTTGACAAACCAGAGCCACCACTTTCTCTGAGTTTCTGTTCTTCTTCGCCATCCCAGCTACATTACTGTTATGCTCTTCCCAAAACTCCATTTCATCACAACTCGAAGGATCTATGTGAATCACCTGCCCAGTGAAACAGCCAAATATCACAAATCTTAAATCTGGAAAATTGGATTATTTTGCGCCCTTACCGTTTTATTAGGATCGTAGACTGAGTGTGCTGCTGAAAGCATGTTGTTAAGCTCTGCAGAAGACTTAGAACCGACCAATACAACCTGTTTCCTCGATGGAACAGAGATCATATCTGCAGCGCAGCACATTAACGGCACTGCCACAGCTAGTTCTCTTAACCTCAACTCAAAGACTGCCTGCAAAAAACAACAATAAAGAGAGGCATTATGGTTAAAGAGTCTTGATGTGTAACAATGAATAGAAATTGGAGTTAGTTGTTTGTTTGTTTACCAGGAGACGCTGTGCGGTGTTTAGGTAGGACTCAGCTTTTTCTCCGGCGACTATGGAAGCTAATCTCACAAGGTTAATAGCAGAAACAGAGTTCCCAGAAGGTTCTGCACCGTCATGATCTTCTTTTACACGGAGAAGAACTGATGGGTCTTGTCCTTGAGTATTGAAGTATGCTCCTCCTTCTCGGTCGAGATATAACTCATCCTACGATGTATTTCACAGTTATAGCCAAAATGAATAAAAAAGGTTAACAAATTGAGCTAGTAAGGATCTCGCTTGCCTGGGTTTCTTGAAGTTCAATCGCCCATTTAAGCCATGAGACTCCACCTCCATTCTCATAAAGATCAAGCAGACCAGAGATCAAGAAAGCATAATCGTCTAAGAAGGCAGGAGCTTTGGATGGTCCCTGTCTGTAACTGTGTTGTAATCTGCGAGATTGCTCATCATAGAGATTCCCTCTGATAAACAAAGCTGCTTTCTCTGCAACTTCTAAGTAATCCTCTGGCTGTAAATGAGAATCTGAATAAGGAAAATCAACCGTAAAAAGAAAGACAACAAAGGGAGGGGTGTAGCATTCATTACCTGACTATTCACCACAGGGAAACAGTATTTGGTGCCCTCAGGCTCTGCCTTGAGAATCTTGGAAGCTCGTGCGAAAGACGAGATAACAAGCCCATTCCACGACACGATTATCTAACGAAAAATATTAAGCATGTAAACAAAACTGAAGAAACAGTAGAAGAAGACAACAAACGATTTCGATGTGGATTCATACCTTGTCATCTAGATGCGGCTTAGGTCGCTTCAATCTGACATCGAAAAGCTTTCTTCGGCATTCACCCAAAATCTCCTGATACTTCTCAGTGGAGAGGCTAAACTTTGATGCCATGGCAGACAGCTCATTTCTTTCGATCAGCACGTTCCTCCCAGCGAATTCATTGTGTGGGTCGCTCCTGCTAGAAAGATCGCAATTACCTGATTTCTTAACATAATAGTGCTCCTTGAAAAGATCAGCATTCTCCCCAAGTACTTCATCAATCTTGAAATAAAACACACAAAACAAGAAAAGAAATGTCAGTATACAGGGGGTAAACTCATTCAGCTGATGAATACATCAGAGAAAAGAACCTCATCGCTGGTCCATATATAGAAAGCTCCTTCTTTCTTTCCCTTTGCCCCCTCGAATTCATAGCTATCAGCATCTTCAGCTGAGAATATTCCACCTTCAGGTGCAATCATGTCTCTCCTCAGATAATCAAGGATGTCTCTTGCCACATAAGAATACATAACATCCTTGGTAATGATAAAACCATCAAGGTAGACGTTGGCTAGTTGTCCTTGATCATATAGCATTTTCTCAAAATGTGGAACTGCACCAGAAAATAGCAAGCAAAATGCTTCAAATTCAATAAAAGAATAGAAAAATCATCTGCTTACATGATACTGTTTGAAGTCTCACCATGCCAACATTCATCAACACTGTACCTATGAAACCCGCCTCCAATGTGATCATGCATCCCTCCATTTGCCATGCCTTGCAAGCTGAATAAAATCATACTTTGGTCTTCATCAGCCTCACTCGTTTTCCCTGATTCCTTCAACTTTTTGGAATGATAAAGCATCAGCTGGATCTCAACAGGCCTCGGGAACTTTGGTGCAGATCCAAACCCACCGTATTCCGAATCATAGCTCCGAGAAAGCTTGCACACAAACACTTAATGTTAGAAGACCTTTTCATGTTGATGTGTCAAACAGATATATTTCTAGAGTACAATAGAGTCGAATCATACTTGTTTTGCACATATACTCACAGCCTCCCGAGAAACCCCATCTGACAATTTATCGGCTCCAGCATTTGCAGATAAAGCTTTTGACAGTTCTTCTATAGCATAAGTGCCACTCTTCACAAGTGTATCCCTCTTACTGTCCCAAGCATCTTTCACCTTCCTGAACCAAACCCAAAGAAACATATTAACAAATCGACTATAGTCTTCATCAAGAGCCCCTTTTTCGACATACATATTCTATTATTTACAAACCAATTGCACCATTATGAGCCTCAAATGCTAGTGTATAATAAGAGAGAAGGGGTTTCCTTACTTAAGGAGGGTCTTGAATCCTGGTCGTCCATAATTGTCATTTGGAGGAAAATAGGTTCCACCCATTAACGGCTTTAAATCAGGTGAAAGGAAGACAGACAGTGGCCACCCTCCTCCACCATACAGAGCCTGGACGAATGACATATACACCTGAAAGTGCCAAACCAAAGCATCTACGTCAAGTCCATGAACGTAGCCAAGATTTACCTACATAAAAATTGATACAGCTCGAACTAATTCAGCACAAGTTTACAATGGTTTTGCATCTCTCACTAAAGTTAACCCAACACACATATATTCGTTACCCACAAAATGATTGAACGAAATGGAAAAGATATCTCTGAGACTAAGCAATCACTTCAGAGAGATGAATGCTATTTTGAATTTCATAAGAGTTTATTCAAGACAGTTAGTGAGTTAGTATATGACTTGTGGCTGCAGACAGTACCATACCTTATCGACATCAGGCCGCTCCTCTCGATCAACCTGTTGCACAGACATGTTAAACAAGAAGTTGGCAAAGCGTTTTAACAACAATCAGCTCAAAGATTGTGCCTCAAAACGTCATTTTATAATCCACAGCCAGAAGACAATTTTCCGCCTTAAAACTCTAACCTTGATACTAACGAACGAATTGTTCAAGAGTTTTGCCACTTCTTCATCTTCAAATGACTCAACTTCCATGACATGGCACCTGAAAAAAAAGGTTAAATGGTACTGAAACATACGTTCCCAAATAGGAAGATAAACTTAAACTGCATCTCTACATCCCAGACAAGAACGTGAGTTCTTAGACTACAGTTTTCTCAACTTTTATTTTTACACAATCCTTAAATTTAGGATTACATCTACAAGGAAAGAACAGTAATACTAATAAATCCAGAGTTGTTTACTATATCTCATTCATACAGTATGAATCACTATTGATCATCTAAACTATGTCTGTCCTTTAAACAGTATGATTCATACTCTTAAAGTCTTAATCCTTCAACTCAGTAAAAGAAGATGTCAAACTCAAAATCCAAAAAAAAAAAATCGTAGTCTCACCAGTGACAGGTGCTGTATCCAACTTCAAGATTCCAAATGAAAGAATTTTGAAAACAAAAGGGAGACAAATTAGTCTCATATAACTAAAGCAAATAAGGCATCTAATCCAGCAGCAATTAAAACGAATAATAGATTATAGAGGATAAAGTAAATAACTTGATAAGAAGATGGGCACGTCTCTCTTCTTTGCTTCTTCAAAAGCTTCTTCTCCCCATGGATACCAATCAACCTTTTCACATAGACCATGATGCCAAACCATGAAATCAATCCAGAAAATAAAAAGTTCGATGCTTTTGAGCTAAGAACCAAATTATCTACAATCTAAACCCGTTATGACTTTAACTAATTGCAACAAAGCTCCCTAAATGAAACTGAAGATGTTTTAATTGAAACCAAAGGTGTTCTCTTTATCTAGAGGAGCTTGTGTGAATATTAGAAAAGATGAACACTTTGTAGAAGAGAAATGAAGTGTGCAAATTAAGTACCGGATTATGAGCGTGTTGAAGAAGATAAGGACTGTGTTCGGTGGCTAAACGGTTGGTATGTTTTTGAGATGTTGACGAGGTCGAAGAAGAAGTCTCTTCCGCCATGGCTAAGACCTTGCCTGAGGAAAAGGGTTTATAGAGAATCGGCGGGAAAGGACAATAAAACAGAGGATTCTGAGTACGCACGCGATTTCTTCTTCTGGGTAAAGAAGACAAAGACGCGATGGTGCGAGAAGCAAAGCGGTGGAGGGTTGAGGAAGACAACAAGTGAAGACCTTTCATCAGCATTGCTGATTGAAATTAGAATACCACACAAAACGACAGCGTTTTTGTAGAGTTCAGTGAGATTGGCTAAACGAATTCATGATCTATAGGATTCGCCATGCGAGCGAGGGAGCTTCAGACACATCTTTCTCTTGTTGGATGTGTTCAATACCTGACACGTGCAAATAAGACAAGAAGATTGCTAGTTCTGAATTTAATTTTTTCTTCTAGTGTTTTTCATTTAACTTTTCATTAACCTAAATATCCTTTACAATTATGGCTTTTCACCATCACATAAGAATCTAACCAATCCCGACACTAGAAAGAAAGCTTAGGGACATAATTTAAACTTGGATGTAAACTTCATTGCTACTCTATCGGTTTTACTATATCATATTTCCTTCTCGAAAGTACAACTTTAGCAACTTCTTCAAATGTGATTAGGAATTTTCTAATCTTTATACAGCTTCCACTTTAGAGGTTGGAGCAAAGGTCAAACAGAGATTGTTCCTGCACAGCTGTTGTCAAAATCGCTTGAAAAACACTACCCATCTGTAAATAATACCTTATGCTTTGGTTTCTGGCACCAACCCATTGCACCATCTTGTCTCGATCTTTTGATGATGCATTATAAACCGGTAAAATGATTTTTATACAGCCATTAACTATTGTAGAAATTGGTAGTAAGAGATGGTAACACTGGTGTGATCCACTTATGTTATGTACTGATACTTGTAAGAGATTGGGGTTCAGTTTGATTCGTGAAAAAGCACTATGATAAAGTTGATAAAATAAACAGAGAGTATCGTTTTATAGTAGAGAGCATCTAAATTAAATATATTATTACTGTAAGACTAACCAATCTGACATCATGTGTGAACTGTGTATTCCATAAATGATTAGATCCATGAATTGTATCACACAGACTACATGTGGATTGATCAGTAATCTAATTATGATTAAGGCAACTAATTTATATTAGTGAGCTACACAGTAGGCTCACATGGGTGCAAGCTCAACTTTATTAATGGTCTCACATGGACATTGTCTCCTTCGATTCTCTTGTCTTGTCATACTCTTGTCTTCCACTTGCACAGTTTATATATATCAAAAGCTTCATTCTTTCGTTTTAGATCACTCGTAGTGAATCAAATCTCAAACTTTTTTTTTTTTTCCATTTCTTTCCTTTCCTCCTCTGTTCTGATGGCTCTCCGATTACCATCTAAGGTTCTTGAACATATCCTCTCCTTCATTGATTCCAACGAGGACCGGAACTCTGTTTCTCTGGTCTGCAAGTCATGGTTCGAAACAGAGCGGAAGACTAGGAAGCGAGTCTTTGTCGGAAACTGTTACGCGGTGAGTCCTGCTGCTGTTGCACGACGGTTCCCGGAGATGAGATCTCTGACTTTGAAAGGGAAGCCACACTTCGCCGACTATAATTTGGTTCCGGACGGTTGGGGTGGTTATGCTTGTCCATGGGTTGATGCCCTGGCGGCGAAAAGCCCGTCCCTTGAAGAGATAAGATTGAAGAGAATGGTGGTGACTGATGAGTGCTTAGAAAAGATTGCTGCTTCGTTTAAGGATTTTAAAGTCCTTGTGCTGACTTCTTGTGAAGGTTTCTCCACTGATGGTATCGCTGCTATTGCATCTACTTGCAGGTTCGGTTCTAGCAAAGAAACATAAAATACTCTGTTTTTATAAGTTACACCTCATAGTAACTTTCTTTGTTTTTGTTGTTTTCTGATTTACAAAACAGAAACTTGAGAGTGTTGGAGCTACGAGAGTGCATCGTTGAAGATCTAGGAGGAGATTGGCTTAGTTATTTCCCAAAGACTTCAACTTCTCTGGTCTCTCTTGACTTCTCTTGTTTAGACTCTGAGGTTAAAATCTCGGACTTAGAGCGTCTCGTGAGCAGATCTCCTAACCTGAAGTCTCTGAAGTTGAATCCAGCTGTGACTCTTGATGGACTCGTTAGCATCCTTAGTCGTGCTCCACAGCTGACTGAGCTCGGCACAGGTTCTTTCGCAGCTGAATTGAAACCAGAAGCGTTTTCAAAGTTGTCAAAAGCTTTTTCAAACTGTAAGCAACTTCAGAGTTTATCTGGTCTTTGGGATGTTCTCCCTGAATATCTTCCAGCTCTTTATTCTGTATGTCCTGGACTTATCTCGTTGAACTTGAGCTATGCTACTGTCCGAATGCCTGATCTTGTTGAGCTTCTTAGGCGATGCTCGAAACTGCAGAAGCTATGGGTGAGTATATGCATTTTTCAAGACTTTTTTATTTGAGTATCCCATCTATATATCTTGGTTCTTACTAATGAGTCATCTTTTGCAGGTGATGGACTTGATAGAGGACAAAGGTCTTGAAGCTGTTGCCACATATTGTAAGGAACTGCGAGAACTGAGGGTGTTTCCATCAGAGCCAGATCTTGATGCAACCAACATACCTGTGACGGAGCAAGGCCTGGTCTATGTCTCTAAAGGCTGTCGGAAGCTTGAGTCTGTTCTTTACTTCTGTGTCCAGTTCACAAACGCAGCTTTGATTACTATAGCAAGAAAACGTCCAAATCTGAAGTGCTTCCGTCTCTGCGTGATAGAGCCATTCGCTCCTGATTACAAAACAAATGAGCCACTTGATAAAGGATTCAAAGCCATAGCTGAGGGATGCAAGGATCTTCGACGGCTCTCCGTCTCTGGTCTCCTCTCTGACAAGGCCTTTAAATACATTGGGAAACATGCCAAGAAGGTTAGGATGCTATCCATAGCATTCGCAGGCGACAGTGATTTGATGCTCCATCACTTGTTGTCAGGCTGTGAGAGTTTAAAGAAGCTTGAGATAAGAGACTGCCCTTTTGGAGACACTGCACTACTAGAGAACGCTGCCAAACTAGAAACCATGCGATCCCTTTGGATGTCGTCGTGCTTTGTAAGTTTTGGCGCTTGCAAGCTTCTGAGTCAGAAAATGCCAAGGCTTAATGTTGAAGTCATTGATGAACATCCTCCAAAGACAAGACCTGAGAGCTCTCCAGTTGAAAGGATATACATATATAGAACAGTCGCAGGACCGAGAATGGATACACCTGAATTCGTGTGGACGCTACACAAGAATCCTGAGATTGGAGTTTCTCGTTTAGCCATTAAGTAAACTTGCAGCTTCAGTCATTCTTTTTTTCCTTTTCATCTTGAGTTTTTGCAGACATTGGTGTTGGAGATTCAGCTTCCATTCGTTCTCTTTTATATTGTTTCTACTAAGATGTTAGAATATCAGTGATAGAAGCATTTCGTAGCTTGTACTCTGTTAAGCGAAACCTTGAGTTTGTACTAAAGTTTGGAATAAAAAAGTTGTCACTTTATAAGATTTATAGTTAAAACAAAACAGCAAAATTCATGAGCTAAACTGTAAGGCCTAGCCAAAAACTACAAGTGTTGCCTCAAAGCATCTCTATAAGTAACAAGCACCAGTAGTAATATCAGGTCGTTATCTGAGATGAAAACAAAGTTCTTGTTTCAAGCCTCCACAACACCAGACGTTTTGAGAGAATCCTCCACCAGATGCACAGAACTAGAAGGATTGTCCACTGCACTGTATCTACCTCATGCGCTTTCATCGATTCCAGCAGATTTCTTGATGGATTCAAGAAGATGCTCTATTCTGTATTTCATTACAGGCTGACCATGTCGGGTCTTCCTCATCATCTTCCCCTTTGCTACTTTCCTCCGTGACTCAGCCTCTTGTTTCGCTTCCTTCTTAGCCTGAAATGTCGCCTCTCTCTCCATCCTTGCTTTCTCCATCTCTTCTTTAGTCTGCTTGTATAAATCCTCTACACCGATTCTCTTATTAGATTTACCCTTCTGCTTAGCATCAATATCATTGTTATCATCTATCTTACTACTCTCTCCAGTCTCATTCTTATCATGTAAGTTCTGCTGCTTCATCGACTTCCTAAACTTGCTCACATACTTTGCATTCTTGTAGAACTCTTTTTGCTTTTCTAAAAAGAGAGTATACACAAGAGGGCTAAGTTAAAAAAAACAGAGCAAAGTAAACTCATTCAATCTTAGTTCTAGCCTAGTCTGATTCTCAGTAGGAACCCAACAAAGTCACAGAAAGATAATAACAACGCTTTCACCACAATGATTGAGCTGAGAGGTCAAGAAAACAAAACACAAACCACATTGTAGCGTTCCTAACATCATTCTAATCCTCAAACACTAGCTAAATTTCGATACAAGAAGGATGAGACTGTCATCATAAAAAAAGGAAACTTTTTTCAAATTGGGTAGAAGAGAAGAATCACTTACTGATCAAAGCAGGGTTGTAGCGATTGTTATCCGATTTCATGTTAGCAAAAGTTTGAAGAGAAAGACCACCGCCTCCCAATCTCCTCATGTTCTTCCTCTTCTTCGTCTCCGTGGACTTGGAGCTATCAGTCTTCTGTTCATCTCTTTGATGAAATTTCTTCATCGTTCGCCGAGATTCTTCAAGCTATTAGACTCCTCCACAAGTCGATTTCTCTGGGGATTTGATCGAGTTACCAGAAAGGGGGAAGAACGTACAAAACCCTAACTGTAATTGGCGACTCTCAAATCTGAGAAGTGGGGGAATTGCCGACTTTATTAAAATTGCTACTATACCCTTATACTTTTATTTATTTGGTAGAGAAGCACTATAGATACTTATAGTTGTTCAAAAAAAAAAGATACTTATAATTATGAAAAAGGACCACAATAGTTAACGGATACTAATCATAATTTGCCGTATTGGGTAGGCCTAATGAACAAGAAGCCCATGTTTCTTTGTATGCGTGATATTTGGTATAAAAAGATTTGTCGACAACAAACATCTTCTGCCAATTCAAGATTTTACTACAATTGAACAAAAACTAATGAATCAATAATGTATTGTACAATTGTTACGGATGTATTATCGTATAATCCGGTAATTAGTGCAACTATGCAAGTGAGTACTTTGAAAAACGGAAAAAAAAAACGAATAGGATAATGCTAATGCATAAATTTTGAATAACACCTTCTATACACTTCCCTTTATCATACCAATTCAAAGTTTTGAAAGAAAAAACAGTGTTTTTTTTAGTAGAATGGTTGGTTAGACTTAGGAAGAGATATTAGTGATTCTTTTTTTCAATTTTAACTTGTATGCTAGAAAATAATATTACGAATTTCATACATAGTAAAACTCTAATTTCAAAATGAAAAAGTTTATTGTTGTTAATGCAACATCATCAATTCAGATTATAGTAAGAGTATATACATAAAATCTATATGTGTAGTGGAACTCTAACTCCAAAATGATAATAGTTTTGATGCGGCCACAACATCACTAATTCCGATTAGAATAGGGGTACATCTGTAAATAATATACTAAAGTAGAACTCTAATTTTAAAATGATAAAGCGCCGCCATCGTATCACTAATTCAAAATGTATTAAGGGTATACACGTAAACTCATACGAGTCTTTGTACAAAACCCTAGTTTCAGAATCATAAAAACTCTTGCGCCGCACACAGCAGGGTATATACGTAAATTTTATGTGAATGTCTCTGGTGTTTTGTTCTCTGAAAACTAAACCACAGCCACATTTGTATGAATTTTATGTATAAGATCTCCTATAAAAGGAAAAGCAAAGGATCCCTTACATTATCCTACATCTACTTACACACCACCTTTAAACCACAAAATAGGTAAAAAGAGAAGAAAAGAGGGAGTCATACAACACAGTGTGATTCTCTACTTGCACCTAGCTAGGAACTGTCACAAAAAATAAGAGTGAAGATGATGGAGGGGTCATCAAAGTGGTGGTGGATTGGTGGAAATCACAACACATCAAATTCATCTCCTTGGCTTAACTCTACTCTCTCTGGTAAGTAATAATCTCATCAGATTCTAGCGTTGTCTCATTTTGGTTTGCTCTGTACTTAACTATACATGTTGTATTCACAGATCTTGATGCAAAGACGAAGGAAATGCTGAGAGTGATTGACGAGGTTGATGATGAAGCAGATTCCTTTGTGAAACGAGCTAAGATTTATCACGAGAAAAAGCCAGAACTCCTTGCTATGATCGAAGATTTATACCGTTCGCACCGCTCCTTGGCGCATAAGCATGACCTCTTGATCAAAACCTCTGGTCTGAATCCGACCAGACAGAACTCATCAACCTGCGACGAGATCGTGTTGGAATCTTTTGAAGAAATGGAGTCTGAAGTGGATGATGGTGAAACGGTGAAGGGAGATTTGGTGAGTTTGAAAGAAGAGACGAATGAAGTGACTTGTTTGATTGCAGATGAAGTTAGGGTTCCTCGTGCTTCCATTTCCATTGGGAAATGTTTTAATCTCTTCATTTGCATGTTTGTTCACTGTTTCTTTAGAACCATATCGTAGGTTGTTGGGTGTCTCCATGTATGAATTAAAGTCTCATGAGGACTTTGTTTTTACATAATTTGATTATCAAATAAGATGTACAAGAGATTTCATGTTATCCTCAGCTCTTTTCTTATATAAAATTTCTATGATCCTAGTTAGATCTAGCAATTATATGGAGCAAATATCATGCATTATCTCACGTATAAGGAAGAAATAGTCTAACAAACTTAAATCTAAAGAGACACTGAGAGAAGAAAACAGAGTTTTTACAGTTAAAACGTCGTCGTATAGACAGCCACGTCACGAGTAGCGTTATAGTGTGTGGACATGACGTCATCTTATCTTCCTCAGCTCAATCGCAGCCACCAAAGAGAGCCCTTTGAAGATACTCAGCTAAGTGAAGTGAAAGTGCTAGACCCGTAGAACGAAGAATGAGCTCATGGGTTTGCTCTTACGTGACTCGAAACGTCGTAATCTCCGATTATTCACATCGTTTCTCATCAATCAAACACTTTAATTTCCCGGCGACGGTTCCGAGAAGATCCGTCACCTTTCCGGTGACAAATAAGCCGAGGTTTCCGCCTTTGAAACTCCAAAAGTCTCGATCTTCGTCGACCCATGAAGTTGAAGAAGACCCAGAATCATTCGTACAATCCCTCACGATCCCAGACGAGTGGTTGCTTCCTTCTAGGGCCATTGAGGTGCTTTCTCGCTTCCATCAAGCAATTTAATTTAGTTTTTTTTTTCCAATTCCTCTGCTTCTGGTTACAAATTGCACCAAAGCTTCTCTGTTTCTGGTTAAAAATTTGCTTGCTTGATTGCTGATATTGCTTACTTTCCCAAGAACTGCAAAATTTGGAAAATCTAGGATCTTTCAATGTCTTTTCAATTGTATTCGATTTGCTTCGATAATTTGGTATATGATTCGTTGGATTACTGATCTTGAAATGTTTTTGATCAGGAATCTGAGTGGTTGAGAGTAGCATTACACAAATGGTTGGATGATGAGTATTGCCCTGAGCCAACCAATGTTGTGATCAGTGAAGTAGCTGCAAAGTCTTACTACAGCTCATTGCTAGAGAAAGAAACTGATGTGGGAGAGATTTTGATGAAGATGGCTCAAGATTTAACCTCAATTTCATACAAAGAAAGCTTCCATGGAGCTTTCACATCCGCAAATGCAGCTATAGATTTGATTGTCGAAAGAGTAGAAACTGGCCTACTCTAATCTAGTATAGTTTAGTTTAGCGTTTAAAAGTTCAAGAACAGTGTCTTTGTACATTATGAATTTGAGTTTTTTTATTTCATTTGATCAGGTGCAGGGAAATCTAAAGTCTTTACAGTTGTGAATCCTCCATCTACCACTAGATTATGCCCATTTACATACTTTGAATCATCTGATGCGAGGTAAACCGCTGCATTAGCTACATCAGTCGGTTCACAAACCTCTCCGTCCAACACTCCTGTGTTCTGCACTATTTGGATCAGCCTTGAATCATCAACACCAGGGTAAATCTGTCGCATCTCATCCATCACAAACGATGTTGTGGTCGCAAATGGAGAAATGCAGTTGACCCGAATCCTGTGTTTGCATAGTTCTGAAGCTGTTGATCTTACAATTCCGATAACAGCGGATTTTGAGACGCTGTAAGTATGTTGTGATAAACCGCCCATCATCCCTGTGACACTCCCTGCACAAATGATGGATCCGGAATTACGTGGAATCATCACTCGAGCAGCGTGTTTGATTCCTGCAATGACTCCTCGGACATTTGTGTTGATTACCTACAGAACATAAAAAGATCCGATGAAACCAACTTTTCCCAGAGTCTTTTCTTTCAAATGTTCTTAAAGATCAGTACCTTGTCGAAAACATTGAGATCAAGATCCACGATACTAGGAGGCGTTCTGCAGGGAATACCAGCATTGTTGTACATTATGTCGAGCTTTGTATGGAGCGAGACAGCGAAATCAACTGCGTTAGCAATGTCTGATTCTTTGGTTACGTCGCACTGGAAATAAGCAGCATTTGGACCAAGTTCTTGTGCGGTTTCTTTCCCGTACTTAGGTTGGATATCGGCAATGATAACTTTGGCTCCATGGCTGATGAATTTTCCGGCTGTTGCTTTGCCAATCCCACTTGCTCCTCCTGTAATGAGTGCTACTTTGCCTTCTAACTTCCTTTTACATAACAACTATAGATTAGACCTTAGTATTAGACAAGACTTCTCATATTTCTATTAAATCTATAATGTGATAATCCCACTTGTTCAAGTTTTATTTTCTCCCCTTTTATGATTTATGTGTTCAAAAGATAAAATTATTGTCTCACGTTTGTTTGCTTTTTTTCTTTTCTTTCTGATAACACATTTGATATTCTTAGTTGGTGGAAAACTTTCTAACTTTAAGATAAGATTCGTCGAAGACAAATCTAAGCAACCAACTTGTAATACCAGATTATTTAATATATTTCATTCACATTCATTATATAGTCGTATATATAAACACAGTATGACATTTGTTGTTTATCCCAACTTACAAAAAAAAAAAAAATCATTTGTCATAAATAATTTATATTAGTTTTGTATGGAATTATTTTTGCAAGATGCTAAATGTCAGGATGTAAGAAAAAACAAATTTTCCAAAATGTTAATATATTTGGCTGAATTAAATATCATATTTTTCTTCAACACATGGACTTAAAAAAAAGGGCATATTCTTGTTTTCTCTTTTTAACTTTCTCATCAAAAGTTTTTAATATTAATCTGATACCCTAGTTTAACTCAGATTTTGGTTTACTAGTTTTGTAAGTGATCAAAAGAGTGGGGATTAAGAGATGGGGACTTGCCTTGAACCTGAACAAGATGATGCGGATGATGAGGAGATTCCCTTGTTAAGAAAGTTCTTGCTCACATTCTTGAACAATGCGTTTTTTCTATTTCAAGATACATCAAAGAAACCAAAAAGTTAGAACAAAGAGTGTTCATTGTTACAAATCTGGAGAAATAAATGGAGAAGTATAAAGAAGGAGCTAGCTTGACCCAATCTGAAACATGATTCTCCGAGATAGATCGGTCGGTCTTTGTTGTTTTCTAACTTCTAAGTTTCTCGTCTTTGAAGGTAAGGGTCCCTGTCCGGTGTTTGCGTCTTATATAGAGATAGAGGAGAGGAGAGGAGGGTACATAAGGATAAAAGGTGTGGTCTTTAGAAAGAGAGAGAGAGAGAGAATCTAATGGTGCTGTGATTGAACCAGAAGCATACTAGCTAACATGCAAAGTGTTTTTGTCAAATCTGATCTTTAAGAAAGAAAAAAAAAAAAAAAGAATAATGAAGACAAAAAGGAACATTAAAAGTTAAACATGTGCTGATTTGTTCCCAAAACAAGATTGTTTATATATATATAGCCTAATAGGCTGAGAGGCTAATCCAATCTTCCATATATGTATAACTAAAATACGTTACAATATCATTAGTTAGATTAATTGATTGATTGGAATTATAACTTTTGTTAGATTGCAACCTATAAAAGTTTATGGGGACGTCAAAAGATGAAAAACCTCATCTCTCTGAAAGCTTGTGTTGGTGCTTATTATGAGCTGTCTATTAATGTATAATATTTTTTACGTATTCACTTATACAACGTACCTACCAATACCATTCTTCAAATGCCGACAGAAAGCTAGCTAATAATTTATCATTATGATAAAAATATACACTATTATCCAGTACTAGACAAATGTGATAATTATTCAGAAGACGACATTAATTTGCATACGACCAATTTACCTTCTTTTCTTACATATAATGGTGTTCCACGTACGTTATAATAGATGCGTACGTATCTTTCTTGTGTTGCTAAGACATAAAATGCTGATGAGGTGAGTCTAATATCATATAAATTTTCTGTACGTACAAGTACAACATAACATATATATATTTGCAAGCCATAAAATCTAGCTAAGAACATGTACAGTCCTTATGCTATGATTCCATATCGTCTATATACATATATGGTGAAAAGGAATAGAAAAAAAAAAAAATTAGTGTTGCCAAAATCTTTGACATATTCGATGAATGGTAACCTTCTCTAATGCCTTTTACATGAAGATTCTTGGCCAAATCGCATACATGTCAAAATATATATATATGAGGTGTCGAATAAGTTAGTTTCGTTTCCTTCTAGAAGGCATAATTAATCTATATCCTTTTTTTATTCTCACTTTCTTTGAAATATAGGTGAAGAAGAAGAAGATTAAAGGAGAAGAACATAGTGGAAGAAAGAACAGAGAAGAAGAATGATGTAAGACAAATCAAAGGGGGTTAAAAAAAAGAAGACATGGGGCATTCCGAGAATTGAACTCGGGACCTCTCGCACCCTAAGCGAGAATCATACCACTAGACCAAATGCCCATTTTTGATACTCCTTTCACATTATAACTATATATACACATATGTAAAAGATATCGATAGTATTGCAGAGAATTGTGCTTTTCAAAACCACTCGGCACAGCTCTCGACTCGTCTCTCTCCCGCCAATCACATCGTCAATGGAGCCTCTAGGGTTTCTTCTCCGTTTCTGATTCGTACTCTAAATTGGGCGCTTCTTGCTATTCGACTCGAGTTTAGATGGTCGATCAGATGGAAATTGAAGTTTTCGCTTCCGATTCGCAGTCTCCTTCAGCTTCTTCGGATCATAGTGAGTTTTGAGATTTACGATTCAATTACCTTTTCCTTTCTTTTTTTTTTCTTGCGAATTCTGTTGTGTGTTTTCCGGATTATCGTATATTATGAGGTTTGATTGATGTATGGTACGAATTTCATTTCTGGATTCTCTTAGGGTTTGAGGTTAATGGGGTTTTGGGATGCGGTGAAATTGAAGATACTGAGCCGATTGATGAAGAAATTGTACTTGATAGCTCGTTGCTTGAATCCCCATTTCAAAACCTCTATGAGGATACAGAGCTCGTAGATAACGAGAATTACGTTGATGAGGAAACACTGGGTCTCGACCAAGTGGTGGTTGATAGTGAGGATGAAGATGGAGGATCGGGTAAAGCTGCTGCTGGTGAGCTGACATATTTGCGGGAACGAAGCCCCAAAGCTGCAGGTGTACTCTTGGAGTCTGATGGATCGAATGATCATGAATGTCAGATAGGTATACTTAACTCTGTGTTGTTATGATGCATCTTTCTACTTCTTTGTATCGACTCAGACTAATCTTACTGTATCTCTTTCTTTCAGGAAAGCAAGAATCAAACTGTGATACCGTGACAGGATTTCAAGGTTCTTCTCGGATTAATGATGAGAGTCATGGTCCAGGGCTGGATTTTTTGGATTCTCAGGAACCTGGAGAGGCAACACAAGCAGATGCCCTTGGTTTTGTGGACCACCTTTTGATGGACAAAGATCTTAATTTGTCTCCAGTCGATCTACGGGAAAATTGTTCGAGGAGGAAGTCACCTCCTGTCTCAGTTGCAAAAGGATATCAATCTCTATCCAAAAGAATCAAGAGCCGAAGTCCAACCAGGAAAATGAGTGTCTTTGATTGGAGTAGTGACCAGTGTGATGTGAGTGACCCTCAAAACGCTCTGGTCAGTCGTGCAAACATTACCTGTTTCAAGAAAAGAGAAGATCATGCTGCAGAGGATGATCCTGGAGTTACGAAAGGATTTATGGATCTGTGTGTGGATATAAATGTCTCAACTCATCCCACACAAAGATTTATGCAGAACAGTTCTGTGGAACAAGCATCGGGTTTGAATCAGGGCATTCTGTTTATCTCTCAGGAGGATGCTCAGTTGCAGGATAAGGCATCAAAGGAGCACTCGGAACCAGAGGAAGACTTTATTGACATTGGTATTAACACTCAAATTGCTGCTGAAGCAATGAGTGCTCTAGTGTATTCTCCCTGCACTAAAGAAGAAGCTCGTGAATCAGACCCAATTCCTAGGAGAATATCAGAAATGAGGGATCAAGGTAGCAATATTCCTAGAGGGAACAATGACACCATTGAGGGTGGACCTGAAAGAGACAACGGTAATGGTCCGCTTAGTGGTTTACACAAGGAAAGACACTCTAAGAGGAAGAGAAAATTCAACAAGGAAGAGAGAACCGGAACAAATGTCTCTGTTATGACATGTCTTCTTAACTTATGCGAATGGAGGCATCCTAGGGGAAAAAGATCTCGTCTTATGCAAAGGCATCACGTCCCACCTAGGAGATCTTGGGGTGCTAGTTCAATTAAACACAGAAGTGAAGCCAACACTTTGTCAAGCAGGTCACAAGTATCATTAAGTGGAACAAGACAAGCCTCTTCTTGCCAATCAGGAGTCATTGACGTGAATGTTGCAAATCATGCAGCTCCAAAGAACATATATGGTGGAAGTCATGAAAGCTCTTGCAAGAAAGATTTTCCCAAGTTATTTCTTCAGAAGGAGCTTACTACGAGGCTTGGAGGTCCTGGAAAAGTAGGTGACTTCGTGTGGAAAGACCTAAGGAGACGAAGAAACTTGGCTTATGTTCGAGTCTTATTTAGCCAGCATCTGGATGATGAAACAATCAAGCAGCAGAAGAAGGTTTAATTCCTACAGTTCTTTTTATCAGTTTTATATAGTGTAACTATATCCACCGTATTGGTTATCAGGAATTCCCTTTTTTATTCCATAGATCATGGTTCGTCTTGGAATTTCTCTAGCATCTTCCTCAGCAGATTCAACACACTTCATAGCAGATAGATTTTCTCGGACAAGGAATATGCTGGAAGCCATATCCCTTGGTAAACCTGTTGTTACACCTTTATGGCTGGAGAGCTGTGGACAAACAAGATGCTTGATAGATGAGAAGAATTACATCTTAAGGGATAGCAAAAAGGAAAAAGACGGGTTCTGTATGCTTACATCTTTGGCCCGTGCGAAGCAGCATCCCCTTCTTAAGGTCACCATTTATCTCATTTATCTCATTAACGCGTCATAAATTCCTTCACAATTATCCGAGATCATATAAGTCACATTTATACATAGGGATTTAAAGTCTGCATCACCCCCAACATTAAACCAAGCAGGGGTATGATTGCTGACTTAGTGATGTTGACTCAAGGGCAGGTACGAACAACTCACTTCAATTAAGAGATTTTCGTTTATAGACATCTTGGCACTTCTTCAGGATGGTTATGAGTTCATTGTCAGGTAGTGGAGATAAGTGAGATAGTTTCTGCAAAGGATAGAAACTTTCCAGAAGATCTGTTGATTCTTTCTTGTGAAGACGATCGAGATATCTGTGTTCCTTTCATTAATCAAGGTAACATCTATGCTAGTTTTATACTTTCAGAATTACTAGGAAAGAAAATTTTTTACGTTAACAATTGTACTCTTTTGTCCCCCCAAAAAGGGTTTAATAGTTGTGATCTCTCCACTAAAACTTGTAATGTAGGAGCTGTAGTTTACAACTCTGAGCTCTTGCTAAATGGAATCGTGATTCAGAAACTGGAATATGCCAGGTTTGGAACTCAGAAATAATAATCCTAGTTTGTGAGACCACAGATCTCATAACAGTTCTTTGGTTCTTTGTTGTTGCAGGCATTGTCTCTTCTAAATTGCAGACAAAAGGAACCATCGAATCACAAAGTTTACAGCAACACGCTAACTAATGTACTGGTTGATGCATGCAATGAGGCTTTTCATTTCAGTATTTCATAAAACATGCCCGTTTTCAACTTTCATCATTACGAATCAAAAATCGACCAATGAAACATTTCACATACATTAATTCTAAAGCTCTTCACATAAATTGGATTAGAAAAGGTAAGATACTTTGTCAAACAAGAGTTCTGAGAATTTTTGGCAGGAGAAAAATGACTCATCGACCTAACTCTACTCATTGCTTTCAGGAGATTCAGCACCAGGGTTTGGATTGTTGAAGCTACCACTTGGTGCAGCAGCTGGATTTGGATGATAAGGAGGAGGAGGAGGTGGTGGTCCATTGTAATTAGGAGGAGGTCCGCCACCTTGACCTGGTAAGGGAGCCATTCCTGGTGGCCTCAGAATACCATTTTGTGGAGGTGGAGGTAGAGGAGCACCAGGCGGTGCCATCATCTGTGGTACTCCTGGAGGCGGCATGTAACCTGCAAAGGTACAATATTACATTTCACTTCAAACTAATTGTAAGGTGGTTTAAATGAATGGAGACTATTTTGTATGTCTGATGAGTCATGAACCGTACACAACAAGTGACAATCAAATATCATATTAATCAGCTGTACAATTTAACCCAAAAAAAGTTTCATGCCATGTCGAGTTTCTCAAAGAACCTATAAGGATGAAATTATGTACGCCTATTTTATCTTCAGATGAAAGTTATCTAGTAAAAAAACTTTGGAACGTGAATCTGCAGAATTATTTTAGGAATAGATATTACCTTGACCAGGCATACCAGGCATCATCGGTCTAGGCAGAACAGGAGGTCGCATACCCATAGGCATACTTCCAGGAGGTAGCATCATTGGAGGGCGAGGTCTAGCGAGCATATGCTGATTAAACACAGCACCAACCTGTGGAAACCCTCCAGTCTGGCCAAGATGTTCCTTAATTCTCTGATCAATCAAACTTTGGGTTTGTTGTTCCTCGAATTGCTGATAGTATATTCTCACATTCGCCTGAAAATCATCAAACTCTTAACACACATTAAGAATAATCATGCATGTTAAAAATAAAAAAGACAAAATCATTATAGATTCTTTATGTACCTTGTGTTTGTAACCAGCATTGTGCTGCTTCCTCACTGATGGCTGAGAATAGACAAAATAAAAGACGTTACTGATAGCAGAAGACTAGTACAATCAGTGAAACATGATTCGATTCTCAATCAACACCAAAGCATCAAAACAATGGATAAGAAAATGCAACCATTTTGATAAATCTCAATATACGATGGTGAGAACAAAGATGCAAATAAAAGCTCAAACTGGCTCAAGCACAAAATCATGTTTATCAATAATCAATTATCTTCAGTTCTTCACCAATTGATCGAGCCAAGCCTGTGTGACATAAATATGTACGATATGTAAATAGCATAGTGCTTATAAACTGAAATCCAAATCGGAAACCTAACTGGCACCGCCGGCGATCGGTTTCAATACAACCGAAATTAAAATTCACCAGCTACTACAAGTTATCCCAATTACTAGGGAAGAATTGAAACAATCAGGAAGAAGAGTTAGATTCAGACTTACGGAATCGTGAGTGAGATAGGTATCGCAGTAGTCACAGTAATACCTGCGAAGTTTAAAATCAAACAAGTAATTAAAACCTAAATCTCAAGCATAATTAGCATCTACGTATCAATATAACGTAAAAGATCTAAAACCCTATATACCTCGGCATCGTTCAGAAGATTCCAAAGAACCCTGCGAGTAAGTGAGAGAGACGAAAGCTAGGGGAAGAAGAAGAAAGAAAGTGCTAGAGAGAGAGAGAGACGAATTTTTTATTTTGCCTAATTTTAATAAATAGGATGTTTTCATTTAACGGCCCAAATTCATTATATATATCCAACGGGTATTAATAGCCTCAATGAAGCTACGTCGTTTCAAGCGACTAATATAAATACAACGGACCATTTCTCAAAAAAAAAAAAAGGGAAATTTGTTTTATAATGATCGGAGATGTCTCTCCGCCGGTAGCTTCAATCCCAGGTTCGTCGGATATTTTATGCTTTTTGAATTTGAGTAAAATTATTCAATCACAGCTTCTTCGAATCTTTTGCTTTTCATCTTCATAGTCTCGAGACATGAAGCTATTGATTTTGTGTAGTTGTTGACGGGAATGAAGAATTGAAGAAGCCACAGAATCTGCTTCCGCCGTTTTCCAAGGTGGTGTCACATTTTGGCACAAGCGGAGTCTCCGTCGCGTTAGCCACCGGCGTGACTCATCCTCTCGGTTAGATCCTGATGCCTTCTCCTTCTACTCATTATTTCTTAGAGTCCAGATTTGGAAATTAGAACCATTGACTCCACATTTCACAACTTGGATAATGTATCAGTATGTACTTGCTTTTGTAGTTGGTTAGTAGTGTATAAGTCTCTGCTGAACTATAATGTGGAATATTAAGGTTAAGAACTGAGAATAAAATGGTTGCCTTTGTTTCATACTATTCTTAAATGTGTTCTTCTCGTTGTTTATGTTATGCAGATGTACTGAAAGTAAGATTGCAGATGCAGCATGTCGGCCAAAGAGGTCCTTTAATTGGAATGGTAATAATGTTTTTATGAACTTCTCCTCTTGATGTTATTGCGGTTTGGGGATGTTAGTTTAACTTAGTTTGAATGCGTTGAAAATGTTTTTTTTTTTTCAGACTGAAACCTTTCTTCAACTAATAAAGAATGAAGGGCCTAGGTCGTTATACTTGGGGTTGACTCCTGCTCTCACTAGATCAGTGCTTTACGGAGGTCTCAGATTGGGATTGTATGAACCCACTAAGTTTTCTTTCGATTGGGCATTTGGGTCTACCAATGTCTTGGTCAAGATAGCATCAGGCGCATTTGCTGGGGCATTTTCCACTGCATTAACCAATCCCGTTGAAGTTGTGAAGGTAGATGAAACCTCAAGTATTGGCTTGATTCTGTGCACTAGATCTCTTTTTTGGTTTTTAAAACTCATATCGTTTGCGTTTCGTTAGGTAAGGTTGCAGATGAATCCAAACGCAGTTGCCATTGCAGAAGTGCGGGAAATAGTCTCTAAAGAAGGCATAGGAGCTTTATGGAAAGGAGTTGGTCCTGCCATGGTCAGAGCTGCAGCGTTAACTGCCTCACAACTTGCAACATATGATGAAGCCAAGCGGGTCATATTCTAAGACTACTATTTTGTGCTTCTCAACCATTTATCGATTCAAATAAAGGTGCTGCTTTCTAATATTCCCAGCTTCTAAAGTTTCTTGTCATTGCAGATTCTGGTTAAACAAACTTCTTTACAAGAGGGGTTTCATCTGCATTTGTGGTAAAAGTTTAACAGTCATTATTACTGTTTCTTTGTCAGACAAAATCAATTGAAGCACCAAAACTTACTCACTCTAGCACTTGAGGAATGAAGCTCAAGTGTGGTTGCAGGTGTAGTAAGCACACTAATAACCGCACCCATGGACATGATCAAAACCCGCTTGATGTTGCAGCAAGGTTCGGAAAGCACAAGAACGTACAGAAATGGATTTCATTGTGCTTACAAGGTAATGTAATCAAGCCCTTCTTTTATACACTTTTACTGGGGATTGCTTGCTTGCTCGTGCTAAACGTTAGTGTGTAATGATTCTTCAGGTCGTTCGCAAAGAAGGACCTTTAGCACTTTATAAAGGGTGAGAAAGAGAAACCCTTTATTGCTCTTGAGGATGTATTCATTTAGTTTGTAATACATAAATATATAAATAACATTCCTTGGTGTTTTTTTTTTGTGCTGGATACAGAGGGTTTACGATTTTCGCACGACTCGGGCCACAGACGATGATCACGTTCATGCTGTGCGAGAAGCTAAGATCACTCGCTGGACTTCACAAAATGTAGTCACTGACCGGTGCATGCCAAGCTAGCCCGGTTCCAGATAAGTTTTTCTCCATTCTTTTCATAGAAATAATTCACACAAGGTGAGATTTTTCTAATAAAATGTTTATTCATGATTGAGTTGGAAGTAGTACAATTTTGTGGAATCACGATTTATGCTCTATGATTTCATTCATTTCACTCATTTTATAACAAACAGTAAAATAAAAAAAGATGATGCAATTCAACATTCGTTTCTAGTTGTTATATGTTCTGATTGTCTTCTAGATCCGAGCATAATGTAAACGAGTTTGTTTTTTATTTTTCTTGATTAGATTGGATAGACATTGGACTGTTGAAATGACATTTATCCAAATATAAATAATATAGATAACGTAGTGGTTATGTCGAAATCACTTGGTAAATTATTACAAAAGTGTGTGTGCGTGAGTGTGTCACTCAAATAATTATACCAGTCTCCATCACAAAAGAATACAAATTGTTTTCTTATACATGAATATTAAAAACCAATTATCCAGAAACAAATAATAATTCTTAGTAGTATTAGTAATGGTGGAAGTTGGGTGTGTGTTGGACGTAAAGGAAAAAAACTCGTAGGGCCGAAACATAAAAGAAGAATAAGTTCAGGGGTCTATTTGTTGGAAATAGAAGAGAAAATAATATAGTTGAAAAATATTTTTGTGGCGTTGGAGGAAAGGTCGAGTTTTTTGTTTTCTCTCTGGTCGCGTTGGCGGGACAGTCTGTCATGTTTTATGTTTGACCCTCTGTTTTCGCTTTTATTTACGGTTTTTTGCCACTCTATTTTAATCAGACCATTTTGCCCCTTAAGACAGTGACCTTTTTTTCGGTTCTTTTCGTTGGTTCTGTTTTAGATTTTATGGGTCAAACAAACTCTTTTCGTGTTTATCCGTTTAAACAAAAAAAGTCTTTTGAATGTTCTTAATTTATTAGAGTTTTATCCCTTTTCACTTTTAAAAAGGTGTTTCTTAACTACATATTAGTTATAGGTACAGTATCAGTATATATATGCTATTCAAGATTTGAGCAGTTGATGGATACATTAGTGTTTGAGATTAGAAACACAATAGTGTAATTGGCAATTAGGTTTTTTTAAGAAATATTTAACCAGCATTATTTGTAGTATTTGTAATATAACAGCAAAGCAACGGATATAAATGGTTTTCTAACTTATATGAACTACTGTTTTTCATGTTATTAAGGGAATTTTGTTAGAGTTTTTTTAAGAATGACAGTTTTTTTGCATGTCTTTGCTCTCTCAACACTAAACACAAATTATTTATTATTGTATCCATTTTTAATTATTTTATCGTTTCTTTATCTATAAACTGTATTTCACTTGTATATATATACATATTCCATGTATACTATAAAATTTGAGACCACAATAGTTTTTTTTTTTTTTTTGTAAACCTGAGACCACAATAGTTAAAATGATGAAAACACCTTTAAAATACAGAAATAAAATTATAAAATTAATTTCTTTTACATCTGAGAAAGAAATATTTACTACAAGATATTTTGAGATGGAAAATAATTTAATATTTGTTAAGTAATGACAAATGGCAAAATTAAACGAAGAATCCAACGACTAGCGAATGAAATATTTTTGATTACTTTTAAATAAAAGAAAAACGGTCGTCTTAAATAAAATTTGTCGAGATTGAATACGACATCGATAAAAACTATGTTACATTCTTATGTATAAAATATATATTAAAAAATTTTAAAATCTTTTTAATTTTAGTCTCAGAATTTCTATTATAAAAAAATATCAAATATATGTTGATAAACAGAACTATACTTCACAATATATGAAAGCAAGTTAATTTTGAACACACTTCACCTATTATCTGCACCAAAACTATTTTATTCTAAATCGGATGTTTTGTTCGTATATTTTTAGTGTTAAATCGTAAGAGGTTTGAAAATGTTAGCCTAATCACTACATTTTTTTTTATAGAATTTATTAACATGACAGCTTTTCCATTTTTATCAAAACAAATCTGAGAAAAAGAGAATAAACAAAACCGAAATAATACAAGTTTGACTAAAATACACATTTTCGAATATTTAAAAAAAAAGAAAAAACAGAGAGGCAATAAGACGCGGGAAAAAAGGGAGGGTAATATAGTCTTTGACCATAGTATTCCCATAACGAGACAAAACAATCCGAAGTGTTCCCCTCTCGCATCGTAAAAAGCTTTTTTTCTCCTTCCTAAATTTGTACAGCTGTAATGGCAAGACCGTAAATAAGCCGTAACAGAATGGGCGATTATTGTCAACATTTAATTTAATTTCCCCAACTTCTCCCAAATTCCACCATTTTCCTTCTTCCTCCATAATTGAATTTCTCCTTCTTTTTTTTTTTGTGTTCTTCAAGTAAATAAATAAATTTTTAGAAACCCCAAAAAAACAAAAACAAAAAATTGTAGAGAGAGAGAGAAACTGAGAGAAGAGGACGAAGACGACCATATTGTCAATAGAGAGAGAAAGAGAGAAGAGAGAGAAGACGGAGACAACAATGGCGGAAGGGAAGGAGGAGAACAGGGAGAAAAATGAAGAAGAAGAGAGCGTTAAGCTTTTCGTCGGACAAATTCCGAAACATATGTCGGAATCTCAGCTCTTGACATTGTTTCAAGAGTTCGCTGTCGTTGACGAGGTCAACATCATCAAGGATAAGATCACACGCGCCTCTCGAGGTTTCCTCTTTTTTTTTTTAATCTATTCGAGAATGTGGTGTTTGATTCGCGTGATTCGTCGAGTTTTTTTATTTGAATTTCGAAAACCCTAATTTTGCTTTGTTTTAATTTTTCTCCATCAGGATGTTGTTTTGTGCTATGTCCGTCGAGAGATGAAGCAGATAAGCTGGTCAATGCTTGCCATAACAAGAAGACATTGCCTGGGGTACTTCTTTTTTCTTTTCTTTTCTTTTTTTTTTTTTTTTGAATTTCTGACATTTTAAAAAAAAATTCTTGGGTTTTTTTTATTCTTTTCATTTGTTTCAGATACTTGAATGTGATTGATGTTCTGTAGTTGTTATTATTTCAATTTCACATCACACATTTTTTTTCAAGTCAGGTTTTAAAATCTCGAGGTTTTCTGAAATATATTATTAATGTTACTCTGATTTTTGGAGCTGCATTTGTGTACTCTTGTTGTATTGGTTTCTGTTTGATTCCAGAATAGGCAAGTTGTGATTTCGATATATGTTTTCGCACGAAGCGTTTCTTTTTTATACAGCTGAGAAGATCAATTTTTCTTTACCTCTGCTCAGAATCGAATCTTTCTGAGTTTTGTTGGAATCTTATGACATTGTTTTGTAATGATTCCTTCAAGCCCAAGAAACTGGAATCAATGGGTAAAATTAGATCAATGCGTAGACTCAAGATAAAACACTTTTGTTTCCCCCTTACATGGAAGCGAAGTGTTAGTTTTATTTGGACACTGTGAGAGTTTGTTGAAAAAAATTGGACATTGAGATTTATTGGGATGATTTCTCTGTGTGTGTTTAAAATCTTGAACAGTGGTGATCAAGCTTAGATCCTTGCTGATTTCTGACTAACGTTATAAGTTTGATCAGGCGTCCAGTCTATTGCAAGTAAAGTATGCGGATGGCGAATTGGAAAGGCTAGGTAACGTGATTTCAACTTCTTCTTTATGTTGTTTTCTGCTCTATATTACTCTCTTTCATTGTTGTCTCATCAATTGATGGATGTATTGTTTACTGTATTCTGCAATTCAGAGCATAAGCTTTTCGTTGGTATGCTTCCAAAGAATGTGTCTGAAGCTGAAGTTCAATCTTTATTCTCCAAGTATGGTACCATCAAGGATCTACAGATTTTAAGAGGTGCTCAACAGACAAGCAAAGGTTTATATCCATCTCTGTGATCTTTAGTTTCGTTAGTATGCTTTATCAAGTTTTGACCTTTTTGGTTGTTGTTTTTGTTGTTAGGCTGTGCTTTTCTTAAGTATGAGACAAAAGAACAAGCTGTTTCTGCCATGGAATCCATCAACGGAAAACATAAAATGGAGGTAATTGATTTTGCTAGTTTTTAAACTTAGCATTTGTAACACATACTTGTGTGTGTAGCGTGAAAATTTCATCATTTTTCTATTGTTTACCTTTAGGGTTCGACTGTTCCTTTAGTTGTCAAATGGGCAGACACAGAACGAGAAAGACATACAAGACGACTTCAAAAGGCTCAATCTCACATCGCTCGACTAGGGAACGGTGATCCAACAAATCCCTCATTGTTCGGAGCATTGCCCATGGGTTATGTTCCACCATATAATGGATATGGTTATCATGTAAGCAAGCAAGCCTAATAATACATCGTTTGTTCAAGCTGTATAAGTTTTGTATTCATCAATTTCGTAATTAATATATTTTTTTGTTTCTATTTCCGTAGCAGCCTCCCGGAACTTATGGTTACATGCTACCACCAATTCAGAACCAAGCTGCATTTCCCAATATGATTACACAACCAAACCAAGGCAATAACAACGGATTGCAAGGAACATCTCCTGACTCTGTGCCACCTCGTTTGGCCCGTAGGAACTTTCCTATGCCTCCTGCGAACTACATGGGATCTGGTTATCCTGCTGTACGAGGTCATCCTTATCCAATGGCTTATCCCAGAGGAATTGTGAACCCTCGCCCTCTAAGTAGCTCTCCTGGATCAATATCACCTGTTATTGGGAACAGTGGCATGTCAACACCTTTAGGCATTGGTTTGAGTTCCGTGGTTCAAGCCGAAGGTTAGTGTTATATATAACCTTATCATCTTTCTTCTCTCATTTCTTTAGACCTGAAACGTTATTTTGGTTCTTCAGGTCCGGAAGGTGCAAATCTGTTTATCTATAACATACCTCGGGAATTTGGGGATCAAGAACTCGCGGCTGCATTTCAATCTTTTGGTATGGTTCTGAGCGCCAAGGTTTTTGTAGACAAAGCCACTGGTGTAAGCAAATGTTTCGGTAAGCTCTCTCTCTCTCTTTTGCCTCGTTTTTGCTCTTCAAGACCGGTTCATTGTGAAGCTATAACGAAAGCATTCCCTTGTTGTTGTTGGTTGCAGGTTTTGTTAGTTATGACTCACAACCAGCCGCTCAGAACGCTATTAACATGATGAATGGTCGCCATTTAGGCGGTAAGAAATTGAAAGTCCAGCTTAAGAGAGACAACAACAATGGCCAACAGAGTAGTAATCCTTCCTTGAACTCCTAAAAGACCAAGACGCTGAACCATCTTCTCTCATCAACTTATAAGTTCATAACAGAAAGGAAAAATTATTCGGGCTAATGGGTTTAACCCGGTTCAAGATTTGGATCGATCTTGAATGGATGCATCTGTATAAATCCAAATCTCATTGTGGGTCAAAATGTCCCATCAACTCATAGCTGCAAACTGAATCATCTTTACTTTTCTTAATCATTTTTTTTTTCTTTCTGCAAATAACAATTTGTAATTTATGTGTATCATTGAAAATCATGTAGACATTTTATGATTTATTAACATTAAATTCATTGAATTTTTCTTCTATCATTTTTTTTTTAATGATCTGATGTGTTTGTCTGTAGAAGAAAAAGAATCAGTGTTCTTTAAATCAAAGAGAAAAATATTAGATTATCTTTGTTACTACAAAGCCAAACATCACAACAAACACAAACAGACAGACCACAAACATGGAGAGGGAGTACAACAACAGTCAAGAGACAGGTTCAGCCCTTGCTGAACCCTAAAATCAGACTTCTCACCAACAATCCCTAAAGACCCTAACAAATTGGACAATAATCTCTGTATTGATTTACAGACACAACAAGTTTTCTTCCTTCTTGTTTTGTTCTCTGCAGCAGATTAAGCAGGAAGGAAAGGAACGCTACATAGAAACTGAGGTTGTCACCAGTGAAAACGTGGAAAATGCAGATCAGGCTTGAGTAAGACGATCATTTGCTTCATCTTCGTGGCTTGTGCTTGAGCGGAAAGTGTTGTTTGTGTTCTCTGCGAATGATACTAGTGGAGAGCCTTTAGGGCTCCAGTGTTCAGTGATAGTGGAGTTTGAAACTCTAGCATCGTTGTTGAGCTGAATCAAGAAGCATTTCTCTATTGAGCTTAGTGATCCAGTGTCGTTTTCATCTTCATGGGTAGAGCGGCGGTTGAGATGTTCTTCTTGCTGTTCTTCTTCTCCTTCTTCTTCTTCACTTTCTCCGCATTCCGAATCTGTGCCTTGTGATTCACAGCTGACTTCCATGTCTTGTGCATTGTCAGAATCAGAGTCAGTTTGGGAATTGGATGAGTGGGATGGAGAATATCCTTCTGATCCGGTTGCATTTTCTTCGCGTTCAGCTAGTGTTTTAGTGATGAGAGTCTTGAGCAAGTTCATAACTTGGACAGCATGCATAAGAGCCGTTAATGGATCTGTCATCTATAGATAAAGCAAGCAAGAATCAAAGGTTAGTAACTTCAGTGATTCTCAATATTGAAGCAAGTAATTGTGTGTTTCTTATACCTGAGTCATATTAGGAGCAAAAACCATAGCAATATTCCTAGCATTCATTTTGTTGGACTCTTCTTCTTCAACAACATCAGCCATGAGATCAACAGCCCAACTGAGCAAAGCAGACTCAGTTGGCTTAAGCTGCTTTATGAGCTCAACAGATTCGTCCTCAGTGTTGCAATTGAGAACTTCCTCAGGAGAAAGACCATCGAGCACTCCGCAAGGTAACTCTCTAAACCAAGCTTTAATAAGACCAGCCAAGCAATGAACATCAATGTTGTCAGGAACAATACCTCTGTTAAGTTGATCTCTTACATGCTCCTCTTGGCTGTTCTCAGGGTTTATCCTGAAAATCCCTTCAGCCTTGAGACCTTGTTGAGAATAAAGCCTTTCTTGCATAAGTAATAGAATAGTTGGGACACTGTTTCCTTTCTCGTCATAAGAACATTGCATTGACTCAGCGGATACACCAAACACGCTCACACTGCAGTTTTTAATCAGTAGATGAATTAAATATTACCTTTCAAATTGTAATTGCAGATCTAGTTAAGAGAGATACCTTGCACTGGGGACTCGACATGGGATCTCAACTTGAAGCTCGTGAGGGAGACCAAGAAAGCCTTGGAATCGATCGAAGGTAACATGAGTGATGTGTCGAACATTCGTTGGCCATCCGATCTCCATGTGATGAACGGCCGACGAAATCCCTCCGCCGCCAACTCCACCGTCGTCTTGCCGGTTGTCTACACGGCAAGATACAACAGATTTACGCAGAGCCGTCAAGAGAAACTCAACAAGAGACAGTTGTTGCTGATTCTGCTCCTCCTCTTCTTCCTCCTCCGCCATCGATTTTCTCCTTCCTCCTTTTCCTCCTCCTCCGCCGCCACAACCTCCGCCTTTAGTCATCATCACAAGCCCCGTCATCGAGAATCTACTCTGAGAATGAAGGTTTTCGCAGCTTCTCTCTCTCTGGACTTTGTGCTTCTTCTTCTTCTTCTCTCTCTTTGGATGTGAATTTGATTTTGAAATTCTCGAAAAGGTTTATTCTTTCTTTATTTGATTTAATAATATTATTTTTTATTTTTAAAGAATTATTAAAATAAATATGGTTTTTGAATTTTGTCTTTTTGGTTGGATTTCAAACCAACGGTCCATTCATTTCAAAAACAAAATATGTTTTCTTCTCTCCCTCCTCACTCACTCTCTCTCTCTCTCTCTATTAAAAATGTGTTGTGGCTTTTATTGGAATCACGTTTTACCCTAACTGATAACTTTCTCTGAATCTACGATTATGCCACTCGGATTTTAATTGGTTCTTCCTTGTTGACGTGGCACTTCATATGGATCTCCTGGATTTTTTTTTTACATGTTTCAAAATGTATATTTTGTATTTTGTCTGTTTTTAAATGTATTTTTTTTCATCTACTCACTACTCACTCACTTCATTGTTTTTTCTTCACATATTCTCATTTTATATTTCATAACAAATATAAACTAAAAATGTAAAGTTTAATATCACATAAATTGAAAAAGAGAAAAAGAGCTTTATTTTTCTTCTAATTAATTCTCTTTTATAGTGATAAATATCAATGTTTGTATTGGAAAAGTATATTATATATATAATAAAAATGTAACAAAGTTTTTAAAAAGAAATTATGTTGTTAGTATAATATCCTTCATCACGTAATATGACCAATTATATCACGACACGTTGATATGATTTTCCCCTTTCTTGCCACTAAATTTTTTAACCAAAATGTCATTTACAAAACCGGTTTCACAACATTACCAAAAGAAACCGGTTTCACAATATTTCTACTATATATATAATTAGCACTCAGTAAAAAAAAGGCTTAGGTTCTCCGCCGCTAGAGTTTTTGTTGTATGTTATGCGATGACGTCGCCGCCTTCAAGCTATCCGCTTCAGGTGAGTTGATTTTTCCATTCGTTTTAGGATGAACTGAAAACTATTTTAGTTTGATAGATCTTTATAGATTATATGTTTTTGATTTCTTTCTGGATTCAAAAGATATGTTTATCATTTTCGTATAACCATGGTGTATATCATTCGTTCTACATTTTTGAGATAATCTAACCGACATACTGATTTCATGAAACTCAAATATCATTCACTAAATCACCAAAGATCTAAATTTTTTAATTGATAATAGATAGAGGTAGCGTATTAGATATTTTTAACGAGTAAACGTAGAAGGGATTCAAGATTTCAATTATCCAAATGTAGATTCACATTTTATTAGTTCCTTTTTGGGTTTATTAATTAGAACTAATATGTTTGAAATTGAGATGCAATATTTAAATGTTGCGGACAAGATTTGATTTTAATTTTTCTAAATGTATTAACAAAGTTCTGATTTTGTTTGTTTTATGTTTTTTTATATCCCTAAGTTAATAAGAATGAACAAAGAGCATTTGTTATATCATCCTCATCTATCCCTGAAATAAATGAGCAATCAACATCTAGAGTATCATGTAATGGGTCTTTATATTTTCAAAAAGTTGGGCCTAGTGTAAAATTTATTTGGGCTTTTCTTAAAAAGAAAAAGCTGCATTAGGCTTTGATTTGAGCGACTTTGACCAATAAAAAAAAGGTCACGTGTTCTGTCACGTGATTGTCTTCCTCATCGTTTCCGACATTTGGAGAAAAATGATTGTTAGGGTTTGAAATTGATTGTCCGGTGTCGAACCAAAAATAATCTGATAAAGCTTTTATAGAGAGGATAGCTGAGTTTTCTATGACTCAGTATCGTCAATGTATCTTGAAATTAACCTCACTGTTTCTGCATATTTACCGCTATGCCACCATACCCTGAGATAGATTTCACTGCTCTCTTCACCATACATTTGGATTATCTTATCTTCTTCTCCTGCCATATACTCTAACACCTACCAGCGAGACTCAATTTTTCTAGTCGCTGATTGCTTCAGCTTCACCAGAAACTAAGCTTTGGTCACACTGTTGCAGACGGGGATCATGGTTCGATTGTTGCCGCCTACAGTCATGGTAGCAGCTGTGAAGGCTTTGCATTGGCGAAACTCTGTGGAATTCCACAAGCTGCTTAAAGATAACGAAGAAGATTTCTCTGTTTCCATTAACGAAGAAGAAGTGTTACCGCAAAAGGTGCCAATAAACTTTGATTTGCTTTTCCAATTTTGGTTTGTTCTTATCTTTTTGTATTTGTAGTGAAGTACTGATTTTTGTAAGCTCTTTCAGATTAGTGTAGAGAAATTGGTAAAAATGTTACCTTCGCACCTCATTGAGTCGTTTCTGTCTCCTAAGAAAGATGGAAAGTTTCAATATGTATTGTGTGGGATCAGACTTTTGCAGACGTTGTGCGACTTAACACTTCGTAACGCTAAACTCGAGCAGGTTCCATCTTCATACTGTGTTTTTTTGGCTTTCAAAAGTATTGGAATTTATGTCTCTATGGAACAGTACTTAGGTGAATGTCTGTTTCTTTATTTTTTCTTTTTTTTCAAATTTGTGATAGGTCTTGCTTGACGATGTGAAATTATCAGCAAAGATGATTGATCTGGTGATCCTTTTGATGATAAATCTTGGTCGTAACAGAAAGGTTCTTTTCTTAAAAAATCCCTCATTGTCTTTCTTTCCTTTTCTCTTTGGAGCTTGTGATTCATGTCTATTGCTTGTTTACAGGAAAGCTGCAAATCAGATGACGAATTATTACTAGAAGCAACGTTGGTGGCTTCTTCTCTCCACCTGTTTCATGGGTTGATCTCTCCTTACTCCCAAGATCTTGTTCAAGTCTTTCTTGCTCACCCTATGGTATGAAACTCTGACCTTACCATAATGTAATGTGCTTGAACTGCCAATATGAAGAAAGGGTAGATCATATGAAATTAAGATATTACCCTTGTTTGACTGATAAAAAAAATGAGCTTATGCTTTGAGAGCTGGGTTGTACTGCCTTGAGATTAGTTTGATCGGATTCTTTTTTTTGTCTCATCTAGGTTGATGTGTTTATAGACTGTGCTTTTGGAGCTGTTCTTAATGTTGTGATATCTTTGAAAGAGAAGTTGCTGCATCGACGAACCGACTCCCCAAAACAGTTAGGCCCAAGTTCTGTAGAGGAGGTTAACTTCCACTGCCAACAAGCTGAAGCTGCTGTGCAGTTCCTTCATTCTCTATGCCAGCACAAACTGTTTAGAGACCGTGTCGCTAAGAACAAGGTTTCTCTAATACTTGGTGTTTAAACTGTGATGCATCAATTTTAGATCAACTAGTCACTTGTACAGTAATCACTAGTTGTTACCAATTTTTTTTTTCTAAGTTGATAATTTTGTGGAGGACGAATCTCAGAATTAGGTTTTCTGGTATTCATTTTTCAGGAGCTATGTGGAAAAGGTGGCGTCCTTATGCTAGCTCAATCCATACTATCACTAGCTATTACTCCTGAACTTGTTGGAGCAACTATAACAATTGCTTCCACATCTAGAATGAAAGCAAAAGTCCTTTCAATTGTAAGTCTATTGAAATTACCAAAGTGGTTCTCTATTTCCGGTCTGCAACAATGCAACTCATACCAAAGTTTATTTCCCTGCAGTTGCAGCATTTGTTTGAGGCGGAAAGTGACACATTCCTTGATGAGGTTGCAAATGCAGGAAACTTGCATTTAGCCAAAACTATTGCCTCAGAGGTTAGTCCTAACTCTGCTCTAAAATCGTTTGGACGATCTTCGTGATTTCAAAGGATTATCACTGGATGACACTGCTACTTATTAAAATTGACAATCTTGCGGGTTTCGATTCGTTGTAACGAGTCATAGAATAAGCCTCACTGCAAAAGGCTGATGTTGACTTAGTGATGCTGTTCTAGAGTTTAAACCTACAGTTTCCTAACTAGCATATATTGTTAATTGACATTTTTTACTTTTCCGTTCCTCAAATCTCTCCAAGAAAGTTTGTATATGTGAAGTTAGTGTTGACCTATTCGGTGATGATATTTTTGTAATCTAGGTTCTTAAATTATTGAGGCTTGGCCTTTCTAAAGCTTCCATGGCTACTGCTTCTCCTGACTATCCAATGGGTTTTGTGCTACTTAATGCTATGCGCTTGGCTGACGTGCTCACGGATGATTCAAATTTTCGATCGTTTTTCACCGAACATTTTGTAAGTATCAACTTAATTCCTGTATCTGCTAAAGGCTCTTGTTTGATTTATTGTTTTGGCACATATGATTCTTTATGAGCTGTCATTGGATTGTTTATAATTTATTTGCAGTACTTAATTCTGTAATTTGATGTGTGACGGATGTTAAATATTTTCTCCAGAGCATGGTTATCAGTGCGGTATTTTGTCTCTCTCATGGAGATTTCTTGTCAATGTTGTGCTCTTCTGATCTTTCTTCAAGGGAGGATGATGCAAATATTGATTACGATCTGTTTATGTCAGCTGGATGGGTTTTAAGTGTATTTTCATCTTCTCGGCAATCAGTACCTCAATTCAAGCTCAGTTTACAAAATAACCTTACCATGTCTTCATATGCTCATCAGCGAACATCATTATTTATTAAAATGATTGCGAATCTTCACTGTTTCATTCCCAATGTCTGCCAAGGTAATTTCTTCCGCCACTACCTCCACTTTCCTGTATCATATCATATCGTTGGTTTACCTTTGTGTGTTACTATGTGTATTTGCTGTTAATATCTGCAGAAGAAGATAGGAACCGTTTTATTCAGAATGTTATGAGTGGATTGCGAAAAGATCCTTCAGACATATTGATTAAGATGTTACCAGGCTCTTCATATACTCCGGTGGCACAGAGAGGCACTGGTGTTTGCAGAAACCTAGGTATGTATCTGTACCCCAAGACGCATATTATTTCTAATATACACATGTTTTGCTGATTTCGTTTTGATGGATATTTGTTAATATGTAGGTTCTCTGTTGCGCCATGCGGAATCCTTGATCCCTAGTTCCCTCAACGAAGAAGACTTCCTACTTTTGAGGTAACAGAAGGCCTCTTCAGTTATTCTACATTTCACCTATGACTATATTAAAGATTTATAGTTCTCGGGCTGTGCTTTTTTATGTCCCCTTTGATATATATCATTTCGGATTATTGTCTGGTGCAGGGTATTTTGTGACCAATTGCAACGGCTAATCCATTCTGAATTTAAGGAAAGTCAAGTACAAGTGAAGGTGAAAATGCTTGTTGCTCTCTTCTACATTGCTTATACAAATATCTGGTTTTGTTTATGATAATCTGTTTAGTTACACTGTCAAAAGAAGCTGTGACAAAGTTTTCTATATTTCCATTGTATGTTGAATTTCTACGAAAGGCGAGTCTTTTTCTAACCTCACATGTTGTGTTTGTTCTAGGATATTGAAGGTACGGGAGGGAAATTATCTTGTAAGCAGCAGAGAAAAGAGCCTCTGAATCTAAATAATGAAAATGAAGGAGCTTCAGAGAATTGTAATATCCGAGTTGAAGGTGTGATGACAAAGCAAGGTGTGACCGAGGAGATTGAAGTAGTCGAACGGCTGAAAGAGAGCGATGCAGATGCTAGCAATCTTGAAACCAGTGGTTCAGATACAAGCTCTAACAGAGGGAAGAGTCTTGTTGATCTGGTTGAAGATGGAGATGTGGTTCAGAATATGAGCAATCTGTTTAAAGGCAGTGCGTCAAGAGAGCTGAAGGAGGATGAAAAAGCGGAAACCTTCCTTGTCTTTGAGAAGCAGAGGACAAAACGGAAGCGTAGTATAATGAATGATGATCAAATGGTGATGATAGAGAATGCTCTTGCTGTGGAGCCTGATATGCAGCGGAATTCAGCTTGGATACAGGCATGGGCAGATAGATTGAGTCAACATGTGAGTTCAAGAATTCTACTCTTTTTAAATTCCTACCAGTATTACAAACGCGGCACATGTTGATTTATACAATTTTGCAGGGTTCGGAGGTTATTACGTCTTCGCAGCTGAAAAACTGGTACATGCTTCTTTTTTGTCCTCTCTGTCAACTGCAAAGATTCTGGTAATCACTATTCGTTATCTGACATTGATAGTTTGTTTTCAGGCTGAATAACCGAAAAGCTAAACTAGCTCGAGCAAACAAGCAAACAGGCCCAGCTCGAGACAATAACAGCTCAGGGGATTTACCAGAGAGTCCTGGAGATGAAAACACTTGGCAGCAGAAACAAGCAACATCGTCAAAAGATGAAACTGCATCGGAAAACCCAAAAACAGGAGAGAATCTGATGAGATCATCAACTTCATCAGAAGAAGGGATAAAGCGAGGGCAACAAGTGAGGCTTATGAACGACAGCGGAGACGAGATTGGGAAAGGAACGGTGCTGAGAACAGATGGTGAATGGTACGGTTTGAGCCTGGAGACAAAACAGGTTTGCGTAGTTGATGTAATGGAGCATAGTGGCACATATGATTTGAGCAAAATGGTCATCCCTTATGGATCTGATGATGTTGGGAGGACTTTCGGAGAGGCGGCTTCAAAGTTTGAAGTGATGAGAGTGGCTTGGGATGTGAATAAGCTTCAGTAGCAGACTCAGTTGCATTGAATTTGATCATTAGGTTTTTGTCTTTTTATTTAACTGTTTAGAGATTCTCTGTCGGTACTCTATTTGAAAGATTCTATCTTGTGGGCTGTCTCTATTGTATCTCTCTCTCTCTCTCTCTCTGGTTATTTACAGACAAAGGTTGAGAGTCGAGACTTTGAGAGTAAATAGTGAAGATAATATAACAGTAGGAAGAGTTTGACTTTATCTCATTCAGTTGACTTTACCTATAAGGCTATAACCCACTGAAACAAATCACGGTGATTTGTTTACAACCACCTCATAACAAATAATGCTTATGAAAGGAAACCATTGCAGTGTCATCGCCATTGTTTCTCCATAAGGGATGATATAGATTTCGAAAACTGTGAAACAAATGATGATGATATTTCCTTGTCCTGGCACTCCTCATCCTTGTCTCTCCAGAACTTAAGGATTAGGAGATTCTCCTCTTCCGTTGATCTCTGAACCACAATTCTCGATGCATAACCCTTTTTTCTCATCATCAGACAAATCTCTGCTGGGAAATTTGAAGTTAATGTCACCAAGTAGAACCAACCTTTCTCTGAAAGCAAAATATCAACCACAGGCAAGATTTTATCTATAACTGTCCTGCCATTGACCCCTCCAGCCCAGGCAGAGGCAATACCTTCCATTCCAACTTCATAATCCGGTGTAGGCACATAAGGAGGATTCACCACAATCACGTCGACTGAACCAGCAAGTCTCTTCTCTAGACCAGAAGCTATATCCGCACAGACAATATCAGCATGGACTCCATGTGCTTCTAGAGTTTCTTTTGTTACTCTTGTAGCTATCGGGTTTGTATCGGTGGCTAGATAATGAACGCCAGGAACTTCGTTTTTGAGAAGAAGAATAAGTGAAGTTATGACATACCCGCTTCCACATCCAATCTCCATACAAACCTTAGGGTTGTTCTCTATCAGGTGGGTGCGATCGGCTAGTAATGCATCAACTAGAGCAAATGAATCATCACATGGTTCGTAGAGCTCACGATGCGAACTTACAAGCGGGATTGCAGCAATTCTTGGTGGCATCTTGCAAATGACTGACTACAAGCAAAACCACAGTAACAGTTAGATGAATCATAACCTTGAGAATGTGTATTTCAGATAGCTTTACACAGTTCCAGTCATACCTAACTGAAATCATTTTAAATTTTGAACAATAACAATGGATCTCTTGTTTTAACTTCAAGTTAGACAACAAAGCTATGCAATTAGTTTTGCAAAAACCAAATAATATCTTAGATTCTAATTAACCAGTAGTTCAGTACACAGTAGAGATAGACCACCACTTGTTTATATCTTTTCATAACTTGTAATCGAACCCAGGCTCAGATAACAATAAGGTAAACTCAAGGAGGGTGTATGTAAGTTGACAAATCAATTCCAAACAATTTTTGAACAAATATAAAATATCACAAGACAATGCAATAATACCCCTTGGGGGGGGGGGGGTTATATTCAGCAATCGGAGCCTGCAAAGCTATAGCTTTAGGACCTAGCTTGCTGTCCAAGTTGACTGTATAAACAATGTCTCTGAAAGAAAACACCAATGAAGGAGATTATCCAGAAGGACCAAACACTAAATCTTTAGAGAACTAAAAACAAAGGAAAAAAAAAGCACAAAAGAGAACTCACTGAAGAGTAGGAACAATCCCGGAAGGATGATTGCTAAGGTCCAGTTAATTAACTCCCTTCCAATCCTTGATCAGCCATTCGTCTAAAATCACACAAAACCAAATCCACACATCAACACTAAGCAAGGCTCAGACACGATAATAGACACTAGAACACAAGAGAGTATGCTTATCAGATAGCTTCATCAAAAGGGTTTCGATAATTTGAGAATACAGAGACAATTTCAGTTTCATCTTACAAAACAACAACACTTTTTCCTCTAAAGCTATGAAAAAGCTCATAAGTTAGCAATCATGTCCGAACGATAAAAACCGCAGGAAGGGGTTAAAGGTCAGACCTTTAGGTAACGAGCAAATCCGAGAAAATAGAGAATCGGAGAGTGGGAAGGGATTTTATAAATAAGGGAGGAGTGATTCGATTTTGTGTTTAGGTCTGTGTCGGAAGAATTGGGAGGGATGCTTATTATGCTGCTCTTTATTTAATCGATGCCTAAGCTACCCCTTGAGACAGTCTTCGTAAGATCGAGGGTACTTCCGAAACATTGAGGTAAGTTATGTAAATACACATATCCGCTTTGGTACATATCTAAGGGCGGTTGCAGATTCAACCATACCTCTCAAAAGAGTTAAAAAAAAAAAAAAATGAAAATGAATTTTTCTTATAAATGTTTAAATTTTAAATTATTTTTATGTTATTTTTTATAATAATGTTTTTACTATTCCATAGCTTGTTATCAGTCATACCTATTATTGAACCTCTTGTTTTAACTCAACCACACTTTTTTCATATTTTCTAGCCGTTTTTTTTACCCGCTCTTTCTCTATAACCGCCTCGTTTAAATAATGTAACCAATCGAAGCCATTAGACAAAAATAGTAAATTTTAAACTTTTTTTAGTTAAAGATCGTAATCTATGTTTTGTATTATTTTTTTTTTCCAAAACAAGTTCCCCAAAAATGTTAAAACCTAATGTAAATTCAAATCTTCACTAGAATTTAGTCAAATATTTTGAAACGTGTATAGACTGTTTTTGAAAAAGAAAAATTCAAATTTAAAGTTTCAATACAACGTCATAACGTTATTTTTTATTATTAAAAAAAGACGTTGTAACGTTCTTTTTAGAATATTGTTAAGAGAATAAAAATGCTTTTTTAAAAAGATTCAAATTTACTATAGAACAAAAATGCTTTTCCTAGAATAGTAGATGAATTTGAGTGATAGAAACTAGTACTACTTTTCTCTTTTTCTTATAAATATATTGTAAATTCAGATTTTTGTTTTTATAAATGATAAGAAATTAAAATTTAGATATGGAGAATGCATATAAACACATAAAAGCCGTTGACTAGAGGAAGAAGACTAAAGAGTACAGCTCAGCAGCGGAAACGCCACTTTTCTATCCGAAGAAAACTGTGTCCTCCAGAATTCGTCGGAGGTTATTTTACTTAATTCAGTTCTCTTCTTCTTCTTCTTCTTCTCCTTCTTCTATTCAAACATAATTATAAAAGTGAAGTCTGGGCCAATTAAAGAGAAAAAGAAAAGGAGAGGCTTTACTTGGGGGAGAGTCCGCCATAAGCCGTGAAAGTCTCTTTTACTCCCCTCCGATCTGAAGTTGTTCTTTTCCTTGTTTGATTTCGCTTTCTAGGTTTTCGTTTTCATTTGTTGCGTTAAAGAGTGGTTTCCATGGGCTCGAAACCGTGGCTACATCCTGCTCCTCAGTATAAAACCCTAGAAACCTTTTGGGATGAGGAAGAGGATGCTCCTGGTCCTAGATGCGCTCATACTCTTACGGCTGTTGCAGCTACCAAGACTCACGGTCCTCGCCTTATCCTCTTTGGCGGCGCCACTGCTATTGAGGGTGGCAGTTCTTCCGTTCCTGGGATCAGTAAGTTTCCCCCAATTCAAATTTCAATTTTTTTTTCCTTTTTTGGCCTTGATCTGGAGTTGCCTGATGCTGCTCGGGTTGTTCTGTTTCTCTAGGGCTAGCTGGTGTTACCAATTCGGTGCATTCTTATGATGTTCTCACTAGGAAGTGGACAAGGTAAACAAGTGATTAAGATTTTGTTGTCTGGTTTTACTGTGCTCTTGCATATCGACATTGGTTTGATGGAAAGAGTTGCCATTTCCGGAATTGTGTAGGCTTGTACCGGCTGGTGAGCCGCCGTCTCCTAGGGCTGCTCACGCCGCAGCTGCAGTTGGCACCATGGTCGTTTTTCAGGTTATTTATTGTGTTCAATTATTCAGACCATATATTGTTTCTGGCTATGAGTAAATGTGATAAGGTTTATAGTCAAGTGTAACTGTCCATGTATTGAGACATATGAAATATGTATGTTTGTCTAATTAACAGGGTGGCATTGGCCCGGCCGGGCATTCTACTGATGATCTTTATGTTCTTGACATGACTAATGATAAGTTCAAATGGCACAGGTCAGAGATCATTTGCTAAGTTCCCTCTTATGTCTCTCTTTGCTATCTAGTATATGTTATCGACTTCAAAATTATTTCATTTAATGTGTGTTTAGGGTGGTGGTTCAAGGGGAAGGTCCAGGCCCTCGTTATGGCCATGTTATGGATTTAGTTTCTCAGAGGTATCTTGTTACAGTCACCGGAAATGATGGTAAGAATATGTCTGTTTTCATTATTCTGTTTATATATGGAAATTTTTCGTTTCCATTATTCTGTTTATTTGTTGTAGAATCCAGATATCCTAACAAATATTTTCCCTTCTATGTATGGAACAGGGAAACGAGCACTTTCTGACGCTTGGGCGCTGGATACAGCTCAGAAACCATATGTATGGCAGAGATTGAACCCAGACGGCGACCGACCAAGTGCTAGAATGTTAGTGATTCAAATGATTTGAATGACCTATTGTAGAAAATCTGTTCTTCTGCTGAATTTTCATATTTTGGTATTTCTGCATAGGTATGCTACTGGCAGTGCTCGTTCGGATGGCATGTTTTTGCTCTGCGGTGGAAGAGACACCGTGGGGGCGGTATACTTTTTCCCTCCATTAATCTCTTGTGCAGAAATTCGTGGCTTCGCTTTTCCAACTTAGGGCTAGATAACTTACAAAAATCTCGACATCACTTAGCTTACTTTTTACTATGAGATCCAAATTTTAAGATGTTATGTTTTCAATTTTCTATATGAATTCTGGCATATTCCCTTATGTGTTTCTGGGTGTGCAGCCATTGGGAGATGCTTATGGGCTACTAATGCATAGAAATGGTCAGTGGGAATGGACTCTGGCTCCAGGTGTAGCTCCTTCTCCAAGATATCAGCATGCAGCGGTAAACCAAATCTTGCCCCACTTTCAAAACATATGGAGAAATAGCATCTCAAATGTTGACCAAAATTAGTATCACAGAGGACTGCAAATTGTGCTTTAGAAACTGATTTGACTGTTAAATGAATGATTGATGAGGCATTTTATTTCATTTACAATACCATTGCAATGAGTTCCTTGATTGTTTTTCTTATCAGGTTTTTGTAGGAGCAAGATTACATGTCAGTGGAGGTGTTCTGAGAGGAGGCCGTGTGATAGACGCTGAAGCATCTGTTGCAGGTAATGCTCAATGGCTGTTTTGTCTGAATTTTGTTTCACAAGTCTTTTCTGGAGATAAGGGTCCCTACTCTCCATTTTTTCTTTTTCTAACTGTTATGAAATCTTTCTTCTCACAGTGCTTGATACTGCTGCTGGTGTATGGTTGGATAGAAATGGGCAAGTTACTTCTGCACGGGGCAACAAGGGACAAATCGATCAAGATCCATCTTTTGAACTCATGCGACGTTGTCGCCATGGTGCCGCATCAGTTGGCATCCGTATTTATGTGCATGGTGGTCTTAGAGGAGGTTAGCCTGATATTTTGGTTTTTAAATAACAAGATGCCTAAGTTTATTGCAGTACATATATTTTACTTTTGATATTTCACGTTTCCTAACTCGGCCAAGATGATTCTTAGGAATATTTTGTGGTACACTTACACTTCTCATAGTTTAAGTTAATGCCTCAAGTCATCTATCTCTTTCTCAGTATATGACGATTACGGTAATTTTCCTTCCGCACAGATGTGTTACTTGACGATTTTCTAGTCGCTGAAAATTCAACATTTCAGTCAGATATCAGTTCTCCTTTGCTAGCATCGGATAGAACCCAACAAAGCTCCACTCCTAGGTTTTCTTATGCTGCACGACCTCCTTCCGGTGCTGAACCAGCCATCCCCATGTCTGAAGGACTGAGGTCTATCCCATTACTTATACTCTTTTGGTTTGAGCTCATCTGTATTAGCTGTTTGAGCGTTACTTATCTTTCTTTTCTCATTAATGATATCAGCTTGGACGAAAATTCGTTGGAGAAATTAACAGAGGCTTCCGCAGCTGAAGCAGAGGTTGCTAGTTCTGTTTGGCGAGCAGCACAGCTAGGATCTGGTACTCTGGATGAAGAACCCTCTACCTCTGATGCCAACTCGCCAGCTGTAGAATCTACTACCGATGGTACTGAAACTGAAGGAGATGTCAGGCTTCATCCAAGAGCTGTATGTCAAAACCCTAATATTATATTTCTCTCTTTCTGTTTGCTTTATAAGTTTATTTTTTTAATAGAATCTTTGTTTTATGCCTTAGACATATTGACTGCTTAGTTCGAACTACTGCCCAACATAGTTAATGCTTTTATAACTGTGATATCTAGTTTTTTGCCTATTTGATTACCAAAGTATTATCATTTTACAGGTTGTGGTAGCAAAAGAGACGGTTGGCAGCCTGGGTGGCATGGTAAGACAGTTAAGCTTGGATCAGTTTCAGAATGAGAGCCGGCGGATGGTTCCCATGAATAATAGTGATGTGCTACAACCCACCAAGAAGTTCACTAGACAGAAGTCTCCGCAAGGCCTACATAAAAAGGTATAATTTTTGTGCATTCTTATTATCAACCTAGCACTGCCACAGTAAATACCTACTAATATGTTGTTGTTTTCAGGTCATTTCTGCTTTGTTGAGACCTCGAAACTGGAAACCTCCTGGCAACAGGAAGTTTTTCCTGGATTCTTACGAGGTTGGGGAACTCTGTTATGCTGCTGAACAAATATTTATGCATGAACAAACGGTTCTTCAGCTAAAAGCTCCTATTAAAGTCTTTGGAGATCTCCATGGACAATTTGGCGATTTAATGCGGTTGTTTGATGAGTATGGATATCCCTCAACAGCTGGAGATATCACGTAAGTTTAAGCAAATGATTGAACAATGTGGAGTATTGCCTAAACATAGTCACTGAACCATTAAACGTACTTGCTTCAGGTATATTGACTATTTATTTTTGGGAGATTACGTTGACCGAGGACAACACAGCCTGGAAACTATAACTTTGCTCCTTGCATTGAAGGCAAGATGGTGCCTAATTTCACATCACCCGTATTACTAGGGTCATTCAAATTGTGCTTCCTGGTTTTATTGTTCTGAGATATTCCTGTGCAGATTGAATATCCGGAGAATGTTCACTTGATTCGAGGAAACCACGAGGCTGCTGACATTAATGCACTATTTGGTTTCCGTCTAGAATGCATAGAAAGAATGGTACTTGCCTCTTTGCAGAAATTTACACTGTCATTGTCGCTAGCTTTTCTGCTTAGTCTAAGCATGCTCTGTACTTTTACCAGGGAGAGAATGATGGCATCTGGGCATGGACAAGATTTAATCAACTTTTCAATTATCTTCCTCTCGCTGCACTTATTGAGAATAAAATTATTTGTATGCATGGTGGAATTGGGAGGTCAATCAGTTCAGTGGAACAGATCGAGAAAATTGAAAGGCCCATAACGATGGACGCTGGATCCCTTGTTCTAATGGATTTACTATGGTAATCAATCCTAACTGGTCCTGCTTTCATATTGATCACTATTTCTTACATCCCGTGTCATAATATCATTTTTTACAAGTACAGGTCTGATCCTACAGAGAACGATAGTATAGAGGGTTTAAGACCGAACGCCAGAGGACCTGGTCTAGTCACATTTGGGGTAAAAAAAAAGCTTTATTCGCTCTTATTGTCAATATTTCATTAATATTATAATTGGGGGCCAGTCACTGAGGGCGTAGTCTTGACTCTTGATATTGCAGCCAGATAGAGTAACAGAATTCTGTAAGAAGAATAAACTACAGCTAATTATTAGGGCCCATGAATGTGTAATGGATGGATTTGAAAGATTTGCACAGGGACAATTGATTACGCTTTTCTCCGCCACAAATTACTGCGGTGAGGAAAAAAAAAAACCCGTCAAAACTGTGTTTTGTATTTATGTTTGTATACTTGAAGAGGCAAGAAATCAAGAAATAAAACATTATGATACTTGTCTAAACAGGAACTGCGAACAATGCGGGAGCTATATTGGTGGTTGGCAGAGGATTGGTGATTGTTCCTAAGTTAATTCATCCTCTTCCACCTCCCATCTTATCTCCAGAGAATTCTCCAGAACATTCTGGAGACGATGCTTGGATGCAGGTAACAACACTTTGACTACTTCTTCTGTTCCAAGTTAATTCAGATCCATACATGAACTCCTTGACTACCATCATAAAAAGATATTCTTCAAAATAATAAATTGAAACTTGACTCAGCCACAACCGGACAACCTGACCTTAGTGTAGGAGACCGTCTTTTTCTTGTTCCTAGAAACATTTGGCCTAACTGGGAAACACATAGAGTTCTGGAACAATCAAAAGCACTTTCTTAGCGTGTACAAGTGTAACATGATATCTTTGTTTCAGCCACAAACTGATGCAACTCAATCTTAGTTGGTAGTTAGTTATGTGATACCAATAATGTCTCCAAAAAACTTCACTTTTGCGTAGAAAAAACGGATAGTACTTGGAGAGTTTATGTAGCTATATCTTTGTAATTAGCTACGAGCAGACACTGAACCAATAAATACACAATTTAATCTGTTGCAGGAGCTGAATATCCAGAGACCGCCGACTCCAACACGAGGCAGGCCACAACCAGATTTTGACAGAAGCTCGCTTGCATACATCTGAATCTGATTGTGTTCCCGGTTTCTGCTTGCAAGTCATGAAAGTAACAATCATTGGATTTTGGTACAACTCTATACAAGTATAGCAAGATTTTATATTTCAGAATTTGCAGTGTTCATATACTCTGCCGCACATGTGTAATATATAACTAACTATACCATTACCACCAGAGAATCAGAATGGTATAGTACTATTTATTTTTCTTCCCTCTTTTGCTTTTCTTCCAAAAAATAACTCTCAAGTAACGATGAGTTATACATGAGAAAACATATTGAATAGCATTAAAACTGCTGTACATGAGAAAAAATTGGATAGCCGGAAAAATAATAAACATAATTTTGCTTTTTATTGGATTGGTAGAAACTGGTCTACAACATAACAAACATGAGCTTATGCATTGATGCATTATTGATTATTTCTGATAAATCTAAGTGTAGTGGTAGTGTTTCAGAGGGCAGCGAAAGCATGGAGAGCTGATTGAGCGCTACGTCCAGCTTCTGTGCTAAAGAAGTGAAGGAAGTCGTTGTAATCATAGGGTTTGAATAGACGTGGATGTTCTTCGTCGACAAGCTCGTCTGGTGAATCTATGGTAACTCCTGTTTTCGGAACTGAGAACAGCCCAGTCGAATACCTTGTCTTCTTTCCCGTCAACATGACTCGGTGATATGGAGAAAACACTCGACCATTCAATAGTGCCTTGCAACATCAACAAGGATATATGATTGCTTATTCGCTCTAATAAAGAAGTGCGTATGTGCTGTGACAGTGTTCGTTAGGTAAAAAAAAAAGAAGAGAAAGTTGGGACTTACACATAGAGAATCTCCAACCATAACGATGAAAGAATCTTGAGATGGTTTCACTTTGATCCATTTTTCATCTTTGGTCTTCACTTCCAGACCTTCAACTTGATGCTGATGAAGTATCGTGATCATGTTCTTATCGGTATGAGCACGTAAACCTAACTTTGACTCCTCTTCATCATCAGCATCAAGAGGTGTTGTATACTCCATCAGTCGAAGGATATAATTTGTAGAATTAAGATGTTCATCAATGTATCTCTGTATCCCAAAACTCTCCATTATCATTCTTCTCACCATCACCTCCAATTCCGATAATTTCTCCGAGAACTGGTGTATCGTCTCGCTATTTCAAAACACACAAATATCGATCCAAGAATTGCATTTATGAATCCAATAATATGTTATTATGCAAAAACAAATTATATTGAAAGGTTTGACTTTCATCAGATTTTATATATACCTAATACTCTTGTTCCCATGATCAGGCCATAACTGTCGAGTAAAGTCGTTGACCTTGTCAAAAACATTAGCATCGTCGATCCCAAAACTCTGGTAAAGATTGTGAGAAAGATAGCCATGGTAAGGTTTGGAAGACACGTTTCTCTGTCTGGTCTGAACCGGTAACTTGAAGAGCTCTTCCACGGCTTCAAAAACAGACTTCTTAAGCTCAAGTGACACTTTGTCAAAGGATGCTTCGAAACAACCGTAGTCTTCTAAAGCTTTACGGACATCAATCTTCACTTCATCCCACTTTGAGCTTCCTGGTTTTAGGGTTTTGTCCGAGAAATCGATAAGTGGGAGCTGGAAAGAAACAGCAACAACAGGAAGAACAGAGTCTGATGATGATGAATCCATTTCTTGATTCTCAGAATTTTGTTTAGGGTTATCTTTTTTATATTATGTTTGCTTTTGTAAAAAGGGTTGGCCTAATAAAAATACCAAAATTAACTTCTTTTGGTTGGAAACGTAAAATTCTAAAACAAGTGGTGTAGTTAGTATCTGATGACAGCTTGTTATGCAATACCAATACTAGTTGTTTTATTGCACAAGTGGTCCTGTGTAGTGGTATACTATTATGCAATACTAGCTGTTTTATTACACCTTAAATGGGTTATGCAATTATTGCGTTCTGTTGACATCTATATTTCAGTAGCAACCGTTCTGCTGCTATAATATTAGCTCTTGAGATTTTGTTGTTTAAAAAGTATATATATGATTATATGAAGGTGCAATGCAAAGAGTTGATAAGAGTTGACTCTAATTGCAGCACTTGAAATATGGAAGAACTTAATGGGTCGAGTGGACTTTTGTACATGGGCTGGGCTTGGTGAATCAAATTCCCCTTTGGGTCATCACAAAAATTGTCACACTTTGTTTGTTGGACATTGGGAGGAAGTCTTAATTTGTGTGTTTCCTCCTCCTCCTCCTCTACTACCCTCAAATGGACATGGATATATGATGGATGATGCCAACATTATTTTAATTTTGAAAATAGTCGAGCCGTCGTCACAGGCTCTCTCAGTAGTCAGTACACCAAAACTACAAAACTAGTTTGAGAAACCAGAATAGTTTTTGTATTGATCTTTTTTAAGGGTCCGAATGTTTCAAAACGCTAAATATATTTGTTCTATATATTCGAAATGTTACGTTTATATTTTCCTTAAAGATACTATTGTAGTTTCTGATTCATAACTTTATTCTTAGTTTAATAGCATATATATAACTATATTATACCAAATATCACAGAAAATAGAACAACGATTCATACAATTAAACAAGAAAATGAAACTATTGGAAAATAGAACCATTACCTAAAAAGTTAAAAGAAGAAAAGAAGCGTAAGTTCTGAGGTGCATGGGTTCGAACATATTATAACCATTACATTCATTCATCATCGGGGAAAAAAAGTATAAAAGGTTGATATATCATATATGCATATCATCATCTCTTCATTGTTCCATTTCCACTGTCCTGTCCCAATTACTCATAAAAAAACATGTCAGGCGTGTGGGCTCATCGTAAACAAATAATGTGCATATACATACATAGCCATATATATATATATATCATTAAACTTGTCATTTCACACTTTTCCAGACTTCATTATTGTTCCTCTCCCAAGTCCCCACTCCCAACTCAGCATGTATATTCTTTGCAAAGACGTACGTCTTCGATGGTGACGCTTAATTAATTCTAATAACAAATACTGTATATTTTTACTAAATTTAGCATTTTGTAAATTTAATTTGTAAATAATACAGTGTATAAAAACACTTGATCGTTAATTCAACATCAAATATAACACTTTAAAATTATAATTCTATTAGTATTATTAATCTATATTCACTTATAAATTATTTTTCTAAAATATATATTTTGGAACCGTCTATTTTATTTCCAATCATCCAAAATATTTGTACCAAACTACATATTAATCTTTCATTTCTCATACATTATTAATTATTTTACGCAATTTATCATGCATTATGTGTTTTTCAGTGTAAACCACTTTTAAACCGCGCCTCTTTACTCGACATTTTTGTTTTGTCATGTTCAATCTGTTGTCATCATCGAAAATCTTTAGTAGTTATTGAATATTGGGGTCCTTGAGGCTTGAGGATAACACCATGTATGTATTAATTGAGAGATTGAGACAATTTGAGGAGACATAAAGGATCTACCAGCTTTCCTTCTCTTTGTATTACGATAAAAAATTCCCACACTTTCCGGCGTTTTCAATTTCACCAACTTTCCTCCCTCTTTGTCTATACGAATTGAGAACTCTAGGGAGATGAGTTCCTCGACGACAACTGATACGCAAGTTCAACGATTTACACGATACCATTCTTATCATAGTTTAAATACTCTTAAGAAAACAATTACTATATATGTCTAAAAACTTTAACCACTATAATTTTGTCAACTCTCTAAGTTATATAGAGGTTTAACTGAATTATTAATTCACATGTTATTTTCTCTAAATAAAGGAAAAGAGCAAAAGAAACTGAAAAGCAAAAAAAAAAACATAATTAAGTCACGTGCAAAAGTGAATAAATTTCTCTATAAATTATTGTGACACTTCCAACATTTATAGAAAGATTAAAACCCTAGAGCCAACGTAATTGTCTCTTTTATTCAAGAGAAACTCCAAAGGTAAGTTTCTTATATTGATTAAGAGTAATTTGTTGTGAATCTTTTGTATCTGCAAATTTGCAATAACATTTCGTTTGAACAAAAAAAAAAAAAACAGAAAGAAGAATGAATTCATCAACATCATGCAGTCCTCCTCAACTACCACTCATCTGTCTCTCGGACAGAACACTAAAGCCAGGGAGCTCAGCGTGGGTTAAAGTGAGGAGTGATGTCCGTAAAGCTCTAGAAGAGTACGGTTGTTTCGAAGCCCGATTTGATCAACTGTCAATGGAGCTTCAGGAGTCGGTTTTGGAGGCCATGGAAGAGCTTTTCGCATTGCCTACAGAAACAAAACAGAGAAACGTGTGCCCTAAACCTTTCGTTGGATATATGACTCATAACAATCTCTCAGAGAGTTTCGGCATCCACGATGCTAATGTTTTGGACAAGGCTCACGACTTTACTCAACAACTCTGGCCTGATCAGGGTAACAAGGGTATCGGGTATATCTGAAAACCACTATACTTTTATAAATTACACGATTCGTAATTCGTAAAATGATCTTATTATTTCTTTTTTATAATTCCCTAATTTTTTTGATAAAACTCAAAAATATATAGTTCCTGAATTCTTGTTCATGAGTATGTTATTTTTAAGCTCAAATTCATCATTATTTTAATAGCTTGGACATGTACGTAACTCTTAATTTTTCAACATTTTTTATACATAAAAGAAAACAATATTTAGCTTAATCAATTGTTCGACAGCTTTATTTCACTCAAATCGTATATATATATCCAATGATCTATATATGTTATGTTGTTTCCATTGATTTTTATTTACAAGTTTATTTTTTTCTTTTGTTTAATTGGTTTTAAAAAAACAGTAAGAAGATCCAACTGTTTGCTGAGAAATTAGCAGAATTGGATGTGATGGTGAGAAGATTGGTAATAGAGAGCTATGGGGTAGAAAATTACATTGATGAACATTTGAATTCAACAAATTACCGTCTGCGACTGATGAAGTATATAGCACCACCTGATGATGATGATGATGTTGCTAGTATTGGTGTTAAGGTTAACAATCTCAAAATTGGTCATGATGATGTTAATGACAGTGCTAATATTAATGTTGGTCTTGATGCTGAGACCAGTGTTAATGGTAAAGTTGATGCTGAAGCTAATGGTGATACTACTGCTTGTGCCGTTGGTGGTGTTACTGGGGATGCTAGAGTTGCTGCCAGTGATGGTACTAATGTTGATGCTTATAATGCTAATGTTGGTGTTGGTGTTGGTGTTGGTGTTGATGTCAACGCTGGTGTTGCTAATACTGGTTATACTAAAAGTGATGGTGATGCTGAGGAGGCGAAGTTGGGGTTACCTTGTCATACTGATAAAAGCTTTCTGACAGTACTTTACCAGCATCATATTGAAGGTTTGGAGGTGAAGACCAAAGAGGACAAGTGGATCAGAATTAAACCATCCCCTGATACTCTCGTTGTTATGGCCGGAGATTCTCTTTGTGTAAGTTTCAATCAGTTTTGGCTTTACTTTTTCTACTTTAGTACACTCTTTCTTTTACCAAAATTCTAATTCTAGTACTATTCGACCATGTGGCTCTGTAAACAGTACGTACTAAAAAGTAGAGCCGAGGGCCTTTGGCTGTTTTATAACACATGTGGTGGATCTGTAACTTATACTTTTGGATATATATATGTAACACAACTTTACTTAGGTTTTTCTCTTTACTCTATCATGACTTTTGTGGTTTTGTTTGCTTTTTATAACATGATTGTCATGTCATAGTAATAATAATTCATATATATGTACATATGGTGATGTTGTATCATGCATGCAGGCACTAACGAATGGTAGGATCCCTCCTCCGTATCACCGAGTAAGGGTAACAGAGAAAAAGAAGACAAGATACGCAGCAGGGTTGTTCACGATTCCTAAAGCTGGATATATCGTTGATTCACCAAAAGAACTTGTGGACGAGAAGCATCCACGAGTCTTCAAACCCTTTGATTATATCGACTTCATGGGCTTCTATCTCTCTGAAGCTGGTCGTAGAGCTCAATCTACTCTCCATGCTTTTTGTGCCGTCTCTGGCGAATGATACCGCTTCATAAAAAATGCTTGGTGGTTTCGATTTTTCATCATCATCAACTAAGTATATCAAAATCCAATTAATATTATACGAAATAAGGGTTTTTGACTAGTTGAGTTTATGTTTGTTTGTATTATGTATATGTCTTCAGGGAGATCTAATTAATTAGTCTCTCTATTGTGTGCAAATTAATGTACAATAATGTGATAACTAAATAATATTGAATTTGCCTTTTTTTTTCTTTCTATTGGATCATTGCTTCTTCAATTCTATTAGAATTCTATTTCAGTTGATATAATGGAATTAATTAGTTGGTTCCCTAATGTTGTTCTTTTCTTTAAATAAAGATTTGTGATGTTGCACTTCTCTGAATGGTATAGTCGTGCTTAGTTTCACCAAAGAGTAACGTAGATAACACAACAACATTTTTCATGTGTCCAAAAACCATGTTTCTTTTAGACAACCATGTTATCTCACAGAGGTGCCAAAAGAACTTGTAGGGTTTAAATTGTTATCATTCGAACGTTCAACCAAGATTAATATATTTCAACTGAGAATCACTCTATCGTTGTTGATGATACTGTTTCATTGATCGACCTTACAGATAAATGAAGCTAGATAGAAATGAAACAGAATTACCTTTTTTCTTTCTTGAAACAAATGATCAAGGTTCTTGATCGAAGATCATATATACTTATCAGTCAATGGACTTAAACTGTACATTATAGAAAAGCCCAAATTAGGCCCATTAATAACATTCAACCAGATTCTGTTGTCCGCAGATGAAAACTCTCAAGTCTCAAATCTCAAATCTCAATTGTTGTCTTAACTCAAGACAATTCAAAGATGTTTGTAATTAACCGTACTGAAGCAAATCTTTAGTAATGACGTTTTAATAATTAGAGTAATTTAAGTAAACAACCGTTCTCTATATGTTAACCAATCAAAAAAATCCACGTGGGCTATCATATTAAAATAATAATATATCTCTAGAAAACAAAGACAAGAGAGAGAGAGATCCTTCTTCAAAACTTTGAAAATTTAGATTTGTTCTCTCTTTTATTTTGAAATCAGAATCAGTCTTCTCTTCTCTTATCATTTCCGATGATGATTTTGTTCCACTGATTGATCGATCACTCCAGTCCAGTAAACAAATCTCGCCGGAGTTTCTTCCCGCCGGGATTAAATCATGCCTTTGCCTATATTCCCGTCACGGTTACAGTGTTCGTCTTCGTCGTCGCGATACTCGCTTCCTCGGCCGAAGCCTCGAATCGATCCTAGCTTGACCTTAATTCCAGGCTTATCCAACGACGTAGCGAGGCTGATCCTCTCCTTCGTCCCTTACCCTCACATCTCTCGTCTCAAATCGACTTGTAAATCGTGGTACGCTTTCCTCTCTTCCAAAACCCTAATTTCACTCCGCCATAGCCGAGACAACAGAGACGGCGACAATCTCTCGCATCTCCTTTGTATCTTCCCTCAAGATCCTTCGATTTCGCCTCCGCTTCTCTTCGATCCCGTGACTCTGTTCTGGAGACCGCTTCCTCTCATGCCTTGTAACCCTCACGTTTACGGTCTCTGCAATTTCGTAGCCGTGTCTCTTGGTCCCTACGTTTATGTCCTCGGTGGTTCTGCTTTTGACACTAGGTCGTATCCTCTCGATGTTCCTTTGCCTACTTCTTCTGTGTTCCGTTTCAGTTTCGTCAAATCGGTTTGGGAACGGCTCTCTCCGATGTTGTCTCCGCGTGGAAGCTTCGCTTGTGCTGCGATGCCTGGTTTGTCTGATCGGATTATTGTGGCGGGAGGAGGATCACGGCACACGTTGTTTGGTGCTGCTGGAAGTAGAATGAGCTCGGTTGAGATGTATGATGTTGAGAAAGATGAGTGGAGAGAGATGGATGAATTGCCTAGGTTTAGAGCAGGATGTGTTGGCTTCTTGGTTGGGAATGAGAATGAGAAGGAGGAGAAGGAAGAGAGAGAGTTTTGGGTGATGGGTGGATACGGCGGATCAAGGACTGTTTCTGGGATTCTTCCTGTTGATGAGTACTATAAAGACGCTGCAGTGATGGATTTGAGAGTAGATGGTGGCGAGAAATGGAGGCTAGTTGGAGATATGTGGGGAGAAGAAGAGAGACCTAAGCTTGGGAAGATTGTTGCTGTTGATTGTGGTAAGCCTGTGTTTTTCATGTTGGATAGGGATTGGATTCTTAGGTATGAGATATGTTCCAATAGGTGGAGAAAGGAGTCAAGTGTGCCTAAGAAAGCTCATTATGACAAACCAGTTGGTTTTGTCGCACTGAACGGTGAATTACATGTTATGATTCTTTTGGATGGTTATAACCTGATGGACACAAGGCATACTAGACAACAGAGGAATGCTGGATCTTTGATGATTCATATGTATGATCCAAAGAAGAAAACTTGGAGATCAGTTGTCTCAAAGCCACCGTTCAATCATCAACTCGATTTCAGGACCACGGTTATGTGCACCATCCGATTGTAGTAGGTTTAGAACCTCTCTCATCACATCGTGTTTAGAATAAAATCTGCTGTTCATGGTGTGAGCTCGGATGAAGTTAGTATTGACTATTGAATCTGTTTCTTTTGCCATATGCATATCCTTCCCATGTTAGTAGTTGTACAGATTGAAAAACAAAAAAAAAGGAACTTCCATATTCGGTTATATTGTAATACAAACTATAATATACTATGGCTTTGTATAAAATTGCTCTTAGCTGTGAACAATGCAACATTTGCAGCCTTGCAGTTACTCTTTTTCTACTCAGTTCAAATTGAGTTTTCCATATACTATCCAAATCCAAGACTTTGTGAATCTTTTTTTTAAAGACTGCCAATCATGAGATTTTGTTATAAAAGAGAAGGCAGTTTCCTACTATGAGCAAGTCTGGTCATGGAACAAGACAAGACAGTCTCTTACCATTGATGTGTTTGTATGTGCTACAGACCACACACTGAAGCTAGAAGTAGTATATAATGTGTAGCTTGGCATTCTCAATCTGATGCAATCTCATGATCCAGATTTGCACATGTGCTAATATCACACTCCACAAGTCCACATAATTGAGTGGTATCACATATGTGGCCATGCGATGAGGTATTTACTTCGTCTATCTGTCGATCGTTAAGTGTATATATTAAGATGAGACATTGAATTCTCATCAAACAAAATATAGGTTAGGAGTATTATACATTTATACTATTGGACTTAAGTTTTATATTATAGCAATGATTTGGAAGTGACCACACTAATCGACAAAGTCAAACGTGGCAACACAGCTTTGCACGCTTCAATTACACACACGTCGACGAAAAAACCATATCCGCTCGTAAGTTTTATTGAAAAAGGCGAAAACTTTTCGAGAAATTCAAAGGGGAAAAAGAAAAGAGGTTTCTGCGTACTGTTACGAATTGTTTCCATCGTACGGGTACTCACCTAAAAACCTGACCTTTTGTTTATTTTTTGTTTGGTTTACAAATTCGCGATCCGATTTAGGGTCACAGCTCTCAGAAAGTTCTCAAATTGGGGGAGTGATACTGTTTCTGGGTTCTTTCGATCATTCGATGTATATGGTGATTTAAACTTTTGTGCATTTCTAATTCGATGCTGGAACAATTAGGGTTGATACTGGTTTCTTTGCATTCTTCACTACACAGATAAAAACGACGACTTCGATTCTATTTGGAATAGGGTTTTTGTAATTACCAAGTTCTCTCTTTTTGTCTTTTTTTTTTTTTGTCTCCCGTTATGTTGCTTGTTGATGATTGATGATTGATGATTAATGAAGCTGTAGTATCGTAATATTTAATTGGTTCTTTGATTGAGTTTTTCATAACTGGGTTTAAATGAGCAAAGAGGGGTTTAGTGTGTGAATGTGTTATTGATTTTACTTGAACATTTTACTGGCTTTTGCAGGCAAGCTATGGTTCAAAATGGACTTTGAATGAAACTTTGGTTTAAGAAAATATCAATGGTGGTTATCTTCAATAATGTTTTTTGGACCAAGTGAGATTGATGCTGATGAAATGGGTTATGCAATGAGTAGACTTGAGATAGAATCCGATTTTTGTGATGCTGGAAAAGACTTTTCTGGAGTTGGTAGTAGTAGTGGTAGTCACAGATCAAGTGAACATTTGGCAGATTTAGACCATGAAATCAGTCAGGTTACTAAGTTGAGATCTAGTCCTCATCAACGGTTTAGCCGTGAAGTCCCTGGGAGACATCAGTTACCTGTGTCTACTGTGAAGATGTTGGCTGGTCGAGAAAGTAATTTCTCTGGAAGAGGAAGGTTTTCCGCAGCTGATTGTTGCCATATGCTAAGCAGATATTTGCCTGTAAAAGGTCCTTGGCTTGTCGATCAAATGAAAAGCCGAGCTTATGTCTCTCAGTTTTCAACTGATGGCTCTCTCTTTATTGCGGGGTTTCAGGTAAATTCTTCATCTCTGTAATTATTATCTCAGTTTTGGGAACAGTTGACTCGTCTCTTGGCATGTCCCGGTTTTTTTTACATTTCCTAGAGAAGCATTTTCTGAATGAATTAATCTGCATACCTTGCCTTTAATCAAAATTTTCAGGGGAGCCATATTCGGATTTATAATGTAGAGAAGGGATGGAAAGTTCAAAAGGATATTCTTGCAAAAAGTTTGCGATGGACTGTTACCGATACTTCTCTATCCCCTGATCAGCGAAATCTGGTAAGTTTTTGATCTTTCAACTACGACTTACTCATGTTTGATTAAAATTTCTCATATGACTTTAGATGCAAACTTTGACCTCGAATCAGATAATATCTTTTATAGTGATACAGAGTAAGTGGGTTTGTCTAGTCTATATGGTCTCTTGTTAGATAAAGAAATCTATGATTATCTTCCAAAGAAAAGAATTAATGAATTATTTCGATATTGCAGGTCTACGCAAGCATGTCACCTATTGTTCACATTGTTGGTGCTGGGTCCGGTAAAACAGAGTCTCATGCAAATGTTACGGTATGAACCACATTATGTGTTTAGTTAGGGGAAATTTTTATTATGGGATCGGATCCCTGCTTTTGTTTTCTTTGTTCACATGTTTTAGTTTCTGTTTCAACATCTCATCAATGAGGTTAACTTTAGTTTATTTGAGGGACATGTATTTAACAGGAGATCCATGATGGATTAGACTTCTCTTCTGACGAAGATGGAGGGTACTCTTTTGGAATATTCTCTGTGAAATTTTCAACTGATGGGCGAGAACTTGTTGCTGGGAGCAGTGATGATTCCATCTATGTTTATGATCTCGAAGCAAATAGAGTTTCACTCCGGACTGTTGCACACACGGTAAAAAAAAATTATTGGTTGGGACAATTTCTACTAAGATTTCTACCTGTGTGTTAGTGGTGATGTTATCGCTCTAGCACTGATAGCAATTTCTCCATTTCTGCAGTCTGATGTAAATACTGTGTGCTTTGCGGATGAAAGTGGAAACTTGATTTTATCTGGAAGTGATGATAATCTCTGCAAGGTTAGTGTCTTTGTTGCTGCAATATTACAATAAATTTTCTGGCCGTTATAAGCAAAGTTGTAACAATATCTTGTTCAAAATTCATTACACAATAGGTGTGGGATAGGCGTTGTTTCATTGGGAGAGATAAGCCAGCTGGTGTTTTAGTGGGCCACCTCGAAGGTGTTACCTTCATCGATAGCCGTGGAGATGGTCGCTATTTCATATCAAATGGCAAAGACCAAACCATCAAATTGTGGGATATCAGAAAAATGTCCTCAAGCGCACCTGCAAGGTAATTATTTCCTACATAAAACTGAATTTGGCCTGTAACATTGTTGGTCGCATCTTGTTTATTGGTGTTTCACTGGGAATTTGTGATGAAACTGATTGTTCTTTTTTACAGGCATGAGGTGCTAAGAAACTATGAATGGGATTACAGATGGATGGATTATCCTACTGAAGCAAGAGATTTGAAGCACCCATCTGATCAGTCAGTGTCGACATATAAAGGTCACTCAGTGTTGCGTACTCTCATCCGTTGCTACTTCTCTCCAGCGCATAGGTCAGTCTCTTTGTAGTTCCATAATATCCCAAGCCTGATACGTGAGAACGCTCCTTTTACATATTTCTCTAATTCGTGTGTCTGGCTTCTTTTGTTCTTTCTTTTGACAGTACTGGCCAAAAGTACATCTACACAGGATCCAACGACAGTTCCGTCTATATATATGACTTGGTAAACCCTAAATCCTCATAAACACATTTAAGAGACTATTACATGAAAAAAAATGTAGCATTTTATGGTTTATGTTTGCATACTGATTGGTGTGTGCTGAATCTCTATCGTCTCGGTTTTGACCAATCTTGGATTCATTATTTGTTCTTAGGTAAGTGGAGATAAAGTGGCAGTGCTAAAACATCATAGCTCCCCTGTAAGAGACTGTAACTGGCATCCGCATTACCCAACTCTTATAAGCTCTTCGTGGGACGGAGATCTTGTGAAATGGGAATTTCCAGGAAGTGGTGAGGCACCGATCATGAGTAAGAAAAGGGTTCGAAGGAGACATTTCTACTACTGATGCATCTCTACCTACACATACTCATGGTATCTCTAAGTCCTATATATATATATATAAAATGTAGAGAAGAAGATGATGATGAATAATAATATAGCACAAGTAAGAATCATCAAAATAAGGCTTTTAAGTTAGAAAAAAAGGCTTTGGTGTGCGTGTGGAAAGTGTCATGTTGTGTGATAAAACCATTCTCTTCCCCAACCATTTTTAAAAGATGTGGTAATGCAATGTAGTAATAATTATAATACACTTTTGTCATGGTTTGGTTCCATACATTTACTTTATAGAATGAAATTATATATATGCTTTGTTCACTCCTTTGTTTTTGGGAATTTTATAAATAAAATGACATTTTTATTCCAAAATACCACGAAACCATAATATTTTTGGAGTACAATATTATAAGACATCACTACACTACACTTTCCAACTAAAGTAATTAGTTTTAGGTACCCAACAAAAATCATTAATCATGCAATGCTAATATAGGCGTTGCTCATTTTATTCGAAGCATAAATATAATGAGATACAATCATCATTAGCATTACGCCATTCACAAAGTCACCAACGAATAAACAAATCGTTTTTTTTTTTTTTGTTACCATCGAAACTCGAAAAGGTTGTGTTATAACAAAATAACCCAGAAAAAAGACCCGAGAATCCATAACTGCCTAAAATTACGTCTTTACCCTCGCCACTCGTTGCACTGTGTTGTTGGTCTGGTTTTCTGCGAACCGGCCTTAACCGGACACGGCGTTTGTACCGGTAGCACCATACAGTTGTATTGCAGACACAGCGAGCTGCTCACCGGAATATCCGCCGCCGGGCTAATTTGTATTCCCGTAAAGAAGTTGTGTTGGAGGTACAGTGTTTGTATATTCGCTGCCAACAACCGATCCACGAAGCTAACCGGGACTTGACCGCTGAACCGGTTATTGTTCAGGTATAGATTCTGTACGTTGGAGAGAAGCGGAGAGAGCTCGCCGGAGAATCTGTTGTAGCTTAAATCGACGGTTGGGATTGTTACCTGATTCGCCGGTTGAATCGCGCCGTAGAAGAAATTGCGTTGTAATTGTAGGTTGGTGATCGGGAAGGTGAAGACCTGACCGGGGATCGCGCCGGTGAACCGGTTTAAGCTGAGATCGAGGTAATTGAGCTGGTTTAGTCTGAGTAAAACCCGGTTTACTGGTCCGGTTAGCTGGTTCCAAGCGAGTGAGAGGTATTGTAGCGACGGAGGAAGAGACGTCGGAGAAATGACGCCGGTGAGGTTGTTGCGTTTGAGATCGATTCGGGTTAAGGTTTGCGAGAGGAACTGGGGAAGTGATCCGTTCAAGTGATTGTGACATAGAATCAGATTCGATAGCCCCGGCAAGGATCCGACTGAGGGAGGAATCGACCCGGTTAGTTGATTGTAGCTCAGATCGAGCGTCTTGAGTTCCCGAAGCTCGCCGAGACTCGCCGGAATCTCGCCGGAGAGAAAATTCCGACTGATAGCGAGGAACCGGAGATTCTTCGACTGCGAGATGGTGTGAGGTAACGAACCCATGATCCGACCCGGGACGATAGAGAGCTCTGTTAAAGCAGAGAGTTTTCCGATAGCCGGGTCAATCCGACCAGATAAACCGGGTGAACCGGCTCTTGAATCACCGAGGTTAAGAGCGGTTACTTTATCACCGTCGCAGTAAACTCCGGCGAAGCTGCAAGGGTCGGCGGTGAAATCCCAAGAATCGAAGAAATTTGAACCTGGTAGATCATCTAACGACTTGCGAATGGCTTGCAGAGCCAAGAAATCAACAGGGACGATGATCGATTCCACGAATGAACCGAATCGAAGAAGAAGAAACAAAACACAAAACAGAGTAGCAAATCTCATCGTAGCCGTTAGAGCTTTTAAAAAAAAACAGAGACTTTATAAACAAAAACGCAACAAGCTTCAAAATTGAGAAATGGGTAGTCAGAGTAAGTCAGAAAGAAGATGATGGTGTGGTTAAAATGGAGAGTTCTTGTGGGAGCTTTAATGGCGGATGTTGATACTAGTGACGATGTCAAATGACTGAAGAAGGAGGGAATTTTAAGAAATTTATAAAGAAGCAAAGGTATCTTAGAAGAGAAGTGAAAGAGACAAAAGAAGAAGAAGAGGTAATCAAAATGGCTTAAGGAGGAAGCGAAATCAAGAGCTCGAATAAACTTTCTTCTTCTTCTTCTTCTTCTTCCACTTGCTTTTTGTTTCAGAGATTACTTTGTTTGGGTGGGTTTGTGAAGAAAGAAGGAAAGAGTCATAAATGCTACAAAGTGTTTTTTCTTACTAGTTTTTACATTTTGTGTGATACGTTTTTTTTGTGTCAGTCAGAAAATAAAAATAATGTAAATTTATGTCGGGAATATGCAACAGGTAAAACGGCTGTCCGAGCCTTTAGGTTCGGAGTGACAGATCAGCAGCTTCGGAAGTAAGAGGAGCCTAGCTGGTTAGTTGACTCCTGGTGGTGGGGTCATGACTCACGTGACATGTGTGTACTTTAGGCTTTATGTCCGTTGACACGTCAGCTTCTTTTTTTTTTTTTTGCTGAATATTGGTTTAGCCGTTTAGGTTACTTCACCGGTATTTACAAAAAGCTTAGGTTATATGATGTGTTAATAAATTAGTGACGTTTATACACTTTGTTTTATACGTGTTTTATTATAATACCTTGAGTTAAACTTGGAGCGATATACCAAATACCAATATATATATTGGTGTTAGTTTAAGTGGATCTCTCTCTACTTTTGTAAGAGGGAACCAAGAGAGAAAATTCCAAGTGATCAAAGCCAAAGACGAAATTGTTATCAAGTCTCTAAAAAAATTATGATTATGGTCCCAACTGCCACGAAAAGAGAATTTGCACACCTGTTGGAATGTGTGTGTTTTTGTTGTATGTTAGTATCCATTCTCTCAGTGGTCATGATCACATTGCACCGATATGTGCTCACCCCAAAGCTGAAAAAACAAAATATTTAACTAATAGATCTTTGACGTTGTTGTTGATGATGGTAGTGACAGAGGTGAATGTTAGTGATGCTCTATGACTAGTCATTTTCACTCCATCTGCTGTTTTTTTTATTCTTTATACATAACCAAAACAATCTACGGCTTCTAATGATTACAGTTACAATGAGTGCAAATTCGACCTATCACAACGATATATTTAGTTAAGAACTTAAAATGATTCATTCTTAAATTGTATATAGTAGAGAAAGTTATAAACTTATATAGAATTGTGTAGATACTGGGACGCATCAAATCCTATATTTCCATAACCATGCATCATGGTTGGACCATTATAATTCAATGGCTACTCACAAGAACCCCATTATCAATTTTCAACAATCATGTCCTAGAAACTAAGATAACTGCTAATCATTTGCCTAGGAGACTAAGTGAGCCATGCATTATAATTTAACCATTTGTGTATTTTGATATAAGGAAACAATATTAAAAAGGTTGATTCATCCACACGTAGTGATGATAAAAAGCGTCACATACGTGATACGTATCTCTGATTATAATTAGTAAAGCGTTTTGCTTTTCGGCCTAACACAAAGAGTACCATCAAGTATCAAACGTTCAAACTCTAAAATGAGTGTATAGAGAAGTGATTTCACCTTGGGAAAAATCATCAACCAAAATCATATCTTGAAAGCATCAATATGGATAATTTGGTCACATAAATGAGCCTCGGAGAATTTGGGAGTTACAGCCAACAAGAAAATTAAAGAGCCGTAGAGAATGTTAAGGTTTTACATCTGGATCCAGAGTTTTTTCAGTTTTGCTTCCAAGACTCGAAAGTTAAAATGGACTGACAACAGCAAATAATGCAAAAGAAATGCAAAAAAAGAAGAAGGTCAAAGTCGTTCATGTATGTGTAGGTTGTTTAGGAAAATTTCAAAGAGCCTCAGAGAATATTCTCCTTTGGAGTTCTGAGATAGACGACAATGAATAATCAACGATGTTGATAGAGAAGAAGAAAGTGGGAAGAGCTTCTTCCGTTTATTCTTGAGGGATATATAGAAATGACCAAACTGTAAAGCCACTCTTTACAAGATGTTGTATAATTTAAATGTAGTAAATAGAGCAGTCTAAAGATTTTTTAAAAAAAGAAAACCCAAAGCAAAACCTTCATTGCCATATTGATGATTCAAAAGCTGAGAGGAGAAAAAGCTTTTAACCGCGAGCAAAACGAGCCTGAATCCTCCTCTGGATTTTTGCCCGACAAGACGGACAGTCTTCCATGGCTTCCTTCTCATGAAGCTGGTTACATTTAGTGCAAAGAACCTGATGGGCACAAGGCAAGAATATCACACTCATCTCTTCAGACAAACACATCACACATTCCATCTCTCTTTTGATTTTCGACTCTGACCCGTGATTATTCTCCCATACATTTGCTCCTGCCATTGGGTTTGCCTTTGTGGTGGTGGTATGATTCATTCCGCTCTTATTACCGTCATTGCTTCCATCTATGCCTTTTTTCAATGCAGCTATCTTCAAGCCCTCTGACTTGAGTTTCAGATTTGAGATCTCGGTCGAAAGTCTTTCGATGTTCTCAATGTAGTATTTCACGTCATTCTCTGCTTTTGTTTTGATCCGCTCTTCTTCTACTTTACCGAGCTCTTCCAGTTTTCCTCTCTCTTTCTTTAATGCAGCTGCTTGAGCTGCGAGTTTCCCCTTCGCTGCCTTTTCTTGTTTCCAAGTAGCCTGCAACTGAGTTTCATTAGTTATTTTCATCAAACTTCGACACTTAGACAACAGTCTTTTTTCATACCGACTACATTGTTAATCAGAAATATAATTTCTATCACAATACTATGGATAATTCTTGATTTGAAGAACACACCACAAGAGGTATATAAGATAAACTCTCAGATGTAAACATATTTTCCCTCCAATTTCTCTAATTCCTTCGAAACAATGTAGATAATTGGGGAAAACTCAAAATGTGAATATTCCAGCCAAAAGAATGAAATGATTACCTGAAAAATAATTGTAGAGGAAAGGATATGATAAATTATCATACAATATTATACAGCTCCATAGTCGAGAAGACCTAAAATGAGCAAAGGCTTTTTGTCTACAAAAGGAGCTAACCTCAATTTGGTTTTGGCGGGTTTTTGCCTTGGCAACTTCTTGCTGCAGCTCTGCCACCTTGTCTCTTTGACTCTTGAGCTCTTCCTGCAACAAAACCTTTTGCCCTTCCCACGACTGAGCATTCTTCAACGATCTTTGCACTCTCTCCTTTGCTTCTCTATAGTTCTCAGCGGACTCAGCAGCCCTTATATTAGCAGCTTCCCTCTCTCTCTTTAACAGAGATTGTTCCAGCTCGAGCCTACGAACTGTGTTGTTAGCTCTTTCAATCTGGTTCGTCGCGTTATTCAAAGCCAACTCCATTTCAGACCTCCTTTTCATAGTGTTTTCTTCCAATAATTGCTTCTCTTTTCTGAACTCTTCTGCCTCTTCTTTCTCTTTTCTTAGTGCCTTAAGCTCTGGTTGATCCTTAAGAAGTCTAACTGTAGCCTGCTTTACTTTCTGATTAGCCCAGTCTGTCCAATCCTGCAATTCTTTCTGCAGATCTTTCATTCGGGGAACTAGCTTTAGAATCAATTCATCTCTTTTATTTCGGGGAACATATATTCCCAGAGATGCATCATATGGGATTGCAGCATAGTAATCTGGTGCTGGCTTTGTAGATACAGAAACCTTTTCTTCAGGCTGAGAACTGGACTTCTTTTCTAAAGCTACTGGAGCATTATTAGCAGGTAATGCAGTAACATACTCCTTAACATTTAATACAGGCGAATCTGACTTAGTACTGTTACTAGTTGAAAGAGTGCTGCTACTCTCAGCTAAAGGAATTTTCACAACATCTGTTGTAATCTTGGATGAAGAATTTCTTGCTTGTGAGGACAGTAAATCGGAAGCTGCTTTGCTTCTTTTCTCCACAAGGAAACCACCAAACTTTGCTGTCTTATAGCCACCACCTTTGCTATAAGTTCTAATCTTCTCCACACATGATTTCTGCCGGAGCATGGCCAATTCTTTTTTGGTGCGGCCTTTTCGACAAGATACTAATTTTTCATCAGAAACAGAAGTCAGGGATGCACTTTTAGTGCCTTCAGCAGAAGCAGTGGTAACAGAAAATACCTCTTTTCCAGGTGTTGCTCCACTAGCATGAGGATTTTTGGAGTTGTTTACATTTGGGAAGTTCCCAAATTTGACTGGGTCACTGTGATTGCTTTGGGTATTGGACACTGAGGCCTTTGGGTTATCTGAGTCAGTGGATTTTGGAGGATTACACTCGGCACCTGGAGTTTCCGATTTTTTATTTGCATTGCAACCTGAAGATCCGTCGAACCCTTCTCCTTCCACTTCAAATGCTTGCAAAACATTCAAGTCACACATCAGCAGCCTCCACATTGCTTCGACTGTTGAAAGCGATGGCCTAACCTCCCTAACAAGACTTATCTTCTCTACCAATGTATATGCAACAAGTTGTTGTAAATCCTCAAACACATAGTCTCTCGAACCAGCAACTTTTTTCCCACTCTTTAAGAAACTCAAAGTATCATTAACAATGTTTGACACGAGATCATTTCCTCCACAGTAGAGCCTACTGCTTGAAATAGCTTTGAGTACAACATCCTCACTATACCCACAATCCATAATCTGATTCATTGCACTACGGAAGAGGTTGAGCAAATTTGATGATAATAGTTCTTCGAGTTGACAAGCAAACGGATCATCCCATCCTGAGGATTCAGACTCTTCCGCTTTCAGCTGGCCGTTCGAGTTATTGTCACACAAAGGGTTCTGAGACTTGAGTGAATGTAACTCATATCGAGGGAATTCAGTCAAGGAACCAGCAGTTAGAGGAGAAGGATCAGCTAACTTTCTCTTGTTCTTCCTTCCTTTCTCTTGTGGTGGTGACACTGAAGATGTTCCCACTTTGCCACCATTGAGAGCAGCACACTCATTCATTTCTTCTTGCTTCTCAAGAATCTCAACCATTAAGCAATAATTCCCTGAGATAATGAATATTTCAAGTAACAAAAGACAGAGATAACAAAAACGATTAGTGTTCAGACACCATATCCCTCGTCACAGATTCAATAAAACAACCAAGGAAGCTAGAAACAGAAGCTTTGTGATAATGCAAACGCACAGAGACGATTCCCAAATTCCAATAGCAAACTTGAAGAAAAGACCAATACAATCGGCCAAATTCCCAAAAACTAATTAGATTCCCAGAACAAATCAAACACAATTCCCCCACAGAAACACATAAGATTGATCAAACATAGCAGCTCAATCG